GATTTCGCTGTCACTCGGAAACAGATTAACCAATTGGTGAAACAACATTTATTAGATTGCTTAATAGTATCTTTAGATCAAAATTGTTTTAAATTTAATGGACAGGTTTACATCTCTAAGCAAGGTTTGATTATGGAAAACCCACTTAGTCCTTTGTTAGACGAGATTTTTATGGATAATTTGGAAAATATCATACTAGAACATCCTTTGCTTGCTTTGTTGGAACGGACGGACAATTGAAATCTTTTTTAAATAACATTAGCTCATTATATAATCGTATAAAATTCACTACAGAGATTGAAGAGGTTAACTCTATTAATTTTTTAGACTTAACTATTACGAAAACTCAAAACAAATTAGATTTTTCCATTTACCATAAACCTTCACACCCATATACATATACAAAATGTCTGCACTTCACTCTTTAATACACAGACTTGTTAATACGCCACTCTCAAAAGAAAATTACAACAAAGAACTTAATATCATTAAACAAATTGCACTGAACAACGGCTACAATCCGTCCATTATCGATAAAATTATAAATAAAGAACAAATCCAGACAACAGTAAACTCTATTGATCCGAAACCTAATACAGAACACGAACAATTTCAAATCATTACATACATAGGAGGACTCAGTGCAAAAGTTTCAAAACATTTGTTAAAATGTGGTTTAAAAATAGCTTCCAGAACTAACAACACAATAGGAAAATTTTTAAAAAACAATGGAACGAAGTGTGAAAAATCTCAAAAATCACGTTGAAATGCGGATCATGTCCTAAAATTTATATTGGACAAACAGGTAGATCCTTCAAGAAATGCATTAACGAACATAAAAGAGCGTTTAAAAACAATAGTCTAGATTCTAATTATGCTACATACTGAAGAACAGAAAAACACATTTTGACGAAAATTTTTATATTTTACATACAGCCACAAAAAATAGAAAATTAAATTTATTGGAAGCCATAGAGATTAACAAAACGAGATATTCAAATGTATTGCTTAACAATCAATTAGATTTAAATATCTCTGCATTATTAAACTTAAATTTTCCCAACAACATTTATTAAAGTTTTATTGTCATGTTTCGGTATACGTAGTAGCAGGTAGTTTGTAAATATTACATTTGATAAAGACACGGTGTTGTCAAAACAATTGTCATGTGAATTTGGTGAAGATCTGAACTTTTAGTTCTTATTTATTTCTATTTATTTGTTAATGGGCCACCCTGTATGTTATAACATTAATAGATACTCCCTTTTATCCCCAATCACCAAATGTAGAGTTTTATGGTCTCTACTGAGTATTTTCGTATTTGTGGCCATTTTTTCATCAAAAATGACCTGTGTTTAAGTAGTGCAATCATTTGTCCTACACTTGTGTTGTAGTTAATTCGAATTGTTTATACAAGGTGAGTCAAAATGAAAAATATTAATTTTCTTGAAAAAATTAAATGGAACAACAGGGTGTTTTCTAATTAAATGCCAATAATTAAGGGGTCCGTTTTAAAAAGAAAACTTTATCTGAACATATGTCCTAAACGACTTAACTTTTGAGATACAGTTTACACAACATACACAGAAATTAGTTTTGATTCATGACCAAAAAAATTAAAATATCAAATCTACTCATGAATGAATGCAAATAACTTTTTTTAAAAGAAAATCAGTGGCGTACCACTGACTGTCATTCAAACTGTAGTGCCGCTCTAGGAAACACCCCATATGTGCTCTCTTTAGACCTTCGCAGTGCAACAATAGCACTAATTTATTGCAATAAATGTTGTAAAATAACTTCTACTAGAAAAAAAATTCAAAAACGCCAATAGAATTTAATTATAAAAGCGTATTTGAAAAACCATTTAATAGGGTAATAACGGAAACAAAAAATTAAATTGCACTTAATGACATTAAATGCCTCGCGTGTTATGTTCCGGTTTTTCTTATTCGCAGTGAAATTACGAAATTGCAAAGGCCGCCGCTTAAAAACGTCGGCGACGTCAGTGCTCGTATCAACACGTCAATCCTCGAACATCGCTATCGATGAGCCCGACACGATATCAAGGCATAGGGATAATGATATAGGAAACTAATAAAAACGACAGTTGTAGATTCCCGATTGATTGAACGGGATCTTAGATAGTTAGATAAAAGTAGGAAAACCGCATTGTTTCCTAATTAACATCGCTTTATTTCAAAAATATTAAATGCAACACAAAGTAAAATAAAAATTCTAATCAAAAATGAAAATAATTTTATAAACACAAACTTAAAAACAAACTTATTGTTTTGGGAAACATTTTGAGCATGTAATTTATCGCAGATCTATTTTATATTTATTTACATTTATTTATTTAAATTAGGAGAAGTTTTTGCTGAAAACTAGTGCAAATTCCAATTTCCGGTAAAAGTGAAAGTATTTTTTATTATTTTTCTGGAAAAACATTCTTTCAATTTTGTCATTAGAATATGTTGACTTCATACTGTATATAACATCTCAGAACTTCAAATTTATTGAATTTTGTTGCCCGCTAGTAATTTCATTGACACCCGGTATAGATGAATTTAGGTAGTTAGTGAATTTCAAAATGTCACAGTGTTAGCAAGATATTATCACTCTGTTTATAAATATAGTAGAAGTCTCAGTAAACATTTTTTGTTTCTAAAAAAATCTTATAAAAGCTAGCATATCTGAGATTGTTACTAATAAGTTTTTGACTTTATTTCGACCCAAACTACTATGCAACCTAAAAAATATCATAGGTGGACTAACAAGCTTTGCAAAATTGGGAACAATGAAATGAATGCATAAATATCCCAGAATTGGAAGAAATATATTATCTTAGATTATATTAACTTGTGTGGTATTCATCACAGTTTTTACCTGCAGTTTTAATTTCAACCGAAACTAATACGGAACCTAAAAAATGTCATAGGTGCACTAACAAGCTTGGCAAAATTGGGAACACTGAAATGAATGCATAAATATTCCAGAATTGGAAGAAATATATTATATTAGATTATATTGACTTGTGTGATATTCATCACAGTTTTTACCTGCTGTTCTAATTTCAACTGAAACTAATACGGAAATTAGGAAAAAATGAAATATCTTAAGCGCTCTTATATGATATTTTGCAGATTTCATAATTACAAGTAAAAATTATATTTAATGTAAAATATAAAACTTTTCTCTATCTCTTTGAATAATGGTTAGCACATTAGGAGGAAACAAACTGTAAACTGCGTCCCTTTCTAACAGCCAATTCCTTGTTATTCTACATTTTCTATTTTAATGTGATGTTTAACATAGAAAACTTTTCAAGTTAAAATTTTACGATAAAATAAGCTCTTAGTACATATACAAATATTGATGAAAACTGTGAATCCGGAAATTGAAGCTCTCGACGACGTTTAAATCAAATTAGTGTGAGCATGATTTTCATTTGGAAATATTGTATATATGAAGAATGTAAAAACTTGGGTATAATCTTTGATAATCAACTCAGATTTCGTACACAGGTTGCCAAAGTTTTCCAAAAAACTTCCATTACTTTCTAACCCAAGTTAAACTCTATGTGAATTTCTACTTAAAATGGTTAAATATATCAAGTAGGGAAGAATTTATTTGTTTTTTTGACAAAATAAATAAGAACTAAAAATTTTCACGAAATTATATATTTTCACACTACAATTGTTTCGACAACACATACCTGCTACTATATATATCGAAAAATGACAATAAAACCTTAATTAATGTTGTGAGAATTTAATAATGGAGAGGTATTTAAATCTAATTGATCGTTAAGCAATAAGTTATCATTTTGTTAATAAAAAATTAAAGATATCAAAATCTCTTCTAACGAGATGTCTTTGCTTGCTTTGTTAGAACGGACAGACAATTGAATTCTTTTTTTAATTAATAACTCTATTAACTTTTTAAACTTAATTATTACGAAAACGTAAAACACATTAGATTTTTCTATTTACCATAAACCTTCACACACGGACACAGTCATGCATAATAGCTCAAATCACCCTTATACGCACAAAATGGCTGCATTTCATTCTTTTATGCACAGACTTCTTAATACGCCATTCTCACCACACAATTACAACAAAACACTTAATATCATTAAAAAAAATTGCATTGAACAACGGCTACAATCCGTCCATTGTCGATACAATTATAAATAATAAAACAAATCCAGATAACAATATACTCTATTTCTCCGAAACATAATACAGAACACGAACAATTTAGAACAATTACATATATAAGAGAACCCAGTGAAAAAGTTTCAAAACATTTGTTAAAATGTGGTTTAAAAATAGCTTTCAGAACTAACAACACAATAGGAAAATTTTTAAAAAACAATAAAAACAAATGTCCAAAATCTCAAAAATCAGGAGTCTGCAGGTTGAAATGCGGATCTTGTCCTAAACTTTATATTGGACAAACAGGTAGATCTTTCAAGAAACGCATTAACGAACATAAAAGAGCATTTAAAAACAAGTAGAAAATTAAATCTATTGGAAGCCATGGAGATTAACAAAATGAATCGTTCAAATGTATTGCTTAACGATCAATTAGATTTAAATACCTCTCCATTATTGAACTTAAATTCTCACAACATTTATTACGATTTTATTGTCATTTTTCGGTATATATAGTAGCAGGTAGTTTGTAAGTATTACATTTAATAAAGACACGGTGTTGTCGAAACAATTGTCATGTGAATATCTTGTTAAATGGATTTTCATCAAGTAAAAGCCACCTCAGTTTTTTTTTGCTTGTTTTAATTAATTAGTTAATTCTCGGATTAGGCAAGCAAGGAATATCTCTTAAATTTCACATTAAAATACGTCTTTCACGGACAAATACCTAGATACTTCGGAATTTTACTTTTCATAATATTATTATGAGACTTTCTTATTGGTTTTACAACTGTCCTCTTTATTAGTTTCCGCTTAGTTGATCCACGACGTACTCACAGCAAAACTTTTTCTTCGATGCGAATTGCGGGAAAATCATATTCGGACACAGAAAAGATGCGAAACAAATCGAATCGTCTAGCGGTAGGCCACCAACAATACACCGAAATATCGCGCGCGAATATTAATTCCGTGGCACTTTCCAAAGCCGACTACGGGCGCCATTCACTTTTCATCGTGTCGCATATCTGAAAAGAAAAAAAGAATACAGTTATGTTATTAACAAATCGACCATTTTTAACATGGTGAGAAAAATAAGGTAATGATACAAATGAGCATTCTTATTTTAGAAAATTCTATTGGTGGCTATTTCTAACTAATTAATTTTATAGATAAAGCAGTTTAGATCGGCAAATGTATTGAAAAGCAAAACTTCCCGTTAATTTTGGAATATTAACGAGATATTTAAGGAATACTGATGATTTTTCTCCAGAATTAAAACATCGCGATGGTTTTGGCTGAAGAAAATGATTCCTTAACGAAAAACCACAGAAATCATCCCGTAGTTTCTCACTACAGAATTCCACATGTAATTTACATTCAAATTTTTCCATATACAGTGTGTCCCACCCTTGTGAAATCTTTGTTTATGAATCGGTTTTGATAACCTTTTTTTGTCGGATAGATCTCTGAAAAATGCCCTAAAACCTTGTTTTGCTTATTGCTTCAACTTTTGCACTCTTGGAAATAATATAAAAATTTCCTATTTTTGCGAATTTGTCAAAAACGAGTGGGCTAAGTGTGTTACATCATTGTAATCGGAATAAAATATTCTATTAAATACATATACAACATACAGGGCGTTACGTTTAAAAAAATATGATGTAGGCTTATATGTTAGCAAATTTATAGCCTAAAGTCATGGCCTGCTAGGACTAATTTAAGATGTCAAATATCGAGAACGGCTATTAGGGACTTCTTTAAGAATTAAATGTCAACGAATTCTTATTGAGGATTACATATAAACTAACTATACTAATTTCCATGAAGTTCGCTTAAGCACTACTCCTGTAAAATGTTCGTTTGTGGCTGAATTTTAATCATTCTTTTTTGCTGGATAGATCTTAATAAACTAAAGAGAAATGAAACTGTTTTTTCGTATAGTGTCGACCAAAGCAATGACTAACTGACACAGTTTTTTGAATATCCCAAGTTCTTAATATTAAAAAATATATATATTGTAAATCTTGTAAATAGAAACTATTTATTTCACAAATAATGATAAAAAAAGACTTTTTTAGAGACATTTATTTTTTACTATCATCTAAAAATAATAATATAATAAAATTAATAAATCTTAGTATTCGAAAGGTTAATGCAAACAAAATTAAAATATAAGTTTGCGAGTGAATTTGACTGACTTCTAAGTGGCAAACTTGGTTTTACAAATGGAACAGTATGCCGAAGTTCTGTTATTTTCATTATTAAATAAGAATTAAAAATCCCATTTAATTTAAAGAATACAGGGTTTTAACGTCGGTTAAGTTCATATCCAATCCAAGCGAGCCGATCACGGTATTTCGAGCACCCTGTATTCGAACTTCATGGAAATTAGTTGAGTTTGGTTTTATGTAGTCCTGAATAAGAATTCGTTGATACTTTATTATTAAAGAAATTCCCAACAGCACTTCTTTGATATTTCAGGCTGATGTAATAAGAAACAAGGTGCGTTTTTGAGAGATCTATCCAAAAAATACATTTGATAAAGACACGGTGTTGTCGAAACAATTGTCATGTTAAAATATATAATTTTGTGAAAATCTGAACTTTTAGTTCTTATTTACTTTTGATAAATGGATTTTCATCAAGTAAAAGCAAGATCAAACAAGGGTGTACAGTTCCTAAAAGTTTTTTAAAAAGAAAATATGGTATAAATGAAATATAAGAAGCAGAAAAAAGATGCCCTGGAAAAGTGACAAAGATGACGCATCGCCGAATTAGGATTGACAACTAAATTTAATATAGCATGTATTTTAAATAGCCGGATAACTAGATAGACTGGGGGTTCAGTGGTTTTATATCAAACCGTATTATTTTATCAAAAACTAAACTTTCTTTATTTTTTGGTTAAAGAATTGATAAGTTTTGTCGAGGTTTAAAAACAATTTCCTGCTGATGGTTAATTCGGTATGTTTAGAACTAAAAAAAAATAGTTCTGATTAGTTTCGGTTTTAATATAAATTGATTTCTGTTATTCCAAAGTCCTGAAAATGAAAATTATGCGTTTCCACAGAAAAATGTTTGTTTTTATTCGTTTGTAAAGGCTTGTCTAAAGGAAAAATATTTTTTTATATAATTTTTTTTATAAACCTTCCTTTTTCTCTAGAAATTTTCTTAAGAAAATAGAAATTACTTTTCCCTGCGGGATAATTCATAATGTTTACAATTGGAAAAGAAAGAAAAAAAAAACAATTTTTTTATATAACCTTTGTTTTTTAGTCTGGAAAATTCCTTTAAAAAAATGAGAAAATTATTGTTTCTTCGGAATAATTTATTAAATTTAGAAAATGTTTATTTTTATGTTTGCAAGAGCAAAAATATTTTTTTATTTTGTTTTTATAACGTGGGTTTTTATATAAAATGGTTCACAAATAACAAATGCTTTTTCCCCGAAAAACACGTTGCGGTTGGTTTCTGCGCGTTTCAAATGACATTTTCGACTAATTTTTCACCGAAACTTGTTTTTGGAGACGAACGTAACCAGAAACTCAACTCGTTTAACATCGCATTAACGGTATCGGGTAAAAGTTAAAAAATAAAATTTATTGCACGCAAAAGCGATCAAGTGTGCGGTGCACCCGAACCGCACAAGTGTCACAAGATGACGAAAGCAGCGACGTTCAATTTTTTATGCGCCGCAAATTTGATTTATCTATGGTATGCGGTGCAGAAATGCATGTATTAAGTTTAATTTCCGTGGCTAGATGAGCGTGTATAATGTTCCACAATGTTCCAAGGCAAAAAACGAATTTAATTACGTAAGAACCGACACGCTGGAAAGAAGTTTAATGAAGCAAAAGAGAACTCTAAGAAGATCTGGAAGATTTTAAACGAAATAATGAACACCAAGGAAAGCAACACCAAAAAAATACATCAAATAATTAATGCAACTGGACCACCGACTAAAGACGATAAAGAAATAGCTAAAGAATTTAATATACACTTTTCAAAAATTGGAGAAATACCAATTTTGAAGAAGAAGCAGTTGTGGCTAGCATATTTTTGGAACAACGATGCTAAAAATAAAGGAAACGATTACGATTAAAATATATTTGTGCCCCAGGCATCGATGATATGACAAAAAAAGATCTGCAGGCACTAATCAATATCATTGGACAAAAGATGGTAGAACTTACTAATAAAAAAAAACATTTAAAACATACTTACAAAAATGCACATAGCTTAGAATGGACCTGAGTTATTATTTACAAAAAAAAAACATATAATATCCTAATAAGATAATAACAACGTTTTTTTATAGCTAAAAGGAAAATATATAACGATGATGAAATACCTATAAATTATGAATCCTACACTTGCCACTGACCACATAACAAAAGTTCTAAAGAAATATGACGTCAAAACCGGATTTACCACTTGTCAAAGACAAAATTCCATTTGAGATGTCAGGAGTTTACAGCATTCCATGCATAAGCGGCAAAGAATGATTGGAGAGACCAGACGAAAAATATCAACTCGGCTCAAAGAACGTGAAAGAGTCTTAAGACTAAGACAAACGGCTCCATAAAATTTTATTCTTGACAAATTTTCAAAAATATACAGGGTGCGCAGCAAACTCAGAAAAACTAAAACATTTTTATTTAAGGTTTTCACCTATTGTACAGGGTGTTCCCTATATTCCGTGCTATATAAGAAATGTGTTAAGTGTCTTAAATTTGCAGATATGAACTTCAAATTTATCAGCGAAGTAAAGATCCGTGTCCGCATTTAAACAGTAGAAATTGAGTGCGATCAAATTTCGCGAAGTATTTTTTTTTATTTTTGAAATTTTTCTTTTGGTTATTTTGGCGTCCAGAAAAAATTTATTTCCTTAAAATTAACTCGATCGACAAAATTCTAGAACCAAAAGACGCGATTTATCCGGTACTATAACTTTTATTTTAAGCATTTTTTCTATTATTTTCAAGGTTTTTCGATTATAGACAAAAATATAAAAGACCCTGAAAATTGTTCTTTCCCAGAGTACATTATTTGCCGTAAATCAAAATTTGTAGAATATATGACTAATTGGTTTAAACAGTGTTATAGGCCGCATCAAGGGTTACAATTTTTGTATTTGTATCGCATTCGCTGAGATAAACAAGGACGGCTGCTGGAATTCCATATGTTAGAATATTTATAGTATATAACGTCATATCCGACAAGACCCTTTAACAAAAAGGCGCCGCCTTGTTCTTTTGTCGATTGTCAAATGTATCGGCCTCTCAGGCAAAAAAGACAGAGAGGGCAAGTTGCGGTGAGGAGATATAATTAGGGTCTTATTATGCGATGTTTTTGGGTTTACGATAAGTTAATTAAGACGTAGTTGTCGAACCGAGAGGAATAAATTCGATTATGCATCATTACGTTGTTTTGATTTGATTATCCTTACAAAGCAGCGGTGTGATATTATTCTTATATTCTTATATTTGTTCTCTTTTGGGACAAGGTAAAAATATTGTACGTTATGGGAAAATTTAAATCGAAAACAGTTACAAGTGAAAAGAGTAATAAACGGAAAGAACGTTCATCCTCGTCTTCGGGAAGTGATAGTGACAGTTCGAATTCGAGTTATAGCACTTCCGATAAAAGGTCAAGGAGAAAACGGACAATAAAACGTTTGAGAAAAGAATTAAACGATTTAAAAACCGTCTTTCGCGCGGAAGACGAACTTTTAGTGCTGAAATTTGAGCCAAGTCGGGATGACGTGATGGTGGATAATTGCTTGAGTAAAGTAGATAGTTTGGCAGAACGCTATCAGTGGGACGATGATATTATTCTTCGAATAATTTCGGGACGATTACGAGAGAATCCCGCCCAACGTGTTACAATTGTGGTATTCCGGGTCACATTTCAGTTAACTGCAAAAATATCTTTGGAGAGAAATCAATGCAGAACGAATGAGGCCATATACGAAGTTGAAGACTTACGAGAGGGGTTCAAACGTAGAAGAACTGTTGTAGCCGCAGACCATGGTATCATGTTAAAAAGTGGGTTAGTATACAAAATGAAGAGGATTAATGGCAAACGTTGCCTATAAGCGAACGTCGCTTGTGTTTTGTGTTTTGGCAAATGTTTTCTATAAGCGAACGTCTCTTGTGTTTTGTGTTTTGGCAAACGTTTCCTATAAGCGAACGTCGCTTGTGTTTTGTGTTTTGGCAAATGTTTTCTATAAGCGAACGTAGCTTGTGTTTTGTATTTTGGCAAACGTTGCCTATAAACGAACGTCGCTTGTGTTTTGGCAAACGTTGTCTATAAGTGAACGTCGCTTGTGTTTCGTGTTTTGGCAAACGTTGCCTATAGCCTATAAGCGAAATTCTCTTCTATTATGTATTTTGACAAACGTTGCCTATAAGCGAACGTGGCTTGTGTTTTGTATCTGGGCAAACGTTGCCCATAAGCGAAAGTCGGTTTTGTTTTGTGTTTTGGCAAACGTTGGCTATAAGCGAGAGTCGCTTATATTTTGTGTTTTGGCAAACGTTGCCCATAAGCGAACGTCGCTTGTGTTTTGTGTTTTGACAAATTTGTCCTATAAGCGAACGTCGCTTGTGTTTTGGCAAACGTTTCCTATAGCCTATAAGCGAAAGTATCTTCTAATATGTATTTTGGCAAACGTTGCCTATAAGCGAACGTTGCTTTTGTTTTGTGTTTTGGCAAACGTTGCCTGTAAGGGAGAATCGCTTATATTTTGAATTTTGGAAAACGTTGCCTATAAGCAAGCGTTGCTTATTGTATTCTTTATAAGAGAATGTCGCTCATGTTTAAGATACTCTAGTACCTACTACTGATTATGTTTTTTTTTTATTACATAATGATTAAGACTATAAACCGAGCTAGAATGGTAAAATTAATGTAGTTTTGTAAGATTGAAGTTACGTTTAAATTTTACCATCAGGTCTGAGACAGACCAATAGTCAGGATGGCCGAGTGTTAGAAGATTTATAGTATTACGTCATATCCGACAAGACCCTTTAACAAAAAGGCGCCGCTTTGTTCTTTTGCCGATTGTCAAATGTATCGGCCTCTCAGGCAAAAAAGACAGAGAGGGCAAGTTGCGGTGAGGAGATATATTTTAGGGTCTTATTATGCGATGTTTTTGGGTTTACAAGAAGTTAGTTAAGACGTAGTTGTCGAACCGAGAGGATTAAATTCGATTCTGCTTCATTACGTTGTTTTCATTTGATTATATTTACACATACTCAGCGTCTTCTTGAGTACGGATTACTGGACAAGGAAGAGAAATAATGAATGACTAATGAAAAGAATTAAAAAAGAAAAAGAAGAGGTGGACCAAAGAAAGGACTGGGAAGACTTCGAAGGGTATAGCGGAAATTACTTAAATATAAATTCTTTTTCTCATATTTTGCTTGTAAATTTGGAAGAATCTCCTAATTACAGTTTTCCACACACAACGGATATACCGCTGAAAACCATCGTACATACAAATCGAGTAACTAAACTTGACAAATGAACAATAATCGTATGCTAATCGGTTTTTTAAGGAGCGTGACCACGTATATTATCGTTCTTATAAGTAACGACCTCTGCGGTAGACATTCGATGCATTTAAAATAGATTCTAAGCGATAGAAACGTAATACGAATCGTTAAAAATGCATTTTCGATATGCGTCAAAAATTCATCGTTTGCGACGAAAGAACGAAAAAAAAAGATGCCCCCTAATTACTTAAAATTTCACGTCAAACGCATGAGTCGTTCCGTAATGGTACGAAACGGATTTCGTGTTTAAAGTACGGAACAATATGACACAATAACATGGTTACACAAAAAATTATTGTGATTTCCTTATCGATACGAGTGAAAGTTTTTCGCGTATTTTTACGATATTTATAGAGTGAGGGATTTCGCTTTTTTTGCTATAAATTTGCATCTCACAAGGTCCATTTTTGATCTAAATTTGAAATGTTACGGTTTTTAAGTTTCGATTTTTGTTAACAAGCTAGATGGTAGATCAAAACAAATCCACTTAGGAAAGATTTTGATGTAAAAATTTACTTTATCTTTCAAAAAAAAAGGCTGTTTTATTTCGTTTCTTAATGTGGGAAAGTAATAAAATGTATTGGTATTGTCCGACCAATAATATAGTGCATTTATTGCTTTGACGTATTTTAGAGTACCTTAACCGCAGACTTTGTTCTGCATTAAGTAGTCCGATAGTGGCACAGTAGAAAAAAAAGGGAGGTGATAACACTAACAAGTGTGTACTAAACGTGCCGCCTTCACATGGAATAATTCTTCATGCTGGGTTCAAAAATGATTGATTTAGTGAATTACTTTTGTCTGCTAAAAACTATTCAAAATATCGTCAAATACCGTTATTGTGTTGGATAATGCCTAGTATTATTCAGCCCAAATTAGAAAAAATCCAAATACTTCTTCAAATCAAGAAGAAATTAAAGAATTTCTGTACGAAAATGATTTATATTTTGAAGATAGCCATACGAAAATACAACTTCTGGAATTAGTAAAAATAAAACATTTTAATAAAGACTACAAAATCGATTCGTTAGCACAACAAAACGGACATGATATCTTGAGATCACCCCCGTATCATTGTATATTTAACCCGATTGAGATGATTTTGTCTGAGTTGAAAGAGCTTATAAGAAGAAGTAACACTGCACCAAAATTTAGTGCTAGTAGAATAAACGCAATTCGGCAAAAGGTTGCTAAAATATCAGTACAAAGCGGGTCTAACTGTGAAAAATAAGTAATGAACGAGGAAAATATTTATCGAGTGCGATTAGTGGCGAAGTTGATCATTGAACCAGGTGACGACAGTAGCGATAGTGGCGATTTTTTAAGTGACTGATACTTTATTATTATTATATTTAATATTTTGTATATTAATAATGATACGATGTAGAAATGTAATGAAATAAAACGTAATAAATTGTTAATTTGTACTAATTTTTTTATGTACGCGTTTCAAGAATTGATCGGCGATAAAGTTTGAAAACATACCTATATCCCGCTTGTTAGTGTAGGTAAATAAATTCCTAGAACGGTCCTCCAATGGTCGCCGGTAAGAGTCTGCTCGGCAGGTTTTCGAGTAATAAACATTAGGCAAAGTTAATCTGGAAATCTTGTTCAATATAGGCTAGTCTTGTAGCGGTGGTTTAAAAAAAACAGTCAGATGCTGGTTCGAACAGTTTGAAAGGGCTCTAACAGAAAAATATTTATGTGATTTTATATGTTGACGAACTTTTAGCCGTTAAAATTCGTTTAAAAATTATTTGATTAATACATTTTTGGCGGTTGATTTAAGAGAAATTAAATTATTTTCCCCGATTTGTGTGAGTGTGGCTGTCAACATTTTAAGTTAGTTAATGAATAAAAATAATAAAGAACTGTGGAAATGTATCAAAAGACTTAAATTATATACAGGGAGTTTCTCGTAGGTTACGCTGATTCTGATTGGCGTGATAATACTTGAAGTGACAGAAAAAGTACAACAGGATATTTATTTAAATTATTTGAGAATTGTACTACTACAAAACGTTAAAATTCTGTAGCTACCTCATAAACTGACGTTGAATAAGCCGTTAAATAAGCAATTTGACTTAAAGCAGCAAATGTTAATATTATTATTGTCAAACCAATATATTTTTTGAAGATAACCATGGTTGTATCAGTATTGCTCAGAATCCAACAAGGCATTTTCACAGGCTGATATGCTAACAAAGTCAATCTCGTCACCCAAATACTTGGAATTTAGAACTAAGTCAGGTTTGGGGTTTTCCTAATCCAACCAACCAAATTTGTTATTGTTTCCCAGGTACCCTATTTCGAAATTTTATATTAAGTTTGCGATTAATTTTTTAGGGATGACATTAAGAAAAATTAATTTACTGATTCTTCGGTTTTAAATGTCGCGGCTCAAATGGTTGCTTTGATAGCGTTTTCAAATATGATTGTATATAAAGCGGATAGCTAAAACCTTTCGAGTAGGTTGTTATTAAAAGTCAGAGGAATTAAATATTTCCGCGTATTATTTTACCCCATACCCCTGAATTCAAATTGAAGATAATGGTACTTACATCCGGTCGCCAAAAGCGAAGTCACTCCCGCATAAAATCGAAGAAAGACAAAGAGGTGCCAAAAATAAATCAAACCAGTCGAGAGGCGAACAATAAAGTCTGACCACCTATACGTACGTTCGCAGAAAGTCTGTCACACGTACTGGTCAGCCGAACACTAAAGAGATCGGATTCGTCTGGTGCCGTACTATTCGGCTGACAATACGAAATTAAAAAGGTAAATGTATACTTAAGTCATGTGCGACACAGTCGAATATGCATACAAGATTGGCGCTAAACCATGACGCGTGACGTAGAAATCCGCAACGCACAGTAAACATTTTATGGATATTTAAGAAGTTTTGAATTTATTCAAAGCGATTCTTAAACATTCAATGGCGAGTTCAAACTCCACGTTTCTGACGTGCTGTATCTCTTGCTGGCGCCAGATGATCGATTTCTGCCTCCGGTGAGATCTGCAGAACATGACGTATAGTTTGTCTCAATCTTCATCGCAATAAAACAGCAATAACACTAGAGTCCGGTATGTATTAAAGGAACAGAACATTAACTCAAAGGTTTTAGTATTGCACGACCAAAAATATAGTGCATTTATTGCTTTGACGTTTTAAGTATTTTACAATACATTAACCGCAGACCTCCGCAGAACCGTGGTAAAACCCAACTCGACAGATGTTTATTCTGCATTAAGTAGGCCTTGCTATTGCTGATTCAGATTATTTGGTCTGAGTTGAAAACACATATAAGAAGAAATAACACTGCACGAAAATTTAGTGATTGTGCCATAAACGTAATTCGACAAGAGGTAGCTAAAATATTAGTGTAAAGCTGGTCTAACTGTGAAAAACGAGTAATAAAAGAAGAAAATATTTCGTGGCGCAGTTGATTATTGAACCAGGTGACGACCGTAGCGATAGTGACGATTTTTTAAGTGACTGATACCTTATTATTATTATATTTAACATTTTATATAAACTAACCAAAACTAACCAAAAGTTGCGCCTTTTTGCAACTGAATTTAAAATAACATTTCAAATATTCCTGGATTGCAGTTTTTGGTAGTTTGCGTTATCCGTGACAATAACACGATTTATGTGGACGTGAAACATTATTCGAAAGGGAATTTAATTTGCACTTAAAATATGTGATAATATAAAGGGCGTTCCAGTTGAAAAGTGCAATTTTCAACATTTTCAGCGTTCAAAATATTTTACATACACAGAGCTTATGGAACTAACCAAATTTCGCCGTAAAAGTCTAATATCAAAACTGAAGTGAACTGTTTGTTTTAAAACTATTAAAAAATATGAACCAGCTTCATTAAATGATACACCTTATTTTGTGCTTTTTGGTATATTAGTTTAAATCAACTAAATTACATTTCACTTAAATTAACGAGCCTGTTACAATTTTACTTCTCGCTTTTTTATACACAACTAATAACGTATATTTATTTTTTAAAACATTACAAACCTAACTAACCAAATTTTTAACCTCCAAAAACAAAAGTCACTGAGAGATTATAAAGCTAAGCATACAATTCAGCACATGATATTCTAAATATTACAGGTTACAAGTTTCAAATTAGTAGGTCGCGGTAGCCAGAAAAGGCAGCCACTAATGGGGCTGTTGCGAAATTATTTCGTTAGTCTATTGTAGTACGTGTCTTTGATCGTTGTTTTTCAATAACGCGCGTGTCATCATCGGATAAACAATTGTAACGGCCGAAGCAGGCATACCACCTGACCGATTTTGTACGGGTTATCGTAATTCTATTGTCTCTAAGAAGAAAAACCCATTTAGTAAACTTAAAATTACCGTATTTTAATTATTGATTTCTTTTAAAATCAACCATAATTATTTAACTTATATTTAATTATTTAACAGTTATCCGTAAAATGGAATTTGAGCTTAAACGGTCACTCATCAGCAGTCATTTGCCTGTTGGGATTTTAAAAAAAGAACTGACAGAAGATTAACAGATTTTGTCAAAGAAACGATGAAAAATTGATCAACTTTTTTATAATTTACAAATCTAAAAATTTCAGTGGTCCATGGTTTTGCCTTGGTTTGGCCAACCAAAACAAATTAATTTTATCAGTGTTCGTCACAGACGTCTTCTTTTTTCTGCTATTACGCGGTTAACAAAATCCGTATGTTAACTAGTATCGTTTAACTGCGATAGTTGGTGCGACTCAGATAAAAATTAATCCCGCAACAAGACGCACGTATGAACTTGAGAGCTAGTAAGTGCCGAACGATTAACGTTCACTTGTCGAAAATCTCCAACTTGACGAAGAAATAAATGTTTTAACTATACCAGGACATTTATATAAATATGTCGATTATCTCCAGATGAATAATCGCCATCAATTGACAATTCCTCATTTTCCTACTTCGGTATTTTTTTGATGTATGAGTAATATAGGAATAATCTACTTTTTTGGCCGAATGATCCTAGTAGTCTTGGCCAATAGAAGTAGAAGAAGAACCTACTTTTTTGGGGGAGACGATTTAACGATTGCACATGGCCTTTTGTTCTAGCCCGGTTGCAAAAAAGTTAGAAATTGGTTGAAAAATTGGATCGTTCGTAAAAATTTTGTTTAATACAGCTTGTAATTGAATTGTTAGGGACGTAGTGCCTACAGTTTTGTGAATTAGTGCTTGTTTGGCGTGGATGTTTATAGATTTGTATGATGTATTGCTCGGTTTCCGATTGTCTTATATTCACGCTGGTATCCAGGCTAGATGGATCGGATATCTCGCGTGACATAATTATTTAGAAGTTTGTTTCACGGTATAATTATGTTAATAAACTTAAGAGGATGATGGAATAGTCCAGACCCTTTCTTTACGAAGGCATCCTTTAGGAATTTAGAATTATAGTTACCGCGCAAATTGTCTGAGTTGGAGGACCAAATAACCAGTAAAAAAAACTATTTCCTCCTTGTTTGTAACCTCGTAAAGTTCTCGAACTACGTGAAACTTGAATTTAGATATAAAGGAAAGTTCAACATTTAAAATCACATTTGCGTGTCAATAAAGACAGCATTCGAGAAAAAATAAAAAGTAATATTTTGAAATATTGCAAAAGCTCGATTGTGAGGATGTTAGAAATAAACAACTAGATTTCTTGTTACAGCATACCAGCACAATTACACAATTAGGATCACACTATAGGGTTACTTTCTTAACTCGTCAGCACAAGGTTTCAAAAAATGGTGCAAATAAAATTAAACAAAATTATGTTTATGAAGAATATATTCCCAAATCGATAGTAACACGTAACATAATAAATTGGGACACAACAAAAAAAACTTCCCAGTAACAATCCCGTACTTAATGTTTATTTGCGAAACTCTTTGGTCAATAGGAATACTGCGACAGAAATGCACTCGAAATACAATATGGCACTTTGTGTGTATTAGAAACCTTTCCGTTTGTTACGTATCAAACTTCCAACCCAAGCGTTCAAAATAAAACATATAGCAAACGAAAATTATGAGGTGACTGAAGAGCTTCTCGCTGCGAAGTTTTGTTTAAATTAAAATTATAAACAAGGTTAGTCCTCCCTCTTATTTCAACATATAATTTTGGTTAGTTGAAGCCGGGAATGCTTCAATGACGTAATCAATGTTATTCAAACCACCGACCTCACACCAAATTTTTAAATCGAATGGACTCATCATCAACACAAAAACAACAAATAAAATGACAATTGATTAATAATAGGGGTTAAGTCATTTTGACTCTTTTATTACAAAACAACGAAGAATGATTGGTGACAGACACGTCAGCAAGTTGAGACATTTGAAATTATTTTTTATCTCTGGTCATAAACAATAGGCATGACCTACTTTTAAAATTAATTTTGAGAAATGTATTTATTTTTTTGGATTTATTCGCTCGTTTGTGAGAAAGAATACACTATCACATACTGTTTTTTTTTCTTTAATTCAATGAGACGGCTGCCCAGGTTTTTCCATTTTTCAACGAGTAAATTAATTTTACACGCTCACAACACCCAAGGCTCCCGGTGGAAATCGAACCCACAACCTCCGGCAAGTTCGAGTTGGCAGGTCAACGCCTTATCAACCTAGTCGTCATCCTCAGTCCCTATCACATATTAAGGAAAATATATACATTTTTTTTCACCATAACCTCAATTAGTTCAGAAATTTGAAGATTCTTTGCATGCCGTAAAGTGTGGTCAAGATTATATCTTCTGTGATCTAATTGATACTAATGTGAAGAAACACAGAATTCAAAAAAAATTCAGAAACTATAAACTTTTATGAAAACATTTCATTGTCAGGTTTCGAACAATATGTTACTTTAATCTGGTTGGATAACACTAAGTCGGATTTGTTTATTGACCAAAAATTAAAATGTTCTGCGATTAGAGCGCCATCTGCCGGGTATGCAAACAGAAACGGACAAATCCTATACTTTTGGTTTGTTGTGTTGTGTGTAGTGGTGGATTGGATGGAATGCTGGGTTTTATTGAGCAGCTTTTTTATTCGATATTTAAAAGCATTTAGAGATATCCACCATTCCATACTTTTTTATATTTCATGACTCTTGAAACTTGCAGTTTTTAATTCCCATGCTACTTTAGATTTTTTTTCTTTTAGGGCAAAATTATGACAAAAAACTACAATTAGCACATACAGAAACCACAACAAATTCTGGAAAACCAATTTTATACATCGAATCAAAACTGTGTTTTCCAAGCTCCCGATTACCAAATGGGAAAACGAACTTCGTTTACAAGTAGTTTGTTGCGAGACGTTCCACGAGCCACACTGTTGGATGACAGACAAAAAAAATCTGAGAAGGTACTGCCCGTCCTTAGAATAAACGGCATTTACTAGCTTACGTGGTCTACATAGCAATATCTAAATTCTAGCCACCATATTTTTAAATATATTTCTGAAAAATGCATTGGAAATACACGTGAATACGGACTAGGGTAACCGCTGGTGAGATTCAGACTTGATCCTATCACAACTGTCAATATTGTAAACCTATAATTAAAACCTATCCAAACAGGTACGATAGTTTCATTTGGGTCACTCCGTAATGATAATGGAACCATAACGAAGCAGTATACAAAGCCATTCGAGAGTAGAAAACTAGAAAAAGTGAGATTAGAAACTCTCCTAGAAATTTTCCCAAAAGCATTTTCAACAAATATATCAAAAATAAGGCTGGCTTTTTCTAAAACTCGCGAGAACGCGCTACGTTATTCGACCGCCTTTTTGGCAAAACTGACTTGGCAGAAAACCCAGTCTTCTAAGAATGACGGAACGAAAGCGTTGGAAGTGGTAAAAGTAACGGGAGGCTGAATCTTATTCAGCTGAGACTTGTACATCTCGATGCAGTCAGGGGATGACGTCCCAGTCAACTAAAGAGAAAGAAAAAATAAAAAAACCTCCGATCTCCCGGAGCTTGACCTAACCTATCTGGGTAATATCATGCGGAAACTTACATGGGTCATGAATTTTCCACTTGGCTTCAACACTTTAAAGGACATTTGCAGCACTTTGTTAATAAAAGTCCACAATTCCCCAGACAGACTGTCAGAAATAGGAACGTCTGTCAGATCGCCGAAGACATAGTCGAATTTACGATCCTCCTTGATGTATTGCTCCAGAGATTTCATACAATCACCTACGATTATCTAAAAGCAAAAAAATGTATATGTTGCGTGCGGAAAAAAGTGGAATTACCTTATAGTTGGGTCCGCTGTATTTGTCTAGGACGTTGCCGCATATCGAACGCATGTATTTAGCGCAAGCTCTCATCACAACTTCGTCAATTTCTAACATTACTACTTCCTTGGGCTTCTCTTTTAGTAATTCATACAAGAGCGCCCCGTCTCCGCCTCCCAATATCACAATTTCGGCATCTCTGTAATTTTCCTTGCCCCTCTGCATGAGGGTTTCCGTATAAATCAGATCCGACTCGGCAATATCTAAAACAACCTTTTAAAAAAGGACTAACCTGAATGTTATACGCTTACTCTGCAAGTCATCCAGTACGAGCATGTTGCCTAGGCTCTTGGAGTGTACTATCTGAACTTTTTGGAAAGGCGTCGCCTCTTCAAACACCAAACTGTCGATATCATACTCCAACAACCTTTCATCTGGAAACATATTGAGACGTTACAAAAAAAACTTTACTCATCAATCTCTAAGCATGATAAGCAATATACCAAAAAGCTTACCTGACGTTGGGAAATATCTAATGAACAGACCTCGCTTCAAGGGCATTAAAGACTGCGCCCTCTTTATCTCTAGGACCCTTTCCTTGACTAGTTTTTCTAGCTCATGACATTTCTATAAAACATTAGGTAACATGCAAGCAAAATGATTTGATGAAAAGTTAATAGTAAAGGGTAATCCACATGTCATCGCTCTGGATTGTCCCTTTAATATAAATTGAAAAACAATACAAAAATAGCTTATAAAGGGATTAACATCAATTTCGGAAATGGGGAAAACAAGCAAAAACTTGAAAGTGCGAAAATAAAATGTCACAATAATGGTGCCGAAAAGTTTCGAATATCTACATTTCATTCCCAGAACAAAAGGGGCCCAACAATATATCGAACCTGAACTAGATAAGTAAACGTCTATCGCAGCCCCTCTTTTAACCGGAGGGAACATTTTTGATCTAAACGAATCTAAGGCAATGCTTAGTTTTTGCTCAAATACTTTACTTAGCTGGAAAAAATATATTTTTATTTGTGTTTATATGGGAACAATGTGCTCTCTGGCCAAATAGTTCAATCCTTACCTCGAAGGATAATATCGCTTCCTGTTTGTCACCCTTAAAATAGTCAATATTGACGGTAACTAATCCACTAGTGTAAATCCTTAAATTTAGAAGGATCCCAGGTTCGGCGGTGTAAATCTTCACTGAGCTCCCGTCCAGACTAAAGCAACTAACAGTTTTTAAACCCGATAAAAAATCTCGCAAAACATTTTCTATGTTTGTCGACAAAACCGAAGAATTGTTTTTCACAACATTTGGATCAACCGAAAAATCGAGGAGAATTGTATTTACTGCCATTATTTGCAAATTTGGCTAACCGATTGGTGGATACCTTTTGACTAACACCAATTTAATGTAACCTCACTTTTTAATTCCATTTAATTGAAAATGTCAAATTAAACAGATTACTGCGGATCTGCCAAAAAATAGAAGCAACCAACCCAAATTTATCAGATGAAAAAAAAACTCCCCAACAAATTCCCATAAACCTTTTCGATCAATTCAGTATCCTTCAAAATATTTTTTTAATAAAAAAATAGTGAGTGTTACAAATTAAAATTAACCTTTCTAAAACTTGGTTTGGTATTCTGTGATGAAACATTTCCCTTAACACGTATCACTGGTTTAGTTGTGTTGTTTTTCAACTTACTATCTCTTATCTATGGTCCAGTCTCCAAACAAATATAAGAAATTTTGTACAAAAGTAAATCAAATATTTTTGTAAGTGTTTGTGGTACATAGTCGTATGTATGCGAGAAGATGCCCAGTTCTTTACACCGGAGACTGCGTATTTAATAATCAATATTTAAAATTAATAATGGTAAACGCTTGTTGTGCTCCCAACTGTAGGGGTAATTATAACAATGGACCAAAAGTGGCAATATTCTCATTCCCAAAAGATGAGGTTTTGCGGAAACAATGGATTAAAGGAATAAAAAGAGAACCTTCATTTATTCCAACAAAAAACACTAAGGTAAAATGGTTTTGGCAAGTGTAGAAGTCTATATTATTAATTTTAAGGTATGTGAGCTTCATTTTAAACCCTTTGAGATTGAAAGAGTTACAACCTGCACTATTGAATCAACCGGAGAGGTACTAACAGCCAAATTAAAAAAACCTCGTTTGATCAAAGGTTGTGTTTAATTATTAATTTTTAAATCCTGTGAAAGTAGCATAATCTCTGTCACAGGTGCGGTACCGTCTATCGTCTTGTCCATCTAAACCCAAATGTGATCACAGGGGAAGTTCTGTGGCAAAAGGGCAAAAATTAAATATAACACATTGAGCAAGCAGTAGGTGAAAATCTTGAGACTGAATCCAATTATGTGGATAAAATAAGATTTACCGACTTTTAAATAGGGTTTGAAAAGATAACATATGCTAATGTGGAAAGGTAGCTGAGATATATGTTTATTTTATGTTGAAGTAAATATATAAATTTAAAATGTTGTGTTTTTATTTCTAAATATTTTTATCACCTTAGCACTAAAATTACTATAATTACATGTTCCAATAAAACAATTTATTCCAATAAAGAGAAGTGATAAAATATCTGGTAAAACTATTACTGAAGTGAAAAAAAAATGAAACGTAATAGATCAACACTGCAACACAACCTGGACTAAGGACCAGTTAAATCATATTGTTTTTAAAATAGCAAATGAATATTAATAATGAAATGTCCGTATTAAATTTACACGGCCATGAAAAAAAAAACAATGTTTTTTTACAAGATTCCTGAAAAAATATTTAAATACTAATGCCCTACCTCTTCCAGACCTAAACAATAATTAACGTCTATTTTTAGCCCGTATTCCTTTCATACCCTAATGTAAATGCCTTCCTCAGCATTCTGTGGCTGTTGTAGTATTCCGTGACTGTAGCGAAAGAAGGTTATGTTTGGCTTTGCCATGTTATTGTTGATAGGTATTTTTTATTTTTGTTTATATTTACCTATAGACATACGAAAAAGCAATCAAAAATCATTGAAGTGGCCTAAAAATTTAACCATATTGGTCCATATATAATTGCGATTAGTAGTCCCATTCAAATTCCACTGGATAATTGGGATTTTCGAATAGGTTCTGTAAATTTTTTTTTGAACTGGTAAGTACTTTAAGGTATTCTAAATTTTTGTAATTTGTTCTCTGAAACTCTCATCTCATGAATTTGCAGCAAACTCAGGGAATGCTAAGGGGTGTCTGCCTTAAAGGGCCAATTAAAGCTTCTCGATAGCAGACATATTTAAAGCATCTTTTTATTAAGGCTTAAATTCACGCTAACGTTTGATTAGCATTTTTGTCTAAAGCACATTTGGCATGTGTAAGATTTTATGGATTCTTTATGTAAGAATCAACTATTTTAATGCAATCAAAATCAAACATATCCAAAAGTTTCTCGGAACAGATAGAAATATTCAAGTACCAACCAATTACAATAATATAAATTTAATTTTTTTTACACATATTGGCCCCAAAGTAAATAATATTTTACCAGAAGAGATAAAAAATATTACTAATTCTAGAAAATATATTCAAGCTTGTAAATCCTTTTTATGGAATTTATTTATTATTTATTTATTGATGCACTATTGAACATACTATGTAATGAAATTATATAAAATAGAATATTATATTTTTTGTTTAAATGTCATGAATATAACATAGGGCACATAGAAATGCTTCTTGCATTTATGTGCGACTATGTGGGCAAATAAATTTAGGGTCAAATTTAGGGTTTTTAATTTATAAGGACATGGTTTGGTATGAACGCTTCTAGTATATTTGGTATCCATATTTATTGTTTGATCATTAACATTTAGCCTACGAGCGTAAAAAAATTGTTCAAAGATTGTTGTGCTTCATTTGTTTATATTTTTTTGCAGATTTCATCGAATCTAATGTGGAAACGAAGTAGATCAAAAACAAATAACGAAACTAGGAAAAAAAGTAACACGTTCAAAAATACAGACGATGGGTTTGAGGAATGGGTATGTATAAATAAATAGCTTTCGGTGGTACTAAAGTGGCAATAACAAAATTCTGTGTTTACTGAAGACATTCGATTTTTATTTAAACATTTTGATTTGAAAAAAGTGGTGGGATAAGGTTGGGTCTGTTATCACATTTAACGAGATCTAAGCATTGTTTGCAAAAATGCTGCCGAAAAAATGCCACTTATAAACGATCTGTCAGCGGTCATGTTGGTCATTGAATGCCGCAAAGTAGTTTTTTTTTCCGTAGTAGTATCCTAAGTTCCTGTATTATCAAACATCAAAAATATTTCGTATATTACTGGTTCCATATCCAGTAGGTATTTGCTGGATTATTAATAATAAAAAAGATTTATTTATCAACTGCAAAATATCTCCGTTTATTTTTCGAACATCCTCTATAGTAACGTCTTGTTAATAGGGCGGTTACATGGCCGCGAAGCGGTCGAAGCTCCTCGATCAATTTCACAACGGCCCGATCGAAAAATTGTCCGATATTTTTGCTGGAGTTAAGATACTGGTAAACGGGCTCACGCACCCTCCAGCTAACGAGCTGAAAGATCTGATGGCAGCCCACGGCGGCGAATACCACATGTATCAGGTGCCGAGCACGACCCACATTATAGCTTCGAATTTGCCCAACACGAAAGTAACACCTACTCGATTTCCTCGTAATTTGTGTTCATAACACTCGAGTTTTAGATAAAGCATTTGGGAGCCGTTCCTGTTGTTAAACCGGCGTGGATAATCGAGAGTATAGCGCTGGGAAAACTGATAGATTTTAAAAGGTATGTGCTGTACTTTGTGGTTATATTTCCTGTCTGTGAAATTAACAATTTTGGGTACATTTAAAATTTTCCTGTAATGGCAAACAAAACTGGATAATTAATAAATAATAGGACATCCAGATTTTGAACTGAGGTGGCTTTTACTTGACAAAAATCCATTTAACACAATAAATAAGAACTAAAAGTTTAGATTTTCACGAAATTATATATTTTCGCATGACAATTGTTTCGACAACACCGTGTCTTTATCAAATGTAATATTTACAAACTACCTGCTACTATATATACCGAGAAATGACAATAAATCCTTAATTAATGTTGTGAAAATTTAGGTTCAATAAAGGAAAGCTATTTAAATCTAATTGATCGTTAAGCAATGCATTTGAATGTCTCATTTTGTTAATCATCACGGCTTCCAATAAATTTAATTTTCTACTTTTTCTGGCTGTGTGTAAAATATCAAAATTGTCGTCAAAAATGTGTTTTTTTCTGTGTTTAAGTGTGTAGCATTATTAGAATCTAGACTATTGTTTTTAAACGCTCTTTTATGTTCGTTAATGCGTTTCTTAAGGATCTACATGTTTATCCAATATAAATTTTAGGACAAGATCTGCATTTTAACCTGTAGGCACCTGACCTGATTTTTGAGATTTTGGACACTTTGTTTTTTTTTTGTTTGTTTTTTAAAAATTTTCCTATTGTGTTGTTAGTTCTGAAAGCTATTTTTATACCGCATTTTGACAAATGTTTTGAAACTTTTTCACTGGGTTTTCCTATGTATGTAATTGTTTTAAATTGTTCGTGTTCTGTAGTTTATTAAATTAGAAACCAACAACAGAGGTCCCGCTGCAAGGAAAGGCCAGATCCAAGGCCTGACAAAATGGATGAAGGAAGAACAAAGACACGAGTACAGAAAACGGGACACAAACAACATTTATGTAAATTGTCTCATAGACTTAATCCCATAGAATTTGACACATTTGATTATAGAGCTCAGACACAACATTTTCTAGAAATGAATTTGAATTTTGGAAAAAGGTTTCAACTTTAACTTACAGCCTCAAATATTAATAGAGAATAAGGCTGTTTAGGGATCGACTGTGAATTAGCAATTAAGGACAGGAATCATTCTAATTAATAGATAACAAACACCAAGAAATTTCTCAAATGTCACTAATAAAAAATATTTACACATGCAGATAAAGGGAAGACAGTTACAGCTATCGATCTTCCAGATTATATTTCAAAAACCAACAATTTTCTTAAACCAGAACTTTTCCAATGTATCAAACACGATCCTACCGAGTTATATCAAAGACAAGTCAAGGAAGTAATTACTGACTCCACACTATTTAGTGACAAAGACAAGTACTTTTTAACAACTGTAAATCCACAACCGCCGAATTATATTCTTTAGTTAAATTACATAAACAATATATGCCCATTACACCAGTCGTGTCTTATGTAACGGCCCCGGTAGTTAAATTCTCAAGAAAATTAGTAAATATTTTAAAGTTTCACACAGATTTTAAACCAAATTTGCAATAAAAAATTCTTTTTAATTAATCAACAAAATTAAAGATATCAAAATCCCTTCTAACGCAGTGCTATTGTCTTTTGATGTACAAAACTTATTTCCCAGTATTCCACCTATGGATGTGATAGATTTAGTAGATTTCACTCTCACTCGGAAACAGGTTAACCCATTGGTGAAACAAGATTTATTAGATTGCTTAATAGTATCTTTAGACCAAAATTATTTTGAATTTAATGGACAGATTTACATCTCTAAGGAAGGTTTGATTATGAGAAACACACTTAGTCCTTTGTTAGCTGAGATGTCTTTGCTTGCTTTGTTGGAATGGACAGACAACTGAATTATTTTTTAAATTACATTAACTCATTACATAATCGTATAAAATTCACTATCGAGATTGAACAGGATAACTCTATTAATTTTCTCGATTTAACTTTTACAAAAACGCAAAACAAATTTGATTTTTGCATTTACCATAAACCTTCACACACGAACACAGTCATAACATGACAGCTCAAATCACCATTGTACAGACACAATGGCTGCATTTCACTCTTTTATACACAGACTTCTTAATACGTTACTCTCAACAGAAAATTACAACAAAGAACTTAATATCATTCGACAAATTGCACTGAACAACGGTTACAATCCGTTCGTTATCGATAAAATTATAAACAAAAAACAAATCCAGACAGCAATAAACTCTATTTATCCGAAACCTAATACAGGACACGAACAATTTAAAACAATTACACACATAGAAGAACTCAGTGAAAAAGTTTGAAAACATTTGTTAAAATCTGGTTTAAAAATAGCTTTCAGAACTAACAACACAATAGGAAAATTTTTAAAAAACAATAAAACGAAATTTCCAAAATCTCAAAAATCAGGTGTCTACAGGTTGAAATGCGGATCTTGTCCTAAAATTTATATTGGACAAACAGGTAGGTCATTCAAGAAACGCATTAACGAACATAAAAGAGCGTTTAAAAATAATAGTCTCCATTCTAGTTATGCTACACACTTTGATATTTTACATACAGCGACAAAAAGTAGAAAATTAAATTTACTGGAAGCCATGGAGATTAACAAAATGAGACATTCAAATGTATTGCTTAACGATCAATTAGATTTTCCTTTATTGAACTTAAATTGTCACAACAACATTAATTAAGGTTTTATGGTCATTTTTCGTTATATATAGTAGCAGGTAGTTTGTAAATATTACATTTGATAGAGGCGGTGTTGTCCAAACAACTGTTATGTCAAAATATATAATTTCCTGAAAATCTGTACTTTTAGTTCTTAATTATTTTTATATATAATTTCGTGAAAATCTGAACTTTTAGTTCTTATTTATTGTGCAAATATAACTGTTCTATACCTTTAGGTATTTGCTGTATACCAACCAGAGTAGCAAACAACCGGCTTTGCCTTTCCCGATTGTTACGAAACCTATAAGCAACGGCGATAGCTCACACGCGCGAGCTACAGCGTCCGCGTGCGTAAACGTCGCGACCTCTAGCGGAAGGGTTGCCAAAACAGCTTCGGACCCGAAGTTCTTGGAAGAGTTCTACAGTAATTCGCGGCTGCATCTCATCGCCACCCTCGGTGCAGAATTTAAACATCTGGTGGCCCGGCTTAGGGAAAAAACTGTCGGGAAGTTTCCCGCTAGGGACAAACTTAGAGCGGAAAAAGGTGGGTGATTATTTATTCGTTATCGTATCGACAATAGTGTTTCCTTTATCCCGTTGGCGATGTATTTGACATTGTTCAATGTTAAACCGGTGACGGCGAGCGCTCCGCTCTTGTACATATAGATGTGGTGGTGCTTGATCAGGTGTTTGACATGGCACTGAAAATAATTGAATAATCTCGATATTTTAAAAGTTATTTTATGAGGTGAAGGGATGGAACAATCGCAATAGCGTTGAAGAACAAAATTAGAAAAGAAACACCAAATAGATATGTTCAATTTCTTCATAACGTCTTTGTTTGATAAACATGCGCCTTTTGTCGTTTCTAAGATCACCAAAACCTGTGCTGCTTGGTTAACACATACTATTCGTGAAATGATGGAAATGAGAGATAGTCTATTGTCGAAATATAAAAAATTCAAATCTATCGCTGACTACATTGCTTACAAAGAAATAAGGAATGTTGTTACAAGTGCAGTACGTAAAGAAAAATCCGCATATTTGTCTTACAATTTCGATTCTAGGAATTCCAAACAGATTTGGAAAACTTAAAACAACCTAAAAAATCCCAGCGATATTAATATTATTTTGCTTCTGTTTTTAGCAATATTAACAATTGCCCTAAAACCACGTCTTTCTATAAAAATCGCAAGTTCAACTCGAATATATCATTTGCATTTAAACTTAAAAACATTAAACTCCCAATTCTGCTGGTGTTGATTGTGTACCCGCTACAATGCTTCAGATGACCCTTCATATTACCACGCCATATGTCACACGTATTATTAATTGCTATTTGTAAGTAGACTATTTTCCTACTATTTGGAAGTTTGCTTTGATCACACCATTGGCTAAAAAATAACAGTACAAGCCAATTCTCAGACCTTCGTTCAATCAGTAATCTTCCAACCTTTTCTAACATTTTGGGCAAAGTCATAAATGTACAAATTTATGATTATGTAATTTAAAATCATATTTTCACTGACAGTCAATCTACATTTCGTAAAGGTTTTAGTACTATTAGTGCACTTGTACACATCAATGATCGCATTATTAGTTCTTTAGTCCTGAATTTCTCCCTGTTTCATCAGGTGTACCGCAAAGTTCTGTCCTTGGACCTCTATTATCCTTAATTTATATTTCTGATATTTATACATCCATTGAACATTTGAATTTGCATTCATTTGCTGATGACACTCAGCTATTTTACTCCTTCGATCCTAAATTATTTGATATTGCTTCAGTTCATATCAATTTGGATTTGCATAACTTATTTCTATATTCTTCTTGGCATATTCTTCTACTTAATGCTGAAAAATGCAGCGTAATGTTCTTTTCTCCTAAACCTAACATTGAACAAGTATCCCAAATGTATTTATTTGAAAATTGTGAACTGTAATAAAAACCTTGGTGTTATATATGATTGTAGACTTAGATTCGTTGAATATGTATCATTGTTGGTGAAAAAGTCTTATTTTGTTGTACAGGCATAGAACTGTCCTTAATTTCAATTCATGTAAACTTTTTGCTCAATCACTTGTCCTTTCCATTATGAACTATGGTTTAGTCCTCTATTGCAAAAAATTCAAAACAGCTGTTGCAGATTTATTTTCGGTTTGCGTAAATTTGATAGGATTTCCCACAAAATCCAGGAACTTGCTAAAAATTGGCAGTACTTTGAAGTACTTTTTGGCGTCTACGGTTTTCCAAATTATTAGCATATCCAATCCGTCCTACCTACGAGCTAAATTACACTTTCGTAATGTTCAATCAGTGGCTTTAAGGCACCCCTACAGACTCTCACTGCCACAAGATCGTTTATCTTTATTCCGCAGACCATTTTCTTATAACACTGTTGTAATTTTTAATACTATATCCGATTCACATTCTTAAATTCTTTAAAAAATATTTCAGGTTAAAACTGCTCAAATAATTTGATTTTCAATGTTATTCTTTTTATTTAATAACTTCCTATTGTTCCATATTACTATTACATTTATCATTTAATTTATCAATGTAATTATAACTTCCTATTTAGTTTTTAATTTAAACATTTAAGAGGTTAAGTGTCTCTACTGTGTATTTGTATATAACAATATACAACAGTAAAGCCAATTTATTATTATTATTATTTTGCAAAGCAATAACTGTGTCGACTTTCACATACAAAGGTGAGATATGACTAACGGCAAAGCTACAGGGTGACTGTCAAAAATGTACGATTTTAAAGGCCCTCTATAACTTTTTTAATTGTAATCTCTGGGAATCTGTCTATTTCACCCGTTTTGTCTTAGAGTATTTAGTTCCCGAGATATCACACAAAGTTATATTTCTTTAAATGGGACACCCCCAATTTTTCAAAAAAAAAAAATCAGTTTTCTAATAAACGAACGATGTGCCATACACCTATTTTTATTAAATAGTTTAAAAGATATTTGCAATTATTGATATTTACCATAGTGGGCGCTGTGTGCGTCCTAAATGTAATTTTTATAAATGAAACTACGTAACACTCAAAATCTACATTTCACAAGTTTCTTTAATTCTAAAAGAAATGCTCAAATTGACGGCCGTTTTCTTGTAAACATATCCTACATTTTCTCTTGACGCTATTTTCTGCATTAAGAAGTTCTACCCCCAAGAAGCTGCCTGGATGCAGTACGAAGTAGTTATTACAATTCCACAAAAATAAGTCGCAAGGGGTCAGGTCTGGAGACCTTATTTGTGAGGAGGTACACCGTCATGTTGAAAGTATAGCTGATTATTTTGCTGAAGTGGCAAATTGTCGATAAAGGGAATTACCTGCTCTTCTAGAATTTGTTGGTATCTTTCGGCATTTAAATTTCGATCAAAAATATATATGTTAAAACTGAACCTTCCCTGATTCGCTTGTTCCACCATAATATGGGGATTTTACTGTTTCCAGTAATAGCAGTTACACCTGGTGAATATTCCATCACTAGAAATCATTGCCTTATCCGTCCAAATAACTTTCCTGGCAAAATCGGGGTTTTCTTGGAATTTATTTAGGTGTCACCTGCAAAGTGCACTTCTTTGAGCAAAATCTCGTTGCCGTAATTGATGCACCTGTCGGGGTCGAGAGGGCCTAAACTTATGTTTTTTAAGCGCCCGCACGGCATTGCTGCGTGGAATTCCAGTGTTTCTCTTCATAACCCTTATGAATGTTTTCGGGTTAATTTCTCTGGCTAGGCTTCTATACGTCCTAGATCGCGGTTTTGTAAAGGATCCGCATTATTGTAGATGACGTTTTAACTTCAAAAATATTTTTGAGTTGCCTTCTTTAAGGATATTTCTGGAAATATAAATTTAACGCCGTCTGTCGATTTTCGGTACTTTCAATATAATATTTTATCATGTCATACTTTTCGTTTTCAAAAATTTTTACAGATTGACGAAGATGCCACTTTTGACACCTGGGCTTGTGTATCATGGCAATTGTTTTTATCTGATCGTAGCTGCTTAGATAGTCAGTTAAGCACAGCCTACTATGGTAATTATTAAAAATTGCAGATATCTTTTTAACTACTTAGCAAAAATAAGTGTATGACATATCGTTTGACTGGAAATTTTATTAGAAAACTAATTTCTTTGAAACAAAATTGCGGTATTCCATTTAAATAAATGTTTGTTATTATATCTCGTGAACTAAAGGCTTTAAGACAAAAACGGTGAAACAGGTAGATTTGCCTTAAAAACGTAATAAAAGATTTTTAGTTATAGATACACAGATTGATACTTAGACAGCAAATCTCACAGTGACGAAATATTGTTCGCGATTATATAAAAAATATATAATGAGTTTTTGAATTAGCCAGGTTTTTGTTTTGCATGAAGGTCATAGTTACTTCTTAGGGGAGGTTTCGTCAAAAAGTATAAAAATATACCTCGTTCAATCCCGTGTAACAAAATAGTCCAACTTGATCTGTTATGTGAGTCCATTTTCCCGGCGCCTCCATCTCTTCCAATTCCTCCCGTAGCCGCCTACGTACAAACGAAAGTCTCGCCGCCAAAATTTGGAGGTTCTCTTTCCATTGATGACGTAGATGGTCCTCTTGCAAAATGTACGAGATTATCCTTGAAAAAAGAAGCAGCTGCAGGGGGGCATTTTTTCGAACTTATAATATAACAATATACTTAATACTCAATATATTTTTTGTCTTCAATTAACTAAAAAAATATATTATCAACAACGTAATTAATACATTAATTAAGGAATAATGGATAAGGAAACGGTTTTGTGTGAACAATTGTTTTCTAGCTCGTCAGATTAAGTTGAATAACTTTTTTTGGCCTAATCCGATTTCGCCGAAATTAGTTTAGTTTTAAAATATTTATAGGGGCTTCGACTGGCATGTCAATATCACGATATTAATTCTTTTACGAATCGGTAGGAGGCGCTTCATATCTAAAACAGCTATTTTTATGATTTTTTTCGAAAATTTCAAATATAATGGTATAAATATTTTTAGCTAGGACGAAAGAGTGTAAAAAAACACAAGTAGTGGATCCGGCGTGACAATATCTTTTTTCCCGTTTGAGATATAAATAAAAATGTATTTATTAAACATATTTTTCAGCCTTAGCATAGTAATAGTACCAGAGACGACAGAGATAAATTTGATTTTGTCCCAAATTATTGAAAAAATTGAAACGTCAATATAATTTATTAATGCATTACATGTTATTGTCAATATTGGAATAAAGGGTAAAATAGGTAAAATAACTTAGTAGACTTAGCGGTTGGCATGGTAACGTAAAAAAGTATTTTTAAATTAATTTTTATTTATATCTCATGGGAGAAAAATGATATTGTCAAGCCGTTTCCACTATTTCCTGCGTTATTTTTTACGTTCTTTCATCCTAGCTAAAAATGTTTATACCATTATGCTTGAAATTTTCGAGAAAATCATAAAAATAGCTATTTTTGACATGACCCACTCGCAAACGAATTAATGAATTAATATCGCGATATTGATATGACATGACAAAAGAAAATGTTGGAAATTATTCTCAGGTTCGTAAAATGGCCGCTAGAGGACATAACCTCTACCGTAAAATAGAACAAGCGTACCAGCTTCGGAGTTAAGCTCTGAAGAATCCAACAGGATGATTCTCGAGAAAAAAAAAGCTCCGTTTCAGAATAAATTACTTCATTCAAAAAAATAACATATTTTTGAAGGTGTTCTTTTCGCTGATACGACTACGAGTTGGTTAGTTTAGCGTGGCAACGGATTTATTATTTGAAGAAAAGGTATTTAAAAAACAATTAAAAGTAAATACATTTTTTAAAATTTGCATTGATTTTCAAAGTCTTTAAGTTGTAATATTTAACGATATATGCCGTACGAATAGTTGTGTTCCATTGTATAACATAACAAAAAATATTAGTAGTACTTGGCTGTCACTTTTTCGTTTTTTAAGATATCAATGTAAATAAAGGTTTATTAAGGCCTAAAATACAATTTTCAAAAAATAATTAAGATATCCAAAACTATTTAAACAAGTTAAGTTCAGTTGATAACCGGTGATTTTTGTGCCGGATGGTGAACACTTTTTGAAATACACTCAAAAAGTCCCATAAGGCAAATGTAAATTTTTACTGTTTATAATGAACCTGGATCTAGTGAACTTTCGGATACAGTGAACTAAAGTTCGTCAAGATTAAGATTGATTTTCTATTTTTAATGAACTGATACATAGCACATTTGTTTTGTTATTGTTTTGATCTTAGTTGTGATTCAGATTTCGTGGAGAATATTGATGACAGACCTTCAAATGGAGAAACAAACAAAACTTAAAAAAAAAAAATACGATTTACGATACAAAAATTAAAAGTGGTACGAAACAAAGTGATATTTCTCGTGAAATGAAATTGCCTAAAGCAAATGTCTTCATTACCTGGAAAAAAAGATAGGATTCTCTCGTCCTATTTTCAAGTGAATGCAAGTTGTGAAAGGCTCAGAAAATCAGCCCATGAAGGCATCAATACGGGACTTTTACAGAAAATGTTCCCATAAGTGGTCCAGTTCTGCAGCAAAAAGCAAGTGAAATGGGAAGTAGAATAAAAGAATTTTGAAGAAGAAGAAGAAGAGAAATGTATCTTTGGAGGAAAAATTGTTGGTGAGTCTGCATCAGTTGATATGAATCTTGTTAATAACTGGCTCACAACGGTTTGCCTGATCTTTGCAAATATTACAAACTAACCCCTGATGAGACATTGAAATTTCAAGGAAAAAGGTTTGCAGGTGGAAAATTGTCCAAGGTTTCGAATAGCAGTTCTGGGACAAAAAAGAGAACGCTGTTTGTTATCGGTAAATCAATAAACCCAAGATGTTTTAAAAACAAGACCCTACCTGTCAAGTACAGGTCAAACAGCAAAGCTTGGATAACATCTGACTTATTTACCGAAGAGCTGCTCTTCTAGTAGATCCCAGCACATCCCAACGTTCCGTTGAATCAAATCAAACTGGTTTTTGCTAATAAAGATGATAGAAGCAATTGATGATGGACAAGAGTTTTCAGTGAGCTTATTGGATGCTGTAAATTTTATTCATCTGGGCAGAAAGTTAGGAAAAACACTATTGCAAACTGTTACAAATATGCAGGATTCTTTGAAGCAGAAGATGATGTTGACTCTGATGATGAATTAGGAGTAGGTGGGTACATGTATTTTTTTTTAGATGTTGTTTACTTCTTCTTGGTCACTTGCTACTTGTTTTGTACAGAATGCGTAATATCTTGAAAAATGCATGTATATCATGGCATTTAATAACCTCCAGGTAAACATCAGTTGTATACTAAAGTTTATTTATTGATTATAGTAAACCTCGGATACAGCGAACCAATTTTGATGCAACTTTCTAGTTGACTATATCCGGACTTCATACTGTATCTTAATTTATGTTAAGAATTTCGGTTAGTTCGGAGTTTGAACTAACCGGAAAATAGTTTACATCTAATATAAGATGCTCGAATTTTTGCTATAAACTATGTTGGAGGACCAATGGTGCTAATTACCAACAATTAATTTAAGCGATTGCGGTGGAAAAATTCCATCATCATTAAAAGTATTGTAGTAGAAATTTTGTATAAACACACACACAAGTTGAAAATATAAAATGATAAAGAAAGGCCTCCTTCAAAAGTAGATCTGATAAGCAGAAATTGTCCAGGTACGGTTGAAAAGGATCATCGAGAAGTCTGTAACAGGTCCTAAATATTCATAAAGATGCGGGTAAGCCTAAAATACAATATTTTAAGCAAGTTAATAAAAATAATCACCTTGCCCCACGACTGGGAGGGCTGAAATAAATACTCCTGACGATACAGTCGAACTGAGATCGTACAGCGGCGATTTTCTTGACGCACTTCAGTATCACAGTCAAATTTCCGACCCGCTCGTCAGCCAGTCCGAAATTAATCGAAAACGATTGAGCACAGAATAGTTCAAACCCGGTCTGTGCAAAGTACCGCACAGGCCACGCGTCTTCCGCTGGATCCCCAGTCGCTAAACCTACGGTTGAGGTTAATCGGTAACACAGGTCTACGGTGATTTTTATGTTTGAAAGCTGATTGCTTATTTGTATATTTTTGGGGGTCCTTTTTCCAAAAAACATATTTTTGCTCTATCACTTCATTTAATTTTTCTCCTGCGTCGATTTTTGCTTGCTGACGTTTCGCCAATCATCCTGTTGGCTTATTCGGAGCTTGATTGAAACTGGCTCGCATTTTACTCTGTACCTGCTTATAGAGTGTTTGAGGAGGGCGGAGTTAAATGAGGGGCATAAACACCGTCTCGGATGACTGATGCCCATATTGGTGACAGGTAGAGAGCTGGTTGTCAGGTTGCTTATCGATTTTTATAGACTAGGATTTTTCGTTGGTAGAAGACTTTACATGCAAGAATTTTAGTTTTATCGAATAAAATTTTATGTCCGGTTTCGCGATTGTGTTCGGCAACAGCTGATGAGTTTATTTGTCTTAGTCGTACGGCTCTTTCGTGTTCTTTGAGCCTAGTTGATATTTTTCGTCCGGTTTCTCCAATGACGGACCGGTTTTGACGTTATACTTCTTTAGAACTTTTGATATGTGGTCAGTGATGTTTTGAATGTAAGGAAGGATCGTAGTGGCAAGTGTAGGACATTGCTTTCGGCTTCATTGCTATTGGAAGGTTGTGGTGAAGTGTATTTTTTGATGGAACGCTTAATATCTTTAATGTGTAAATTATTAGAGAGAAGAAGAGCAGAGATAAGGTGGTTTAATTCTGGGTTCAGTGACTCGGGCTGAGATAGTTTTGCGGCTCTGTAAACAAGAGAATTGATAACTGATGATTTTTTTTTCATCATCACAAGCTTTACACCTGGTAGCAAATATGTATTTAGAGATACCCGAAAACAGTTCACGTCAAACTTGGCTTGATGAAGCAGTTTGTTAAAGCCCTAGACAAAAATGGACAGTGTTTCAAATATTTGTTCGAGAAATTTCCAGCCATATCTGGTGTCAAGATAAAGATGGTATTATTGTTGAAGTACAGATAAGAGCATTGCAAAGTCAAGGATTTTAAAAATGCAATGACCAATAACACTTGAACTATTTCCCTGAAAATCTTGGACCGCTTGCCATAGAACAGGCTGGATGTTAGAACAGAATAAAAAAATAAATTATTTTAGAAATAAGAAACCCTACGTGATACAAATAAATGGATAGAGTTTTTTTTTAAATCAGCCTTACCAAAATTATATGTAATCAGTTTTCAAAATAAAAACATCGCCAAAAGGGTTTTCACTAATTAAAATTTTCTTATATAGGTGTTCCCTATAACGATATATTTTTTTAATAATAATTGACCATAACTAACTAGGAGACTGTGTATCAGTTATGAGTTCCTTATACATGGCCATATAGCCCGTATAGACAGCTAAAACGTTTGTATTTAAGGTTTTCACGTATTGTGTTCGGGATATTCTGTGCTACATTCAAAAATTCGCAACTATTGACTTCAAATTTAGCTGAGAAGTAGAAGTCGATACCTACATCCAAACTCTAAAAATTAAGCACAATCAAATGTCAAGTCTTTCACAAATATCAGGAATCGTTATATAAAGCAAAACAATTAATTTATTTTATTTTGGAAATATTAAGATGACCGAAATTTAAAAAAAGTGGTCTGTAAACTATATTGCCTTGATAAGGTAGATCGAAAAAAGGCAACAGCCGGCCGCCCTTCAGCTTTTTAGCTATAGATTTCCATTGCGTGTTAGAAGGATCACATCCGGTGGGGTTGTGGCCGCTCGGTTGCAACAGAACGACAGCTCCCTCTGGTGCCTGTTGCAAATCTTCTAAAAGTCCTTCAAAGTCCAAACTAAACGTGAATGCATTCCAGTAGCGGTATCTTTTAATGTTGAAACCTACAAATATAAAATACAGGACACTTGGGAGAGAAAACCCAGTCATACCGTTTTAATCCCCTATAAAAAATGAAATATCGTTTGCCAAATATATTAATGTAACGTTCAAAAAATTTTTAGAAAATCTTTTAAATTGCTATATAATATGCTTTTTTAAACACCTTGTATGTGAATAAATATGTAACATTAAGTGATTAATGAATACATAAATGGGTTTCGCATAATTAACCTTCTTTAGCAATATAAAATTGACCATTAAATTCAAAATAATTTCGGTCTAAACAAACTATTAAACAACTTAGCAAGTCTTGTAAGGTTAACTTGTCTCTGCGTGAGAATATTGTCTATTATGTTTATTACGTCAATTGGTAGAATGCTAGGAAATAAGTTTTCAACATCAAGGGAAACTGCCTTAGGAGGAATTTTTATGTCTTTAACCTTGTTAATTAGTTCGAATGAACTTTTGACAGCATATCTAGGTTTAAAGGCAGTATTACATTCTAAAATTTTAATTAATCTTGTTGAAAATGTAACTGATGGTGCTGTTGAAAAGAAACTACAGGCCTTATATGCTGTTTGTGTAATTTAATTAAAGAATATAACTTTGGAGGTTGAGGGTTCATAACTATTAGTTGGTATTTATCCTTGTCATTAAAAAGTGATGAATCGGTAATTACTGTTTTGATTGGTTTTTAATATAATTTGGTGGGATCATATTGTATACTTTGGTGTATATAAATATCAAAATTGTCGTCAAAATGTGTTTTTCTGTGTTTAAGTGTGTAGCAGAATTAGAATCTAGACTATTATTTTTAAACGCTCTTTTATGTTCGTTAATGATTTTGTTGAAGGATCTACCTGTTTGTCCAATATAAATTTTAGGACATGATTCGCATTTCAACCTGAAGACACCTGATTTTTGAGATTTTGGACACTTCGTTTTATTTTTTTTTTAAATTAGATTAACTCATTACATAATCGTATAAAATTCACTATCGAGATTGAACAGGATAACTCTGTATTAATTTTTTAGACTTAACTATTACGAAAACACAAAATAAATTGGATTTTTCCATTTACCACAAACCTTCACACACAAACACAGTCATACATAACAGCTCAAATCACCCTTATACACAAAAAATGGCCGCATTTCACTCTTTTATACACAGACCTCTTAATACGCCACTCTCAACAGAAAATTACAACAAAGAACTTAATATCATTAAACAAATTGCACTGAACAACGGTTACAATCCGTCCATTATCGATAAAATTATAAATAAAAAACAAATCCAGACAACAGTAAACTCTATTTATCCGAAACCTAATACAGAACATGAACAATTTAAAAAAATTACATACGTAGGAGAACCCAATGAAAAAGTTTCAAAACATTTGTCAAAATGTGGTTAAAAAATAGCTCTCAGAATTAACAACATAATAGGGAAATTTTTTAAAAACAATAAAACGAAATGCCCAAAATCTCAAAAATCAGGTGTCTACAGGTTGAAATGCGGAGCATGTCCTAAAATTTATATTGGCCAACCAGGTAGATCCTTCAAAAAACGCATTAACGAACATAAAAGAGCGTTTAAAAACAATAGTCTACATTCTAATTATATTTAATTATACTTAAACACAGAAAAACACTTTTTTGACAATAATCTTGGTATTTTACATACAGCCACAAAAAGTAGAAAATTTAATTTATTGGAAGCCGTGGAGATTATTAACAAAATGATTAATTAGATTTAAATACCACCCCATTATTAAACTTAAAATTCTCACAACCACATTAATGGAGATTTTATTGTCATGTTTCTGTATATATAGCATGTAGTTTGTAAATATTACATTTGATAAAGATGCGGCTGTGTCGAAACAATTGTCATGTGAAAATATATAATTTCATAAAAATCTGAACTTTTAGTTCTTATTTATTTTGTTAGATGGAATTTCATTAAGTAAAAGCCACCTCGGTTCAATTAATAATAAACGATTTACTCACCGGAATGCGCAAAAATTGTGGCGTGATTCTGAGCAGTTTGCTCCGAAAGGTAAACGGTGTCTCTCCCGAGTACTTTGCGCAGAAATTCGGCTCCGATTCGTAAAGCGGCGGTTCCCGAAACCGTTTGTATGCCGAAAGCGTGGTTTTCAAGACGGGCCGGATTATCGACTCCTGGATCACGCGGTATAGTGCGAAACTATGTCATTTTATGCGATCATACCCAGGAGAATCTTCACGCAATGCGCGGAGAAAACTTCATATCCCAAAGGAGGCAGGCGCTCTTTCCTGGGATACAAGTCGTTGTTAATCACCCTTTCCACGGTTTTAACCACAGGCAAAGGCCGATCGCCGTCGTCGTTTTTGTAAGTGTCAGTAACTGCGACGTCATTCGACAAGTAGAAAAAACTGACTACAAATTTGTCATGTTTTTACCCAAATCGACTTTTTTCGGTAAGGCGTCGTCATCGAAAAGTTGCTGCCTCCACAATTCGGGGGGAGGAACGTACTCCACCTCCGCAAAACACGAGTCCTGATGGTTCGTAGACATTACGGAATGTAAATGTCAATAGTTTTCCATTTTGGCTAGTTGTGCCCGTTTTGTCGGTTGATTTTACTACTGTGTAATTCAAGGAAACTGTACAGAGAATTGAAACACAGTCGAAACTCTATATAGCGAAATTGAAGGGACTGCTTTTTTATATAAATATTTAAGAACATTTTATATAAATATTTAAGAACTACATTTAATGTTTCAAATAATCGGTCATGTTCTTTTGAATTTTTTTGATATGCCATACATCTTCTGATTGTTCAATTGTTTCTGCTGTCACGTTTTTCCAAGCTTTACTTATAAAGTTGACCGCATCTAGCATATTAATGGGAAATTTGTCTTCCATTAGAATGTGTTTCCTGTATCGACTCTTAAGACTTTTTATTACGCTCTGATCTATCGGCTGTAATACACTTGTTGTTTTGGATGGAAGAAATGCCAATTCAATATTCCGTAGATTTGGAATATGGGGATGTGTAAGGCAGTTATATAAGAGAAGTAATATATATTTTGCTCAGCTTTAATTCTGCATCCCATTTCCGTATCTCCTCTTCAAAAATTTGCGATGGCAATTGCTTGATGTTCTTAAAACATCGTGGGTTAGTTGATTTTCCAATCACGACTAGCTTTTTTTTTCTGTCCCATTCATATTGGCAGCTATTAACACTGTTATACGTTTTTTAGTAAGTTTTCCACTCACACGTCTTCTCCAGCTAATATTTAGTGACGTTTCTATCGACATCACGGGCTTCGCCACTTATCTATCCATAATTTATACCATGTCTCTGTTTGAACTTCCCCGACCATTCTTACGAAACTTTTCTGCTTTTAGTTTTACGATGGGTCCAGAGAGTGGTACATTTTTAAGACGTTGCTGTTGGAACCACTGCCACATTGCCCGATCCAAATCTTCAAATTTTGGCTTTCTTAGTTTTTTACCAGAAGAGTCGACGGTGTAAGTCCGTATCGATGTCCCACATCCCTTTTCTTTTCTCCCCGTTCTATCTCCCGAATTAAAGCCACTTTATCTTCTAGAGATAAAATTTTTCGCTTACTCGCCATGCTCGCCGTATTCACTGATATTAGAACTGATAATCGCTTATTGCGAGAAAGACACTTATGACTACCAGGTTCTCGGTAATTAGATTATTATTCTGAGAAGGTAAGAGACTATTAATTACAAGGCGGCCTACATTCCTTACTTCGCTATAGCGCGTTTTCACTGTATTTATTTTTTTTTAACACAAAATACCAAGGAAGATCCAGAGTGAATAAAATTGAGAGAAAATTTATTAATTTCGTTAGAACACAAGATTGAATATTTTATTAGAATTTGAGAATGATCACGATCGACTAACGGTTTCGACTAACGAACAGCTGAATAATGATGTATGATGAATAATGCTTTGCTAAGGAAGAACGGAAAAGAGGAAATTGGTCCGTTAAGATGAAAGATTTGGATGTATTCTTTCGCTTTTGTGAAGTTGTACTATTTTCTGTCATATATAGGATAGTTACATTACAGGAGCTGTAAAACTATGATTGAAATGTGCAGCTTAAATCCATTTTTTCATAGTCAGATAATGTTTAGTAACGAAGCCACACAACAAAGTTGTAGAAAAATCATACATCCACAAAAAAATTAATATTTGCGGATGAAAAACAAAATTCTTAAAGAACACTTAATTTCCCAAATCTAAATCAGCCTGATTTGCCAGATTTGGTTTCTACAGGATAGTGCTCCGCCCCATTTTATCCAATCAGTGGGTGATTAATTAAATACAGTATTTCCCGTAGAAGAGGATCAAGAGAACGGCCTGCAAGATCTGCAGATATTACCCTACTGGATTTTTTGCTCGGTGCGCGAATAAAGAAAAACGGTCAAATTTAAATGATTTCAAATGTAATATGAAATCAGGCAAATTAATAAAAATATTCCGAGTGATATTTCGGGAGAGTCTTTAAAAAGAAGTTAATTAAAAATTTCTTTGACATGTTATTCATTGTTTTGCTTGTAATCCTCAGTTCAGTTTTTTATTTTTCAAACGGTTTTTGAAATATCAACATAGATTGGGGTTTTCGTTACTATTTTTTGGAGATTATGATGCATTAGACCTAAACTATAGCCACAATATCTTTTGACCTTGTTGTTGTTTGTTTTCTTTTGGATTTGGGATGATTCCCAAATACTCTAACCTAAATTGTTGTAACTGTTTTAAATAAAGGCATTATTTATTTATAATATTAAGTTTGAGCGGCTTTTTCGATTTTTGTCTCTTAACTTCGTATTATAAGTTATATATTGTTAGGGAAGTTGACAAGTGCGCAGCCGCCACAGTCCGTCGTAATGCACATAGACATGGATTGTTTCTTCGTATCCGTCGGTCTAAGAAACCATCCGGAACTGAAAGGTCAACCTGTGGCCATTACGCATGCTAGGAGCGGCATGATGCAATCGAACGATCCCAATCGCCAAGCGTCTAGGGAAAAAGAATTCGAATTGTATATGAAAAATTTACCGGAAGGTAGTATAACCTCTAGGGTATCACGTCGAAAAGCGATACGCGATTTTTGTAGGTGCCTCGTCCAAGATAGTCGACATTAAAGACAAAATCGATGGCCTCGCTTCGATGTCGGAGATCGCAAGTTGCAGCTACGAGGCTAGACGATGCGGTATCAAGAACGGAATGTTTATGGGACAGGCCGTTAAACTGTGTCCCGACTTGAAGACACTTCCGTACGATTTTGAAGTAATTACGAGTTTTATTCACAAATCTTCTGAGTGTCGAGAAAAAATTCAACTTTCCTTCTCTGTTAGAATCTGTTTTATTTACAGAGCCGTAATACTACCAAGAATTAAAGCACCTAACATCTGATCTGCCCTTCAATTTTCAAATTAGGGATATTAATTAAGCGTTCCTTTGACCGGCCACGTATCAAAAGTTTTTAATAATAATGTCAAAACCAGATTCACCACTTCAGTGGTTGCAAAATCGTCTACATTTATACTATTGATTTGTTCCAATGTCTTCTGATGCACCTTTTACATACGGACTCGTCAAGAGTCAAGTCAAGCGCATTTTAGAAAATCATAACCTCAAGAGTTTAATTTTTGCGGTTACGAGAATAAAAAATCTCAAAAGTGTGCATTATGCGCAAAAAGTTTCAAAAAAAAAAACAAGTGAAATCAATTATCACATTGCTAAAAAACACCCAAGTAAGTTTAGTCAGAATAATATTTTACATCAAATTTTACCTAACCAACCAAACTAAAGTTCTTGCATGTAATATCATTTCTTCTACCAAAGAAATATCTGAGAATCATAACCTCAAACGTTTGATTTTTGCGGTCAAGAGAATAAACAATCTGAAAAGTGTGCATTATGCGTAAAAAGATTTAAAAATCCTAGTGAAATCAATTATCACATTGATAGAAAACACCCAAGTAAGTTTAATCAGAATAATATTTTACGTCAAATTTTACCTAACCAACCAAACTAAAGTTACTTTTTGCTGAGTCGAACTTGCTGACGTTTCGCCAATCATCCTGTTGGCTTCTAGAGATCTTGACTGAACTAACCAAAATAATAATAGTAAGTAATATATATAATAATCGTATGTAATATCATTTCTTCTACCAAAGAAAAATCTGAGAATTTGTAGAAATCTATAAACAATCAAATAATCTTAACCGCGACTCAGGTCTCTACCGTTTACCAATATGGGAATATATCGTTGGAGACTATGTTCACGCCCCTTCTTTCTTTTCTTTCTTTGAATAATTACTACAAGATCCGATACTTGCGATAAAGTTCGCTGATTAAAACTTTTAGGGTTACAAAGAAGTGTCTAATACTCTATATCAGACGATTGCTTCGTACACGCTGGACATAGAAGCTGTGAGTTGCGACGAAATGTACGTCGACGTTCGACCCATTTTGCTGGAAACCGGCTTGACCGTTCAGGAGTGGGCGGACCACATACGAACGGAAATTGTCACCGCTACTGGATGTCCCTGTTCAACCGGTAAGCAGCTGACTTTTCTTGCGTCACAGCAGTATAATAATCGCTCAACAAGGAACTCATTTATCTATTAGAGATAAACCGTAAAATCATTACAATTGGAACTTCAATGTGTGACATGGTGGTAAAACTGATTAGATCCATTGAGGCACAGATCACACTCAAAACAATTGTCTGCTCTGCTCACCCCGGATATTTAAGGACCTAAAAAAAGTGAAATTATTTTTCTTATTTTTATATGAATTTTTAGGAAATTGTGAACAATCTTTTGAATTTCAGGTAGATAGATCACCTTTTTCCAGAATAACAATTAGGTGCTCTTAGTTTTTAATAAACAGTATTATTCGTCATTTGATCAACTGTCAGCTCGCCTTGTCATTTTAATTAACTCCTCTTTTTTATGACATACTGGACTGGTTTTTGCCAGTTCTCTCGCGTCTTTTTTACGATGTGCACGACTTAGCAGTGTTTTAACTTCATGCTACAAACCCTTTCATTTGCATCTATTGCAAATTCAATATTTTCGGTGGTTAACCAGACAATAAGTTCTTGTTTTCTTCTATCTCTTTGTCTCTTTGTCTTTGTGGTAGCTGTTTTGGATTACATCTTTTACGTGCGCGACTTAGAATAGATGCAAAATACGTGTCTTACAAATTTGTCGAAATTCCAAAAAATTGATATTGGTTCACGAAGTGGCCATTCAACATGCGTTACTTCTACGCCCGCCGTCTTGAGATAACTGAATTACCTTACTAAAATTTCACCACTAGTCTACAGATGGCATCACAGGTTAATGCAGTGGGAAACGCTAGATTTTTGGATTTGACGCACAAAAACCAGTTGCTAGTTACCTCTAGCTAGTACTTATGAGCTCTTAATAATAATTTCCGATTTAGTGTCCTATATAAATAGTTATATCTTACCACTAAATCGATCATTAAGCCAATATTATTCATAATTTATCATTATGGTATAGATGGTATAAATTCTAGGGTTTAAAAATTTGAGATCGATCAAAAGAACATCAATTCGATTATTCTAAAGGATTTGATTTCGTTTCTCAAAAATCATTAAATTTGTTCAAAATCTTTGACCTGTCATATGATTTCCTTAATATTGACATTGTATTGTGGGCTTCAGATGAGAGTTATAAATAAAATGAAGAATATTTCAAACAAATGAAAGTCCTAAATGACACAACAGAGCGTTGGTCTCTGAGTAAGTCAGTGTTTCACGAAAAACACTTTTGAAACTTGCAGCAACTTGTCAAAAAACATCGAGGACTATTTCCCAACTATAAAAATGTTTATTTTTCTATTAATACTGTATTAATGTACAAAATTTCATATGGTGGAACAGAATTTTTTTTCTAATAATGCATTTATTGATATTTCATGAATAAAGAACTAAAGTAGATAATAAATAATCTTTTTCTACTCCCGTCTTTAAAATATCTATTTACACATCGATATAGCGTGCGGGAAGCGTCATTTTACCACGTCAGTTTCGCTTTCCACTGATGCGAGCCGCGGGGGTTTTAACGCACGGGTTTTGGACCAATCGGATGTTTTCGGAGATATTTCCCGCGTCTTGAATTATAAAATTTACTAATTCAATGGACAAATTGAAAATATTCATTAAAAACTATGAATATACCCATTGGGATTCCAATGCAAATATCTTCAAATTGGCTCGAATAATCGATAAATCACAAGATACCTTTTTTGCAGAGAATTATGACAATAACAAAAATAGTATATTATGCAACAAGTGCGGTAAACGGCATTTGACTCACGCCTTTATTTGACACGAGCGGAGCGATTTAAAAAGTTTTCCGAACGAATTGCATACTATGCTTTTTCTACGACCGTTAGTTTTTGGGTACATTTTCGCCAAACAACACTAATACATTAAATGGCATGGCCGTTAGAATTGACAAACGTCAAATTCAAAGCTTGGGAAATATCTCCAAAATGATGCTATTAACTTGTGCTGCCCCCTGTAGATTAGTGGTGAAATTTTAGTTAGGTAAATCAGTTATGTTAGATGGCGGCCGTAGAAGTACGGTATTGCTACTACTTGCGAAATACAATTTATCGAGTTGAATTTTGACAATCCTGGACTCACAGCACGGAATGTCTCCCTTTTTGTGCAGGTTTCGGCAGTAATAGGTTACAGGCAAGACTGGCCGCAGGCTAGGTTCAGTGACTTGGCTTGAAGTAGTTTAACGGCTTTTTAAACAAGAGAGTTAAGAGATTTATTCTTGATAATATTCGAAAATGTACTGAAAAACTGAGAATTGGGTTCCTCTTTTAATGAAAATTTGCCATAACTAGAAGGCTATGTCTCAGTTGTCAATTTATTTTACATAACGATATAGACTTTAAAGAAAATTAACTGTGTGTTGTGAATTTTGTTGTTGACTGAAAAATATATTACCGTGATATTATTATTATAGGAAATTTAATACTCTACAAAAAAAGGTCTCATGTAGTTTATCGATTACTCGAATTATTTTGAATATATTTGCATTCGAATTCCAAAAGTATGCTTATTTTCTTTTCAATGTATTCATTGAATTGAGAAGTTTTCACAACATTCATAAAAATTAGATTTTTGAAATTATTTTTTGTAATTTGTTTGGGAGTATATTTCTTCCCATTCAATTTTCTAACGATATTTTCTTTTATAATTTTTCTTTAATCACAGTTGAGGATAGATTGAACTCAATTTTTTTCCCACAAATTTTATAATTTAATTCTTCTTGTCTGGGCATTTAGTTTTAAAAAAATGGTAATTCTGTTATTCAAATTTTAGTTAGCAATCTGTAATTCAGTTGTCAAGACGATGGGAGTAGAAGTAAGGTTTCCCTACTACTTATCGAATTGAATTTTAACAAACCTGGGAGAATCACAGTCCGAAATCTCTCCCGTTTCGTACAGGTTTCGGCAGTAACAGGTTACAGGCAAGACTGGCCACGAGGAAAGCAAAACCGGCTGGTCATTATTACCTCGAAGCGGACGACGTCGAAACGTACATGTCGGAAATCTTATTGGAGGACCTGCCCGGGGTGGGGAGAGCCACGTTGGCGAAACTCGGTAGTTTAGGTTTGAAAACATGCGGGGACGTTCAGCTAGCTCCTCTGAAACTGCTGCAGTCCGAGCTGGGCGCGAAACTGGGCCAGAAAATCAAGGACCAAGCGTTTGGTCGCGACAGCAGGCCTCTAGATTATCACCACGAGAGGAAATCGGTGTCTGCGGAGGTCAACTACGGTATCCGGTTCAAGACTCTGGACGAATGTTACGGTTTCTTGCAGCGTTTGGCCGAAGAAGTCTTTAACCGAGCAAACGACGTTAACACGAGGGCCAGGTGTTTGACTTTGAAGCTGTTGGTCAGAGCTGAGGATGCTCCCGTGGTAATAAATACTCGAGTTTATTTATTTGTTTGTTTATTAGTAAACGTTACGCCGTTTTACAAAGAATTTTTAAATAAACTATTTAGGACTGACAGGCTGAAAATAACATTTTCCTGGTTGCAAACGTGGAGTTGAAAACATTTACAAATAGATTCGACAGTTGAAAATAAAAATAGCGTCCAGCAAAATTTAAAAATGTATCTTTTATTCGTCACGCTTTGTTAAGCCACCCTGTATACTACAAAATGTTTGAGGCAATAAACTTTGCTCTATCATTGACTTGCCCTGTGCAGCTTATACAAGTTATAAGACGGTTAGTTGATGACGCTAATTTTGCTATATGCTACTGGGGACACTTATTCAATATTATATGATGAAATATAGTAACGTTTACGTTCCATCGTTAATCTCGTCGTTTCTTGTATGAAGCTGGACACAAATCCATGGATCATACGCAGTATCGCAAAAAATGAAGTAATTTAAAACCAACTAATCGGTCAATTTTGTTTTTAATGACTTTGACAACATTTTAATTCTTCACCTTGAATTTTTATTGGAAAAGTGTCTTGATATCCTACACTGTTTACGAATTATCATTATTGAAAACATTAATTTCTAAATTGAAATTGAAAAAAATGAAAGATGCATCGGCGTAAAGGTATACATTGCAAAATCGCAAGCAAGATGTAAATGTAAATGTAAATATTAAATAGAGGCCCAAGGATCGAACCTTGTGGAACACCACACTTAAGTTTGTTACTGAGATAATTGGGCAATAGATGTAAAAACCAATAAAATATAAAATTGCAACTAACAACTCTTGATTTAATCTATCGAAGGCTTTAGAATAAGAAGTTTTAGTATCTGTGAGATTTAGTAATGTTATCTCACAACTAAACCCTTCTCTAAAACCCCCTAATCTGATCTAATCTAATCTGATGATTAATTGTTTTTTAAATGACTTTTAATAATACTTGATAATGAATTGACTATATTAGAATGAGGACAGCTCAAAAACTATAGAAGAGTCTTTATTTCTAACAAAGACAAAGACATTCTCTTCATCAATTAAAATGCCACTACAAAATGTGTTTTGCAACTGTTTTGATAATAATTCAACAACTTAATTTTTCAAAGAGACTTCCACAGGCTACTGTAATACTTTTTACAAAACTTCTGGATTCCTCCTGCGTCGGTTTTTGCTGAGTCGAACTTGCTAACGTTTCGCCAATAATCCTGTTGGCTTATTCGGAGTTTGACTGAAACTGGCTCGCATTTTTTTCTGTACCTGCTTATAGATTGTTTGAGGGGGGCGGAGTTAAATGAGGGGCATAAACACCGTCTCGGATGACTGAATCCCATATTCAGCAATAGGAACTTTAGTAAACAGGGATTCTACGTCGGAAAATGCTTTTTATTTGTTCAATGGTTCAATGAAGTGAAAGCAATTAAGTACGAAACTGACAGTTTTCCCTGTCTTTAATAAGAAAACTAGAAATTGTTGTTGAGAATATGTTGGAGAGCCAACAATAAGTCGAAGGGTTAATCGTGGGTTGTGAATCTTAAGGAGTCCGTAGAGACCAGGAATTTTAGAGTCATGAGGGGTGACAGATTTTTTGACGGAGTATGATAGAGAAGAAGCCTTAATGATAGATTTAACTATGCATTCCATAGATGACGTAGGATCTTTTTTAAGTTGACGATATGATCCGTCTGTAAGAATATCTTGAATCTTTTCCTGATACTCATTTGTGTTCATGATCACCATAGCATTTCCTTTACGGTTACAATGTCGGGATTAGATTTTAGAGATTTTAGGGCAATGCGTTTAGGCTTGCAATATTAGAGTTAGGGGGTTTTGATTTTTTAAGAATTTTTGCGGAAATAAAAAACTTTAAAAAACCTAACAAACTTAACCGCGACTCAGGACTCGACCTGTCACCAATATGGGAATCAGTCATCCGAGACGGTGTTTATGCCCCATTTAGCTCCGCCCCCATCAAACAATATATAAGCAGGTACAGAGTAAAATACGAGCCAGTTTCAGTCAAGCCCTGAAGAAGCCAACAAAAGGAAAGAAAAAACTCTTATTTACTTTATTAGTTCAAAGTTTTGTCCAAAGAGTCTTGGAATTATTTAAATTACTATTCACGCAGTGTTTCAAATAAAGTTGAAATAGTATTTAGAAGAGAATATGTTTGATGTTAATTGGAATAGGTTTACCGTGTAATTTTTTTTGTCCGGCCTAATACTAACAAAAAAAATGAAGGTAGAAAAAAGAACCTTATTGGCTTTTGCTCTACCAAAAAGAAGAAAAAAAGGAAAGCGTTGTTTATTTTTTTAAGGTTTTTCACTCGATTTTTTCCACTGAATGGATCGAATTTGTCTATATCATCAAAAATTATTATACCATCAAGTTTTTTTTTATAATCTCAGCGCAAAATGTATGTTCTTTTTCCTCTAGGAATATGAATGAACAATAATTTTATTGCACCAAGTCTTTGCACAGGGGCATTTTCCTGAAATAGCCTATAGATCTTTTAATGATGTTTTTAGGAAACAGCGAAATATCTGGGACACGGAGTGTGCGACGCTGTGAGCAAGAGTACTACTTCGAATGCGATCTTGAACGACGCCGGCGTTATTTATAGAGAGGTCAAGAGTTTGTACGATAAACTGAATATACCCTTTGCTGAACTGAGGGGGATCGGCATTCAGCTGAGCAAATTGGAAAAGCTCATCGAGGTTAATAAGGTAAGGGTCATTTTTAATTCATAATTGTCGTTTCTTTTTTTAAAACCAATGTGCTCTATAAAATATACATTAGAGTTTTTGCGAACATTGAGCGTAGCAATTTGCTGAAAATTTGAGAAAAGTATCGACAATTTTTTTTTAAGCATAATCGAGAAAGTTTTGGGACAACTATTAATGGTTTTTGTTTTTATTTTTTAAATTTTTTATATGCTTGTTTCGTCTTGCGGGAAAGAGTTTCAGCGGCAAGGTTCGCCACCGGTCGAATAATCATCCAAAATTTTGAACAAACCAGCAAATCCAAAATATTATTGTGAAAAGGATTATAGTTGCTTTCCACGGGTGTTTTGGTATTATATGCTGCGATCTTGATGACTCACTACCGAAAACACGACGTCACAAAACATCACACAAAAATTAAAGGCTTAACTAAAACTGGCTCGCATTGTACTCTGTAGCTGCTAATATATGGTTGGAGGGGGATAGAGCTAAAGGAGGGGCATGAACATTGTCTCAGATGACTGATCCGTATATTGGTGAAAATTAAACATCTGAGTCGCGATTAAGATGGGTTGTTTAGAGATTTTTATTGACTTTGGCAATGCAAGAATCTTAGTTAGGCTGAATAAGATTTGATAGTGTGAAGAAGCTTTAATTGCAGTCAATTGCGTACGTTACTACCATGGAATATCCTTTACCTGCTTTCGGGATTATATTTTAGAGATTTTAGAACTATACGGTCAGTACTTAAGATGATCACAATATCTATGAGTCTTTTTAGTTTCACACTACAACAATAGCAACATGTCGACATTGTCAACATTTCAAATGTTTTGCAGCACTGCATTCCATTTTTCACACAAAATTTTATGCAGATTCTTTGTTCGATTTTTTTTACAGCGCCAAAATTTCCCGGCCTGACATAGATGCAGTTCCAGGATCACGATAATACTTTGTCTTCTTTTAAATATATATCTTAGTAGGCTGCGAAAAAAATTGAAGTCTTGCGTCAAATAGTTTTTTATTGACAGCATTTTAAACAAGACGTGTCCGAAAAAATGTCGCAAATAACGCAAATTGAGTATAGAGCAGTCATAAAGTTTTTGACAAAAGAAGGGTTAGCACCTAAAATTACTAAAGAAAGGCTGGATGGTGTGTACGTCCAAAGTTTTCCTTCGTATTCTATAGTGAAAGAATGGGCAAAACGTTTTCGAATGGGGCAGGAGTCCCTTGAAGATGATTCAAGAACTGGTCGACGAGTGGAGTTCATAACGGAAGATATTGTTGCGATTGTGGAAGAGGTGATATTGAGTGATCGAGGTCAAGGAAATCTCAGAAATTACTAAGCTTTCTGCTACAAGTGTTCGTCGAATCCTGCATGATCATTTAGGTATGCATATGGTTAGTGGGTTCCTAAAAACCTTTCGGTTATTCAAAAATAACGCCGTGCCGAGTATGCGCGGTCTTTTTTGGAACTCTGTGGTTCGGAACCGAAGCCTGTGATAGAAACTATTGTGACGGGAGATGAAACTCTATTTTGACCCTCTATCTAAAAAAGAATCAGTGGAGTGGCGTCGTAAGGGTGAAGCACCTCCAAGAAAATTCAGAGTCTGCCAGTCGACAAAAAAGGTGATGGCCACGATCTTTTTGGATTGTGAAGGAATTCTTTTGATAGATTTTAAAGAAACTAATACCACTGTCAATGGTAAATATTACGCAATATTATTATATAAATTGCGAGACTGCATACGTGTAAAACGTCGAGGAAAACTGACCAGAGGCGTGCGTCTTTGGCACGATAATGCACCTGTCCATACTGCTGGTGTTGCACAAGCTGCCATTTTAGTGTTTGGGTTCCAACAGATAGATCATCCTCCCTATAGTCCAGATATGGCCCCCAGCGACTATTATTTGTTTGGATATTTGAAAAAGGACTTACGTGGACGACGGTTTAACGACGAAGTTGAGTTAAAAGAGGCTGTTTTATCTCATTTGGCAGACAAACCATAAGAATTTTTTTTTAAAGTTAGTTGTTTCTTTCATTTTCAGGCCGGGAAATGTTGGTGCTGCCCTCGTATGTTGGGGACATGTGGTACACCCAATTACAAAAGTCACCGTATTTTTTGAACACATCTCGGAATTGATATTTGACACCATTTGCTAGGAGGCGTTTTCTCACAACTTATATTTTTCAGCGGTAGTGGTAAAGAGGAATAAAAAAAATAAATCCACTCCTATTTTGACAGTTACTTTTGCGTAATACCTAATGGAAGTAAATAAGTTTCATCATTAAGAATGTTAAATTTGTAATAGATTTGGTTAGTATTTGGATTGTGGAAACGGGATCAGCACTGATTCAAAATGAAATTCGATTTATTAATAGAAAAGACTTTTCATGAATTTGATGGAAAGTTAAACAAACTTGGTGGGCGTAGAGACCTGCGCTCTTAACATCCCCGATTGTTTTCTAATATTTGCAAGAATTTATCAAAATATACATTTTTAATTATGGTTTATTGTATACCACATGTATTTATAACCAGGGTCACATGTTTATCGGTAATATATACCTTTAAAATGTCCCTAGATGGCGCTATCGATACAACAGATATGATCAAAGTACACCATTTGGTCAAAAAAACATCCCTGGTATCCACAAAATTAAATTTCTGAGGTTGTTTGTTATAATTTTCATCTTCTTTGTAGACGATGAGTAACTTTTTGAAGCAATCTTCTTGTAAAAAAATCGACGACGCATCACTGCCCGCAGAAAAAATCAACAAAGACAGAATACCTGTTCAAAACAGTTCAAAAGCGGCTGTTGATCAGACCGACAAGGCGGGCAAAGGCGTGGTTAAGAATAAAGTTAAAACCGGTAGTAGAGGGAGACCAAAAGCAAGGGCAACGCCCACCAAAAACAATTCTACCATCGATAAATTTTTTAGCAAAGTGGCAAAGGGCAACAATTGTAGGCAGGTATGTTTTGGTTAGTTGTTTAAGACTTTTATTCTTATTGTACGTTCCTAGATGCAAAATCTTAGGGCGTGGGTAGATTGGGACGTTTTCGAGCAGCTGCCGGATGATATTCAAAAAGAAATCGCTACCGAGTACAATTTTGATACTGGAAAAGGGAGGGGGGAAGAAAACTCGACTGTGTCGGTGTTGGAGACCAGCTTTACAAATATCGGTAAGATTTTAGACCCTTTTTACTGTCTAAGCCTGCAATATCTTTAATAAATCTTTCGCGTTCTACTCAATACCTGCTTATATACTGTTTGAAGGGAGAGAAGCAAATGGATCGAAGATGTTGCGAGAATTTTGGGCAAGTGTTTAATCTCGTTTTAACATATTCTTTAAGAACTTTTGATATGTGAAGTGCATTTTTTTATATTAATAACTCCGGTTGAGATGAGATGGTGAAACTTCTGTTGGGGTGTATAGAGTTTAAATGGTTATAAATATTTCAGAAAGATTCTTTACCAAATAACAAAAGTATCATCGACGAACCAGAAATTTTTATACAGTTAAATACTAGGAGGTACCTTTTATTTCACTTTTTGCCTAAACTACATATGTGTGTCGCTCATTAGTGGTGAGTAAACTGGCTATCATCAACCTTCGATTTTTAGTTCATTTTGTCGTTTGTTGAGAGCGCTGCAAAAATTTGTCCTTTTGGCCGTGTTAGTAAAATGTGTTGAATTTTCTTTTATATCTTAAAGTAAGTATTGCTATAAGAGTTTAATATGTTTAAGATAATGTTATTTTATTGATTTGTAAATGATGCAAGTGTTTAACACATGGCTTTTTTGTTTTTTGTAGAATGTTTGTTAGCTCGACCAAATGCAGGTTATCCATGCGATAAGGATGAGTTTACTTAATCTTATCTAAGAATATAAATACATAAACTCTTTTCCCTAATGACTCTTGGTTATGGCGAAATTTTGATCGCAGAACAAGTGTTAAACAGAACACAGAACACTACAATTCAGACTACATATAAAGAAGCAGTAAAAAGAAACTTCATCTAAAAGTAAAAGCAGTGACGAATAGGATAGTGACCCATCTTTATGCCTGAAGATGAGTTCATAGGCATAAGTACGACGCCTCTTTTGGATTCAAAACCCCGTTATTTTGCCTTAGTTACTTTTAAAACCGAAAGGAAAGAAAGACAGTGAGGGGAAGTTATTGCACTAAAAAGTATTGAAAAAACTAAGCAGAATTCTGCTGTCAATGCTAATGACATATATTTTGTTAAAAATGAGCAAATTTTATGAGTGTTACCTTTTCCAGAATTTATTACCATTTTGAAAAAAAAAGTTCCTGTTTTAGAGGGCGCCTAGATAAATATTTGTGTCACTTATCTTATTTCTGTCAACTAAATGTGTTTTTTTTCAACACGGTAAACGTTTAAAAACTTTAGTTAAAAATGTATTTTTTGTTTTTTTTTATACCTAGTACTTTGTTAGCTTTAAGGTTATTTTATGTAAAAAGTTCCCACGTTTGCTTAGAAAGTTGGTCTACCAAGCTTACTAAAATGTTTTTATTTTGTATGTATATTTAAGCGTTTCTAATAAATATTAATTCGTACATATACACTTTGTTGTGGTTCAAATTACTAATACTACGAAAGGTTTACAATTGCCCTATATTTTATTTGCATAATTCCTCTAGTTTTTGATATAGATGTTTACAATTTCTCCGAAATTGTTGGGGTAAATGTAAACGATGACATTTTTTTCAAATATTTTTTTTTATTAAAAAAATTTCTTTGCATCTTTTTCGGCCAAAGTATCTACGAATAGATTGTCTAGTTACCATTTTTTTTTCTTTTAATCGTTTACAATTACCCCGTTTGACCCTATTTCGAAGGTGTGCATTTTTTAGCAATGAAAAAAATGAACGCCGTCCATGACGAACTCGACACTCCTTTTCGAAAATTGTCGTGGGACGAAATAAAGTCGGCGATTAAAATTTGGATAGAATCGGAAAACGAGCCGTCGGAAATTGACGTCGAAATGCTGGGTCAGCATTTCAGACGGTGGGCTTTGGAGCGAAAGATCGAAGTTTTGAAGAGGGCGTACAATTTTCTGTACAGGTGAGTCCGACACAACAAGATATACAATCGATGAGTCACCACGAATGGGAAAGTACACGCCGGCCGTTATAGCTAAGACATGCGCTAATTTTTCGCGATACAAAGTGCCAAAGTTTTTATTAAAAAAAATAATTATTCAAAAATCTTCTTTTATGCCATTGATCACTCTTGATATGCTAATTTAAAGTAATAAAGGACTGCTTTCTTGCCTTTTCTGATTTTTTCGTAACGCGTTTTGTTATTGAAAAAAAAAGTGTTTTATAATAGGAAGTAGGAAATTGCAGATTTCAACGTCAATATTTAACACAATTACTTCATTAAGCAACCCAATATCTTTACCTTTTTTGCCATTATATCGGAAAACTTCGTCTGGTGGCCAGGTATTCAATCGCACATAATTTGATTAAAATGCATTAACATTTTGGCATTCCATATTTATTACCGGAATATCAGCGAGTATCACTTTCGTTTTAGAAATAAAATAAAAATCGACTAACAAATCTCTGCTATGGAATTATTTTGAATTATTTTGAAAAAAAAAATCCATAATTTCGAGTTATATCAAAGACAAGTCAAGGAAGTAATTACTAACTCTACACTATTTAGTGACAAAGATAAGTATTTTTTAACAATTATGAATCCACAACCGTTAAAATTATATTCTTTACTTTAATTACATAAACAAGATATGCCCATTAGACCAGTCGTGTCTTATGTAACGGCTCCAGCAGTTAAACTATCAACAAAATTAGGAAATATTTTAAAGTTTCACGCAGATTTTAAACCAAAATTTGCAATAAAAAATTCTTTGCAATTAATCAAAAAAATTAAAGATATCAAAATCTCTTCTAACGCAACACTATTGTCATTTGATGTACAAAACTTATTTCCCAGTATTCCACCTATGGATGTGATAGATTTAGTAGATTTCACTCTCACTGGGAAACAGGTTAACCCATTGGTGAAACAAGATTTATAAGATTGCTTAATAGTATCATTAGACCAAAATTATTTTGAATTTTATGGACAGATTTACATCTCTAAGGACTTAGTCCTTTGTAAGCCGAGATTTTTATGGAAAATTTGGAAAATATCATACAAGAACATCCTTTAAGTAAAAGTTTTTTATGGTGGTATAGATACGTGGATGATGTCTTCGTTTGCTTTTTCGGAACAGATAATTGGATTCTTTTTTAAATTGCATTGCATTAATCGTATAAAATTCACTATCGAGATTAAACAGGATAACTCTATTAATTTTTTAGACTTAACAAATTAGATTTTTCCATTTACAATAAACCTTCACACACGGACACAGTCATACATAACAGCTCAAATCCCCACACAAAATGGCTGCATTTCACTCTTCTATACACAGACTTCTTAATACGCCACTCTTAACAGAAAATTAACTTAATATCATTAAACAAATTGCACTGAACAACGGCTACAATCCGTCCATTATCGATAAAATTATAAATAAAAAACAAATCCAGACAACAGTAATCTAATCTAATCTAATCTATTTATCCAGAACACAGAACACGAACAATTTAAAACAATTACATACATAGGAGAACCCAGTGAAAAAGTTTCAACCCATTTGTCAAAATGTGGTTTAAAAATTGCTTACAGAACTAACAACCCAAAACGAAATGCCCAAAATCTCAAAAATCAAGTGTCTACAGGTTGAAATGCGGATCATGTCCTAAAATTTATATTGGACAAACAATAGTCTAGATTCTAACTATGCTACACACTTAAACACAGAAAAACACATTTTTTACGAAAATTTTAATATTTTACATACAGCCACAAAAAGTAGAAAATTAAATTTATTGGAAGCCATGGAAATTAACAAAACGAGATATCCAAATGTATTGGTTAACGATCTTAAATACCTCTCCATTATTAAACTTAAATCCTCACAACAACATTAATTAAGGTTTTATTGTCATTTTTCGATCAAATTTTACCATTTTTTTGGTAGTATATTTCTCAACGAGTTGAATTAAAATAGAACTCAATTTTTCTTCTTGTCCGGGGATTTAGTTTTAAAAATTGGTAATTCTATTATTCATTCATTGTTATGCTAGCGCCATCTGCAGACGAGCGCCGAAATTTTAGTTAGGAATCTGTAATTCAGTTATCTCGACGGCGGGCGTAGAAGTAAGGTTTTCCTACTACTTCCGAAAATAGTTTATGGAATTAAATTTCGACAAAGCTGGGAGAATCACAGCCCGAAATTTCTCCGATTTAAACGGTATCGTAAACTGCGTCGAGGGCTACAATTTCCGCATTTACAGTTTTCGTCTGTCATACAGAGTGCGTGAGATAGTTTACCTTTGCTAACCTATAGGAGATCGGGAAACTAATTTCCAACTTAAAATAAATTTTCTCATCTGCCATTTACCTTCAAAGACCTCGAAAAATTGGGAAATAATAAAAAAAACAATCTGTTGGTATTAGTATTAACGTGTATGACAAGGAAAAATGAAATGAAAAATAGAGGTCGCTAGTGTTGTGTTGTGATTTTGACGATTTTTAGGGTATTTTCCAGACTGGATTGTACGTGGCACAAGGCATATTATGCGGCAGTGGATGTTATGCAGACTGGTATGGTAGAGCGTTACGGATCAATTTTGTACGTCAACACAAGTTTCGAATGTTGTCGTCCCTTTTGAAGTTTTCATTAGACCGATGTGAGTATGTCTATTTTGTACTGTTTTATAATAAAGTTTTAAAATGAAAAATGTCTAAGCAATAGAAATATTTTTCCAGTTTTTATTGATGAAATTATTATCGGTATCCCTTAAGCACGAAAATTTACTACTTGATCATTTAAGAGCTTTAAATGAAAAATTTCTTTAAACTAATGCGGTATTATGTCCAATAGCAACTCTCATTTTCTTGTGTTATCGCTATTTGGATCCTATCTATGTTGTTTTCTGTGTTTTTCTTTTACTTGCCGACTTGAATTCCGTTTCTTAAGCACTAAGCTCGAGATCTCGGTAAGGATAGGTCTTAGAAGACCGAAATTGGTACAGAAATGATCAGCGTCGAAAAAAACATTTTTTCTGTCTGTTCTCTTCTCCATTCTCTGTTCCAGGGTTTTTCGATGGTAACTTCCGAACCGTTCGAGCTACACTCTTCAAATTTTGCTTCTTTTTAACCGTCCACGGGATGCATAAGATATGTAAAAATGGCAGCCTTCAAGCTTCAGCGTCCATCTTTTTTTTTTTCGATTTTCAACTGTTTTTTGGACGTTGCTATCAAACGGGACCTATTGAGATTGGGGGGTTGGGAGTCGGGAAGTATTCTTAAAAAATTAAAAATCGCAAAAAAACTCTTGAACGAGAAAACGCGGAAGATTCGGCTCCATAAACTTTTTAAAATGAACATAAATGAAATGAAAACTGAAAAAAGAGTACCCCATTATTGAAAAGTGGCTATAACTAAATGACCGTGTTTCGCATATCAGTTTCTTTTACAATGCGAGTTATATTGACAACAAAAACTTTTGTATTTAAGGTTTTCACCTATTGTACAGGGAATTCAAGATTCAAGATTAAGTGCTATATTCAAAAATCAACAGATGTCTTAAATTTTCAGCTATCGACTTCAGATTTGGCAGAAGGGTAGAAGTGCACATCAGCACTTTATCTGTTCAAAAAGGACTTAGTCATATCTCGCAAAGTATTTAAAAAAACACATTTTGGTATATTTTGACTTGCAGAAAAAAAATATTTTCTCGGAAACAATTAACCCGATCGGCAAAATTTGTGAACCAGGAAATGCGGGAGATCCGGGACCATCATTTTTATTTCAGGCATTTTTTCCATTTTATACATGGTTTTTTAATTATAATAAAATAAAATAAAAATAAATAAATAAAAAAAAAGACCCTGAAAATCGTTCTTTTCGCGATTAAATTATTAGCCGTGAATCAAAATTCGTGAAAAATATGGCCAATTGGTTTAAACAGTGTTATAGGCCACATTGAGAGCTACAATTTTTGTATTTACGGTTTTGATCTATCACACTCACTGCTCGAGAAATTTGAAAAAATCCATATGAGAATCACTATTCTGGGAGCTCTCAAGGCGCGATGACGTCATAAATTATTATGGCGTAGTGCATGATTTCAGAACAATCTTATTTTCTCGACAACCATTTACTATTTTAGAAAAACTCTTGGACTAGGAAACGTGGAAGATCAATAGCCTGGAAACTCCATTTCCGGGATTTCTTCAACTATGTACAGGGTGTGTCCATTATAGGTAAAAAAATCTAAAAGATCCTGCCGTTGCCGTTTTCGTTTGTAAATTATTAGCCGTTAATGAAAAACTATAACATTTGTAAACAATTGACCCAAACAGTTTCGTAAATTGTGAGGAGAGAGAGTTTCAGGTTTCGTCTATCATACAGGGTGCGCGAGATACTTGGAATATCAAAATTGGAAATAGTTATCACTTGTAAAATTTTTTATATTTATCAAAGTTTGTCGTTATTTTGAAATTCGGCGACAAGTAAAAGACGCTTTCTAGTTTGTACACACACTTCAATTTTGCGAAATTTCCATAGTGGTCTGCAGGAGCACGATAGAAAAACAATGCGTCCCTGTAGGACAAGGAACTGCGAAGCGGTTTCTTTTCAAAATACAAAGCTGCTTTGCGCTACGCGCCACGAACTTCCCCGCCCACCAAAATGGCCACCGACTTATTAGCATTAGGCTTTAGGTTATGAGAATAGAGAATTTAAGTGCTCGTTAGTCTTTCTAGTCAGGCACAGAGAGCGTAGGCTTGATTTAGTATTGTTATAGATAACCTGTTCCAACCTTTTGCCTTTTGTTAATATAAAAAAAGAACTTTCTACAAAGAATTTCAGTAACAGTATCCAAAGCTCAAGATACTTTGTTTTGATTAATCTGACAAAACAGGTCATCATTTTAGTAAGCACAGTTCCAAAAGATTTACGAAAATCGGACCATTTTTTTCTAGAACCTTGAATAGAATACTACAGTTGGGTTTGAAAAACGATGAATATAAATAAATATAAACTTTTTCCTCGCGCCTTATAAATTGTTTAGTGAAGTGTAAGTGTCTTCTAACCTTAAATTCTATCTCTTAAAAGCATTGATGACAAGTGAGCAATAACAGTAATGGTAATTTTTTGTCAACCCTTTGTTCGCAAACCAACTTAGTTCTAAAAAAATAGCTATTAAACAAAATTATGAAAATAACTACGTTTTTGGAGGCATGTGGAGGATTTTCGCAGGAGCGTTTTTAAACACCGAACAAGAATCTCTGAACTTACCTTTTTTTTTTCTTATTTTTTATACCACGAACCTGCAATCCCACTCTTTTATTTTATTTTTCGCATTTTTTTCTTTAAATTATTATTAATACTCGCAACAAACAAATGCGGAAGCCGAAGTATGTGAATGTTTTTATTTTTTGCAAAAAATGGGACGCGATTTATAATGTTTGCGAATACTATTGACGATCTTTATTGGTGACGTCAGTATCGGAGAAGATCATTTTCCTTATTAGGTACACATGTAAGTCGTAATAGCTGTGCCCGTGATACCTAGACGAAAAATTAAAAAGTTCCGAATAAAGATCGATTCAAAATTTAAAATATACAGCGTGTCTAATGTAGGGATAATTTCAATTTTAGTAACTATTCAAAATTCATTTAACAATTAAAACGTTTTCTCAAAAATCATTAAGCAAGGAAGGTATAATGCAAAAATGATCAAAAAAGGCATTACTGGCACAAAAAGAACCTCATTTAAACTATCAATATGGATGTTACTTTTCTCAATCGCCTTGTATATATTTTTCTTTTCTTGGAATAGAATATTGAATTCTGAACCTAGTGTTTAAAGTATGGAAACAATAAATGCTCCCAAATTTTTTGAATAATGATAAATGCATCATCTGATACTTTATTTCAAACCATTTTTTAAGCTCCATTTAATATTAAAAAATTTATGGAGTATCTTTATGTCAACTTATTCTTCTTCAAAGTGTCCTAATAATGTAATGTAATAAACCAAAATGCACTATACCTATAATAAAGATTATCGCGTCTTCGATCCTGAAGCCTACCGCTGGGACACTCAAACGCCTCAGGGACTTCTTTAACAATATCGAAAGAATACCAGTCATCTTTATTCCCATTTTTGTTTATTATTTCACCGTCGTCACCACCGATGCAATCGTCTGAAATTCAATAAAAACAATCATGTTCCCGCACTTCGGCGAGATAATCCTTTACCTGATTGATTGTTAGAAAGGACGGTATAGTTTTTCGAGCGACTGTCACGCATCTTAAGCTCAACCCTCATCAATGAACGGAAGCCATCGATTAACGAGCCTTTTATTCGTTTCATTATGTCGGAATTTAAAGCTTATGCCAAACTTCAACACTGCTGGTGTCATTATCAAAATAGGATGTCCGCTTCCAAGCTTCTCTTGGCTCTCATTCTCTTCCGCTTGTTCTCGTTCTTGACTTTGATTTGCCTCTCAATTTCGCCCCTCAACGATTGATTTCTGAAGTAATCCATATCGAATCCGAGAAGTTCCTTTTTCACGTCCGATCCGTGAGCGACGAGTTGTTGAACCGATTTAGTAGAAGCGATTGTTGAACTTTTTCCTAAACCGTCCGGTTTCGCTGCTACCGCACTGGCCGGTCTAAACGCGAGACGCTGCTGAGAATTTATCGGCATTTTGACTGCTGGCCCACTCTCTTGATGTCCGATGTATTGGGCAATGGTATCGGCGACGGTTGGGCGTTTATTGGGGCTCATTGTACCCTTCGATTTGATAGTTTCTTCCACGTCGTCCGTGTGGCCGAACTTTCGCAAGCTCCTCCTATTGCGGCCAGTTAGAAATTCATTTTTCCTTAAATACGACCATTCACGTATTTAGCGAATGGAGCAATTTTAACTGTGGTCGACAAATGTCATCTAGCTTGCGGTGTTGCCAAACCGTTATATTTATTCGATTTATTACAATAGCAAATTTATTCAATGGAAAACTCCATCTGCATTTAAAAAAAATCGCATTGATTTCAAAATACGCAGCAATAAAATTCAGACTCGTGTTTGCTTTTTGCGTTTCACTTTTGAACCTAATGGATAAACGGAACATACTGGCTAAAAAATATAAAATTTTCGTTGTTGCAGCAAAAATTTGAGGGATTAAAAAACTTAGTGGTGGTATTTGTGGTTGTAACAATGTCACAAAAAAATTATCGCAAAAAACGGTATCACCTGACAAAGCATAGCAGACTATCTGCGAAATAATAATTAAACATTTTGCAACTAGACGTGGTTACGCCAACTAACAATTTCAGTATCTATAGCCCCGTCCACTAAATAGGTAAACGGCAGGATTACCCATTTTTGCTGTATATGGATATAATTTTCGCTTTCATGAAAGGCTTTCCACCGGATTGAATCAAATTCGTTGCAGATATTGATTTCGCTGCCTCTTTGTTGGGTTTGCTTATGACTTCTTTCACTCTGGCCACGCTTTTGGGAATCGCACCTTGCCTATTAGCCATGTTCACAGTATGCGGCCTTATTCTAGCTGTGACCGGCCTCTTCGCGTTATTTTCAACATTGGTCATTTGCCTCGCTTAAGGTAAAGGTTATTATTATTATTATTCTACTTTACAAAGCGTTTAAGTGGACCCAATTGTTAGGTGATGTTATTGATGAAATTATGTGATATACAGTGTTAAATGTTCGTTGTTTATGGCAATACAGAATGACAAACTGACCTTAGCGCAACTGTAGATGTAAGTGAATATAGAATCCCTCTATAAACCTAGACAGATGTGTTTAGAAACGTAACCCTTTCTCAAAGGAGTGGATTAAAATGTAAATTTAACCAAGAAAGAAAATTAACAAAACGACACCCAGCCCCTAGAGAGTAGCTCAATTGCTCGTTCATTTTTGATTGATTGATTGAAGAAAAATAAAAGAAGCAACAATGGAAGTAGTAGAGATGAAGATGAATTCTGTGTAATTTGCAACGACTTGTACTTTGACAAAAAAAGTTGACTCGGTTTGTTGTTTAGTATGCTGCACAAAACCTGTGTATCAATATCACCAAATAAAACGTCAAAAACTTTAACCTTAGTGTAAGGTACCTTACTTACCATTTGGTGACGATTTGGAGCCGCCCTTGTGTGAGGAACCCTCAACTCTCGGAGAAGTTCCGTCACACTCCACTTTGGAAAACTCCAAAGTCAAATTCAATTTCGGACTCTTCAGTTGTTGGGTAGCTGGGGCGGAAGTCTTGACAAAAGGTTGTTCACCTTCCGTCGGTTTCTCTTTCCTTCTCGTTAGACACTCCTTCAATTTTTTCATATCCGGCGAATCGTCTCGTTTCTTTGCCGCTACTTTTTCGTTACCGTTTTGTTTCCTGCAATCGCCGCCCTGACTAGCATTTCCTTCGACTCCACTCTTTAAACCGCCAAGATTTTCGATTTTTTTAACACCGTCCTTGCAATGGTCGTTTTCACCATTCGATTGAACTGGCTGTTTTTTCGTTTCACTCGGTTGTGGCCTTCCGCACGAACCATCCACCATCCTCACTTGTGGTTTACTTGAATTAGCTTCTTCTGTCTGCTTCTTCATCTGTTGAGACAGTTCTAGCGTCTGTTTCTTCATCTGGTCGTTTCTGATCGAACGTGAACTCTGGCAATAATCGTCCTTAGAAATTTGATCCGTAGTTGTCACCTCGAACGCATCACCTTTTTTACAAGGTTCCCGCTTTTTACCATCGTTGCAGGAATCTCTGGGTTCGTATTCCCTGCCCTCTCTGTTCCTGCGGGGGTCTTTCTCCCATTTAGCTGGTCTGGGTTTTTTGGATTTGTTGCATATATCGTGGACCGTCATCGACGACGCTGAAGTTGAATCGCACTTTCCATCTTTTGGAGGAACGTTTGATTCGTTACAAGGCGGAGGCACCAATTCTTTTGTGGTTTCTGCCCTCTTTGTTCTTTTATCAACACACTCGTTTAATATTTTTGATTGATTATGTAGGGGTTGTTTCTCATGAATTTTTGTTGGGTTTGATGTTTTGCAGAGGTGATTCGTTTCATTATCGTCTTTTTTACGTAGATCGTCTTTGGCTCCACAATGTTCTTCCTCAACTTGTACCAGTTGTTTTTTAGCTTCTCCAACGTCACTTTTTGTGGATTGTGGTGTTCTGCAAAGGCCATTCGCTTCACCGAAGTCTTTTTTTAGTGATTTTAGCATTTTGGAGAGATTTTCTTGCTCTTTTTTGGACTGGAGACTTGCGCAAGGGTCATCTGTAGCCATTGTATTTTTATCTGTAGGTCCTTCCTCGTTTTCTTTTCTTTTACCCAGACATTCCTCCAACTTTGGTTGACTTATTTTAGATTCATGAAACGCAGGTTGTTTTCTAGCTTCTCCAACGTCAATTTTAGCGGGTTGAGGTGATCTGCAGAGGCCATTCGCTTCACCGAAGTCTTTTTTCAGTGATTTTGACGTTTTGGATTGACCTTCTTTTTCTTCCCTAAGTAGTGCCTGCTTGGAGTTTAGAGTTTTGGACGGATCTCTTTTTTCTTCACGACATTCTTCCTTTAGTGCTTGTTTGGTTTCGCAAGTTTCATCTTTGATTAACACATTTTTATGTGCCTGTTCGCCTTCCGTTCTCCTATCGAGACACTCCTTCAGTTTCTTTAACTCGTTGTCTAACGAGTTGCCTTCAGATTTCGATGATTCATGCGAGCATTCGGCCTTCGTCTGGAAGGGGGGCGGATTTCTACTGACCTGAGCCGTGTTGATCATGCCTTGAAAGATTCTGGCGACATTTTTGAATTTCGATCGATGATCTCGCGGGTCGTTGTCCAATTCGATTTTGATTTCAAGCCTTTGCAAGTTGATTACGTTGTCGCCTTCGGTGGCCAGGTTCGACTCGGCCGGGTTTTTCTCGACGCTAGTCCTCGCTTTGGGTGGCAACACCATATCCCTTGGTCCCTTCGGTTTCTCTTTTTTAGCCTTGTCTTTCTTTTGGTCGGGCGGCGATTGCTTCGGGATCGGCGGCAGCCTCGGCTTGTTCTCGAAATACGCTTCCTTATCTTCCAGCAGCTTCTTAATCTTGTTCAGCATCAAATCGATCTTGTCGATCTTCGCCACGGCCACCGTGTTCTTCCTCGAAAAGTCTTCTTTCAGTTCTATGATCTTTTCGGCCAGTTGGGGCGCGATCTCGTGCCTCTGCTCCACCAAAATTCTATCTCGATCTTCCGTAACGACGGACTCTTTGAGCTCGGCGGTTTCCACCTTTTCCAGGACCTCGTCGGCGAATTCCGCTGCCGATTCTTGAATCTCTTGCAAAACGCCGTCCTTTTTCGCCGCGATATCTTCCTCCAACAGTACTATTTCGTCGCCAGCTTCCAACACGGCTTCCTTTAGCTGCAGGGCAGCGTCTCTTTCTTCCTTTGGTTGCTCGATCGATTTTACGGTCAACAGCTGATCCGGATGGTTCGTTATTCGATTTCCATCGGGGGCTTGAAAGGGCGCTTTGCCGGGATTGTTCTTTGTCACCTCTCCGGTATTTAGGATTTCCTCCCACTCTTTTTGCTTTTTGACGTAGAAATCTTCTTTTTGGTCGGAAGAAAAGACCCGTTTCGCCGCCAACATCATCCTCTTGTCTTTCGTGTAGGAGTGGGCGTCGCAAGCGTAGATCTGCTCGATTTGCTTCTTGACAGCGTCGTCTTTCGCCAGTTTCTGCTTCAACACGCTAATGGGTCTCTTGGTCAAATCCTTAACCGAGCTCTTCAGAGCGGGAGATGAATAGACTTTCTCTCTCAGCGCCCGCCTCTCCGACATCTGTCGCTGTCTCAGTTTCGTTTTTGCCGCCGTTTCTTGTTTCTGCGCCGCTAACCTGTTTAATTCTTCGCATTCGCTGACTTCCTCGAGGGTTTCGTCTTTGTTTTCGGTCGCCGTCGGTTTATCGGAGTCGACCACGACTACGATATCGATGTCTTCTTTCGGATCTGCCGAGAATATATTTTTTTCTAGACTTTGCAAGAAGCCGCTAAGATATAAGGGGCTATGCAGTAAGTACATGGTGGCCCGTTTAAGAGGGGGCCTATTACCTTATCTCGAAACCTAGAGGGAGGGGGGTTACAAAAAAAAAAAACAAAAACTTCTATTAGAATGAGCTGCATTTTTTTATTTTCCTAATCGTGACTTCTTTATATGCAGGGTGGTAAAACAAAGTTACCTTTTATAAATAGAACACCCTAAATTTTATTGCATTTTTGGATAGTCCTTCCAAAATGAGTCTGTGATGCACCGTTTCGAAGTTATTAGCGATCATCTTCAGAATTCGGGTTATATTTAAACCATCATTGTTGGATTGCTTATTAATTTTTTATTTTTTTTTTCCATCTATTATTTTTACCAAAATAATGGAATTATTTTCAAGTTCATAAAATGGCCACTAGGGGGCGTAACCTCTACTGTAAAATAGAAAAAACGGGTTTTTATCAAATATTTTCCAGGAGGCGCTGCAACTGGCGTGTCAATATCACGGTATTAATTCTTTTACGAGTCTGCACATTCTTGAAACCAGAAATGCTTTTGCATAATTATGTGCGATCTTGCTTTCTCAAATAAATGCAACTTTTTACTATGAAAATGCGATAAAATGAGAAATTCGAATGCAACTAGACATGTCAGTTTTTTTAAAAGAAACTTCTACAGGAAACTGTTCAGTCAAGTTGTGAAGAAGCCAACAAGATGATTGGCGAACCATTAGCTAGTTCGTCTCAACAAACCGACGCAGGAATCCAGAAGTTTTATGATAGTAGGTCAGGAAACGTCACCATGAACTTCAAGATTTGGATCGGGAAATTTTGCAGTGGTTCTAACAGCAACGTCTTAAAAATGTACCACTCTCTGGACCTATCGTAAAACTAAAAGCAGAAAAGTTTGCTGAAAACCTTGGAATTATCGCTTTCAAGGCTTCGAAAGAATGGTTGGGGAAGTTCAAACAGAGACATGGTATGAATTGTGGACAGATAAATGTTGTCGACAGAAACGTCACTAACGATTGGCTGTTGAAGACGTGGCCAAAACTAACAGAAAAGTATCCTGCTGACAATATTTTTAATGCTGACGAAACTAGTATTTTTTACAACATGACGCCAGATAAAACCCTTAAATTTCGAAGCGAAAAGTATCTGGGTGGAAAAGTTTCTAAAAAAGGTATAACAGTGTTAGTAGCTACCAATATGAGTAGGAGAGAAAAAAGAAAGCTAGTCGTGTTTGAAAATTAACTAACCCACGATGTTTTAAGAACATCAAGCATTTGCCGGTCACTTACAAGGCAAACAAGTCTGCATGGAGGACATCGCAAATTTTTGAAGAGGAGATACGAAAATGGGATGCAGAATTAAAGGGGAGGAAAATATTACTGCTCTTACATAACTGCCTTGCACATTCCCATATTCCAAATCTACGGAATATTGAATTGGCATTTCTTCCAGTCAAAACAATAAGTGTATTACAGCCGATGGAGCATAATAAAAAGTCTTAAGAATCGATACAGGAAAAATGGAAATGATCGAGTCGAATTAATATGCTAGATGCCTTAACTCTGTATAACGAAAAAAAAGCAGTCCTTTCAATTTCGCTATATAGAGTTTCGACTGTATTCGTATTTTCTTAGAAAAATTAAAATATTGGAAAAACTGTTAGGTTCAGGACTTTTATAACTCTTGAAACCAATGAGACAACGTACTTTACTCTATAGTTGACTCACCCTGGACAGTTTCCCGCATTCGAGATATGCTCTTCATGTGATTGACCAGCGTCAGCTTGTCGCCCTGTATCTTGCGTAATTTCTCTAGGGTTTGTCGTTCCTCGTCTTCTTTTCCCTTCACCCCTTCACTTTTCATTTGTTTGACAAAGTTCGAGAATCGTTGGGCCTCGTTTCCCAAGTTCTCGTAATTGACAAGAGGCACGGGATGGGCCTGGATCGGCAATGGTTCTTGTTTCTGCTTCTTCTTGTTACGTTTCGGTTGGGGTTGCATTTTGCGCGCGTTCTTCATCAGTAGAGCGATAAATTTCGGTTTGAGTTTCATTTTCGTTTCTTGCGACGCATCTCCCACAATCGGATGCTCTCTGACCGTCCCTTTCGCCTCTTTCGGAACTTTGCCAGTGGAAAGTTTGGGATTCGAATCGCGTTTCTTCGACGGACCTTTCGACACAAATAATACTGATAGACGTGGATATATAAAGGCCCTGCGCATGCTGACAGTACAGGAACTCGTGAAGCAACTATGTAACATTTTTTTGAAATAACACAAGAAACGTCTAAATGGAAAAAATGTTTAACGAGCACCTCCTATAGACACTAATTGACTTGTAGCTTAATTGCTTTCTTATATTATATATTACGCAAACATCCTTTGCAGCTATTTAAATTTACCTAAAAGTGTAAAGAATTCTGTTTAGTAAATTCTCATGTAAATATTTGTGTGTAGAGTACTGAAAGCACGAATTATACCAGTTTGTGAGTACGCAAAAAATGAAAACAGGGCACTCACTGAAAGGTGAAGAACTGAGTCTTGGTTAAGATTGTTTGGTCGCTTATTGGATCCTAGCGTTTTTTTGTTTTGCTGTAAACTCCTGGCAAGCGACATAGAACGTAATAAATTCTTATTTTGTACTAATTTTTTTATGTACATGTTTCAAGACACTTGTATCACGTTTTTTTAATGTAGGTAAATAAATTCCTAGGACGGTCCTGGAACGGTTACGGGCAAGGGTCTGCTCGGCAGAGTAATAAACAGTAGGCGAAGTTAATCACGGGATCGGTTGTAGAAGCACTATACTTCTGGTCCAAGTGTAAAAATTATTAAAATACAGTGAAAACTCCCTATAGTGAAACTATATATAACGTAAAACTGTATTGGGAACAAAATTTGTTGTACTATTAATCCACTCTGTATAACGAATTTCTCACTCTGAATACCGAAAGAAAAAAGGGCACATCAGGTAACAAAGTAAGGAATGTAGGCCGACTTGTAATTAGGAGAGTCTCTTACCTTCTCAGAATTCCTTACCCTAATAATCTAATTACCGAGAACCTGGTCGTCCTAAGTGTTTTTCTCGTAATAAGCGATTGTGTTAATGCCTTTATCGGTATGTATAAAAGCACACCATTGTTTCAATCAGTTCTAAATTGACTTGGTGAATACGGAGAGCATGGCGAGTAAGCGAAAAATTTTATCTCTAGATGATAAAGTTGCTTTAATTCGGGAGATAGAACGGGGAGAAAAAAAAGTGATGTGGGACGTCGATACGGACTTACACCGTCGACTGTATCCACGATTTGGAAGTGCACAGAAAAAATCATTCAGGCTGAAGCGGCAAGCAGTTCTAAAAAATTAAGAAAGCCAAAATTTGGTTCAAACAGCAACGTCTTAACAATTTACCACTCTCTGGACCTATCGAAAAACTAACAGCAAAAAAGTTTGCTGAATAGCTTGGCATTATCGATTTCAAGGCTTCTGAAGGATGGTTGGAGAAGTTCAAACAGAGAAATGGTGTAAATTATGGACAGATAAGTGGCGAAGACCGTGATATCGACAGAAACGTCACTAACGATTGGCTGGAGAAGACGTGGCCAAAACCAGCAGAAAAGTTCCCTGCTGACGTCATTTTTAATGCTGACGAAACTGGTATTTTTTACAAAATGACGCCAGATAAAACTCTTAAATTTCGAAACGAAAAGTGTGTGGGTGGAAAACTTTCTAAAGAACGTATAAGAGTGTTAGCAGCTGTCAATTTGAGTGGGAGAGAAAACAGAAAGCTTCTCGGAATTGGAAAATCAACTAACCCACGATGTTTTAAGAACATCAAGCATTTGCCGATCACTTACAAGGAAAAACAAGTCAGAATTAAAGGGGAGGAAAATATTACTTCTCTTAGCCCTGTACATCCCCATATTCCAAATCTACAGAATATTGAATTCGCATTTCTTCCAGCCAAAAGAACAAGTGTATTACAGCCGATGGACCAGAGCGTAATAAATAGTCTTAGAGTCGATACAGGAAAAACATTTTAATGCAAATGACCGAGTGCGAAAACCAATTTTCCGTTAATGTGCTAGATGCAGTCAACTTTATTAGTACAGTTTGGAAAGAGGTGGCAGCAGAAACAATTCAACACTCTTATCGTCATGCAGGACTTATTACCGAGACAGAATGCGAACAGTTTTCCATAATGATAATGATGAAGATGATCAGCCACTAAGCGAGTGGATAAAGCAGTTTCAAACAACAGCTACGTTTACAAGTGCGGAGTTGTAAGATTTTATGGTAATAGATCAGGATTTGCCTACAACAGCAAACTTGACAGAGGAAGCCATATTACAAGCAAAAAAGGGCGAGGAAGAAGAAGATGCAGAAGTTCAACAAGCCCTATATTCAGTTAAGCTGCTAGAGAAATTTTTTATGTATTTATGTATCAGGGTGAAGATGCCCCTCTCGAAGAAATGGTGAAAATATAAGCCAAAGTACGAGATGCGTATTGGCATACTAAAAAAATTCAAAAGATAATGACCGATTATTTGAAACATTAAATTTAGTTCTTAAATATTTATGTAAAATGTTCCTAAGTAGTTGTTAAAATATGTATATAAAATAATTAAATATTACAGAACACATATTCGCGTATTGTTATTTTTCAAGTGCCTATATAACAAAAACTCTATATAACGAAAAAAAAACAGTCCCTTTGATTTCGCTATATAGAGTTTCGACTGTATTTTCCCCCGGAACATGTGAAGAGGTTGCCCATACCTGGTGTAGATTGATTTTTTTTTTAATTTGACAGGATTATATTGTAAAGCTTCTCGCTTTCCGGTTAACAAAGACACGATAATAACCTTCTTTGATCTTATACCGCTTGACGACCGCCATGTTGTGCTTAGCGTTATGGGTGGGGTACGTGATCCCGCCCCTTTTGGCCCCGAAAACCGTTTTCCATTGCGACGTGCTCCTTCGTCTCTGGATGTTGCCGATCTGTTCCGTCGCCGATTTGTACAACTCGAACGCCATGCCGCTCATAATTTTCCGATTCGTCGAGTAGCATTGCAACATGGCGGACAAGGGATGGGGCAACGCGAAAAACTTGGGTTTCGCCTTGGGGAACGATTTTTTCACCGCCTTTGAGCAGTTCTCGGCGTCTTTGGCGGACCGCGTCAAAGCGGCAGTGTTACGAGTCGGACTAACGGAATTGCACCTCGCGTTGATGTTCGCGACGCACGCGTACGATTTGGTTAACCTCAGACCGAATATTTTGTACATTTTGAAGCGATATGGGGTTGGTTTACTTTAATTTTGAACGGGTGTCTGGAGAAATGGTGATCGATGCGTCAGAAACTGTCAGCTTGGTGTTTGCCGCGTGGTGACGCCTTTGTTTCACCCAGAGAATCTGGTTTTTGGTTAGCAACGATTCTGCCTATTGTGTGACCCCGCATAATACAGGTTTTCAAAAAAATATATATAAATTAAAATAATATAACGCTGCCCACCATTATTGTAATTTTGGAAATGTTGTATAGAGTTTAGCATTATGTGAAACTATTTTTTAGTTATAATCTTACCTATGAATGAGGGGTCGTAAGCATTGTAGAAAAACAGTTTCTTAAACCAGACGTATGAATTTTATCACTTTTTAGTGACCGAGAAAAATGCCAATTAATAATTATGGTTCACCAACCTCCAGAATCATATTCTGTGATTAAATTACAAAAACAGGATTGAAACTCATTAATTGTCAAAGACACAAAGACACCTTTATCGTCGATAAATAGTGGAGAATTGAAGATGTATAATGTATAATAGAAAATAATAACTTTAAATATCGGGGTGCAGAAATAACGAGTAACGGAAGCCTTCTCAACGAAGTGCATTCATTAGAGTCTCTGTCGAAACTTCGAAGTTTGCAGAAGTTAAAAAAATACTATGTCAATATATATCGAAAAAATTCTCAAGGTGATTTTTAAATGTATGCTCCTTAATTTTTTGTTTCTGAGTTTTCTTTTTCTTTTTTTTTTTTTCAAAAGTTCCCACTCGATAAACTTTCATGATTTTGACAGACGGGAATACCAATAGGTTTCCAAACTTTAATAACATCACGAATGACTTCATCAAAACACTGTCAAATTGTGAGGTTAGAATCTGTATGCTTGTAGAAAAATAATTGTAAAACTTTTCTTATACTCGGTAATTTTCGTTTACTTAATTTTCTACAAGAAAAATCAACCAGATTTTCTTTTCAGCCTTTTTACTGATAATAATTGAAATTACTGAGAGCTTTAAAGAATGACAATACACAATAATTTCTTAATATATGTGTTGCAGGCACTGAGAATTTGACAACTGTACCGTATGATCTAATATAATTAGTGCTGCCACCTACACTACGTACTGACAACGATTTTAAAATTTGAAATCCATTGAAATAAAACTTGACTATTAATTAGGATAAAAATTTTGAGACGTTAAGTAGATAAAAAATTATTAGAAGCTATTTCTGAAAGGTTCAAAATTTAGTAATTTTTAAATCGCTGTAATTAATCTTCTTTTAATAATCATACTTTGCTATACGGTTTTGGAAAACTTAAAGACTCAACTTCAACAATATAAATTGTTTTTTTGTAAACAATCGCGGACATTATATGTAAATTTATTTTTTTTTAATATCAAAAAGAAACATTTAAGAGGGTAAGAGCTAAAAAAAAATTGTTTTTTTAAACACCCTAATAAACAATCAACGCTATTATCGTTATCCTTAATTGTAATTCAACGTCGAATGCAAACAAACATTTAAAAAATATATCGGATTTATTCAAACGCGTAACAACGAAATGAATGACGTCAAACTAGCTCTTAATCATGGGATTCCCGTAATTGACTAAATTGGCCAGTTCGGTGGCGCTGTAACCTATGATCTGCTTCAAATCGCAAACGAACCTGTAGACGAACCGTTTCCCGTGGACTTTCGATATCATATCGCCGTCGTAGTAATACCGTAGCGCCCGTGAAAGTTTCTCGTAGTTCATCAGGGGTTTGTTTTTCCGTTCGCCCCACAACGCGGCCACCACCTCCGGATGCGTCAGCTTGAACTCGCCGTTGTGACCCGTCCACTGGATCACCGATTTGAATTCTTGCGTGGTGAGGAGCTCGAGCAAAAATTGCCACAGCTGAATCTGACCGTTGTAGCCGGACTTGTTGCCCGACGCGGAGCAGCCGTCTACGGTTTTCGGCGACAAACTTCGCGACGTCTTCGTCTGTGAATCGAAAATTTAACGCCATATTTTTGCTCTGTCGCGTTTTAAGATTCAACGTAGTAAAATAATCGCTGGAACTCGTGTAACAAAAAATTTTCTGAGTTATGGCTCGTCAAAATTCATTTTTTTCAACTTAATTTTTAACGTAGTGGTATTTTACACGCAGTTACAAAAACGTGTTACTAGATGGCACTTTACCTAGAACATTTTTTTTATTTTCATCGACTGCTATTGCAAAATGGAACAGATTGCCTTAAACGGAATCACAAATCCTCTAAAATTATTACTCTTATTTTCAGTGGATAACTGTTATTGTTTAGCCTCAAATCGCCTTTTTTATTTATTTATTCTTATAGAGATTTGAAAAAGTCATCCGTTAAAAATTAGTCTCTATTAAAAGAGCTCATTATCCAACTGCTACTGTGATGGAATATTCAAATACTGAATATCGCGATATGCATTTTTCCTACAAAAGGGCAAATGGAAATACGAGGGCTACCATTTATATTTCCGGATTTGTAATAAAAAACTATAAGCTACCAACAAATATGACTTTATTGCACTTTTGCATTTGATAAAGCGAATCATCAAAGCACTTTTCCCACATCGAGTCTGGCACCTCCAAAACAACGCATCAATCGCTTTTTCTGGTGTCAAAAATAGTTGCCCACGTAATTTATTCTTAATTTATGGGAATAAAAAGAAGTCATTAAGTGCTAAATCGGGACTATATGGTGGACGGCTCATCAAATCAACGTTTTTAATGCTCAAAACGTTATTTGTTTGCACTGATCGGTGAGAGCTAGCATTGTCGTCTGATTCGTCTTCGGCGGTTGGTTTTTCTAATTCCTCCGAAGACTTTCGGCTAACAAATGGTTGTGTACCATTCAGAATTGACTGTTTTACCTTTCACCAAAGGAACAGTTGCAACGTGGCCAGTTTTCCTGAAAAAACAGGCTACCATTTGTATGGAGGTGTTTTGTGGGCTTTGTCTCATTCTGAAAGACCTACACAGTCGACTGCTCCTTACTTTCATGTTCATATGCATAAATCCATGGTTCATAACGTGCCACGACATCAAACACGTGTTTGGAAACACCGCGATCGTATTTTTTTAGCAATTCCTTGGACCAATCAACACTAGCCTTTTTTTGAGCTGATGTCAAATTGTGTGGAATCCAACGAGAACAATTTTTTTTTAGCGGCCAAAAGTTCATGTAAAATTGTATATATGCTAGTCCCATTATTGCCGAATGAATTTCATAGTAAGTCACATGACGATCCTGCAAAATCAGTTTTCGCACTGCGTTCTTCACGAAATTCATCCTTAAGAAAACTACGACTGAAGTTCGAAAGCCAGCGATAAACAGTAATCCTAGATGGTGCTTTAACTCCAAAAGTCGAATTAAGTTCATCCATGCATTGTTGTTGAGCTAGTCCCGATTAAGTTTCATTTTTAACCGTCACACAAACAACACTCTTTCGCCAAAACTTAACTGAGTAAACCTAACCTCAAAATGTCAAACTTCCTATAAAAACGTTAGTCGCCAGATGGCAGGACTAGTTTAAGAAAATCCCGAAATATAGGCAGCCCTCGATCGACGCTTATATGGAACGTTTCTCATCCGCCACTCTTTAACATGCACAGAAGACTAATAATAACAACACTAAAAGTTTTAAAAAATATCTGTAAATTTGTAAACATTTAATGTTTTAAATTTTTTATTGTTAATATTACAACATAACAATTAGATTAAGGTATTTTACCAACATTTGGGACTGATTCCAGGTGCCAATCCCTAGAAATTTTGAAATATATAACCCAAATAGAATTTGATCTTACTCATATGTTCTTTATCTTTCTTTAAATTACCTCTATTTTTAAAAATAGGACAAAATCTAATGAGAACCACTACAAAGCAAATAGAAAAGAAACATTAAGATTTTTCTGTTTATATAATTAATATGGTATTACCTTCTCCTTGATTAACAAAATAATTTACTCACCCTCGCTCTGCTTATTGTCGATTCTTTTGGGAGTGTTTCGGAAAAATTCTCAAACCGTCGGACGGCTGAAACCAAAACAACTGTAGACTTTCATCTTACTATTAGAAAATCTGCTTCCTATACCGACAACTTTCATCTTTCTCAATAGTTCCAAATGAGTCCAGAATACGTCGCCGGGATCATTGGGCACGATTTTCTGGAAATCTTCCATTGTCAAATTGTACAAATCCTTCCCGGTCATGTTCCAGTCCTTCAGTTTAATGTTTGACAGGTTGAATTGTCGCACGGCCCACTGAATCCAATGACTCACGTGAATTGTTGACCACTCTTCGGGATTGAGTGGTATTTTCAATCTTTCTTGGTCCTTTTTATATTGTAGATCAACTTGCCATTGAACAATGCTGCGAGCTGTGTCTTCAAAGGGTTCCTCCTCATCTGCAGCTTCGCTAGTGTCTTCCGCCGAGCTAACCGACTCTTCAGCGTGGATATAATCATCTGCTGGCTTTAAAACATCTAATATATTTATTTTCTTCATGTTTGGTTGAATCTGAACGTTTATTTGTACAGGGCCTTCGCCTTGCACACATTGATCCACCAAATTTTTATGATCTTCCAACTACAATGAAAAAAAAGCTTTCCAAGCAGTTATTTAAAATTTTGTGTACTTACAATTTGTATGTCCTGTAATGTATATATATAATTGGTAAGGTCTACATTTAATCGTTGAGACAGTAACTTTTTTAGCCTGGAAAGGGGCTGTCTAATGTCCATGTGTTGTGATAAGTAGTGGGACGAGGGATCTATCATCGTCATAAAGTCCGAGTCAAGTTCGTTCATTAAATTTTCTTCAAAATCGGTGACACCATCGAACGAGCTAATTATACCTAGGATATGGGACGTCTGTTAATGTTTCAGTATGAGTTACCCAAAACTAACCCAAGTGTGAAGAGTCCTCTAGATGTGTACCAGAGTCGGTATCATCGACTGTTATAACCGAAGTGGGTTCGTATTCGGACATATTTCCATCATCTTCCAAAATGTACCTAAAATATTAAACTGATCATTGGGATTTACAATTTGCTTTCGTTGTTAACTTCTTGAACGGTTCGGTCTGTGATGTGCAAATTTTCTGGCCGAAGTCGTTAACGCTTAAGATATACGTCTCTGGACGAGCTTTTTCCATTTTACCATCGAATTTTTGCATATTATTGCATTTTAAATAATCGTAAGACGAGTTCAATTTCAATTCAAGTATGCGTTTCACAAAAAAAATGTTGGGCACGACTGCTAGGATCATTCGCCCATTGCCGACTTCCGTCGAGGATCTTCGCTTTTGGTCATTGACCAACAGGTACAAAGAAGACATATAACCAATATTTGCTCAACTAGCAAAAAAACAAATTTGACCGATACCAAAAAAATCGGCTTCCCCCCGCTACCAACACGGACCATCCGGGCTCATCCGACCTCCATACCGGCGTGAACAGGGAAAAACGACGGGGCCAACGACGATTATCACTTTAAAACATGCACTGAACACTAAAAACACTAAGTCCACACAGTGGAAACCGATATCAAAGTTTTGAGGACCAATACAAGGGATTCTGTCGGGGGCGAACGGAGGTTAAACCGTCGTGTGCAATGCTCCACCACAGAATCCGTAAGACGAGTTCAAATTCAATTCAATGATGCGTTTCGTAAAATCAGAAAAGCTTCGAAATTCCACAAAAAAATCTAAATGTCATAATATTAAACATAAACAATTCCACAAAAAATACAATTATCATAGTATTAAACGTAAATAGCGGCAACGTTGCGGCGAGCGATCTGCTGCTGATTCAATCAAGGAATCGGCTAGAACCGACCAGCCGGATCAGCGTTAGTGTTCGAGAGCGGTATGGATTGATTTGAACATGACAAATACGCTATGATATTTTTTACAGTTAAGAACTTACTTAGATAATTGTGTTTATTTTTCACGTCAACTGGATAAATCAACAGATGTGGTTGACACTGCCCAGATGGCAGTGCTCGTCAATATGGTTTTTAGTGATTTTATGATTAAGACGATCTTAAGTTTATTCTGAAAGGACACACTACTGGACAGGAGTTGCTTTCTCATTTAAAAAATATTATTTCTTCCCAGAAATTTCCAATATCGAAAATGGTAGATTTGATCACCGATGGCGCTCCAGCGATGGTGGGTTATGATACATAACTTACCGGGCTGAAATTAACTTTAAAACTGCACATAACTACTTAAAATCCACTTTCTTGGATTAATAGTAGGTTTTTCTTCCATTTTTCAACCAGATTCCATTCAAAATCGATTCCTCCGACTCATATCGTACCTAAAACCGCATCAAAACTGCAAATATCAGCTTAAACTATCATTTTTTCATCCAAACAGAAACAACACTATAAAACTGGCGGTAAAAATTATGAACAAGATTAGAGCTCAAACATTACAAAGAAGATTATTCAAAACCTTGGCCGATGAAGTTGAGTGTCAATACGGGGACCTTCTCCTTCACTCTGAAGTCTCATGGTTAAGTAGAGGACGGTGCTGAGACGTTTTAATGATGTCTCCTTTCTGGCATAGTTCAATTTTTTAAACAACGCGATCAACCGACTCGGGAACTAAAAAATCAATCTGGCTTAGAGATTTTGGTTTTCTTGTGGACATTACAGAGAAATTAAACAAACTTAATTTGCAGCTTCAGGGAAGAGACAAAGAACTAACATTTATCAAAAAACTGGAGTTTTGGAAGCAAAACCTAATTAACAGTGATGCCAAGCATTTTTCTATTCTTTCAGAAAAGATATCTCAAAATCCATTAAAACCCTATGACAGCAAATATCATGTAGAAATAATTTCTACCCCGAACTTCAAAAATCTTTGGCGAAGACATTGCTGCAACAGAAATGGAAGTAATCGAGTTTTATTGTTGGTCTTAAAATCGTTAGTCTCAACTATCAAATGTATCTGACCTATTGTAAGTAAATGTTGTCATTATTAACTATTTTTTTCAACTCCCGTCTGTAAAATACCTAATTACCCACCGATATAGCGTGCGGGAAGCGTCACTTTACCACGTCAGTTTCCTTTCCTACGAATCCAAGCCACTTCGGACATTTCCAGGATTTTACCGCACGGATTTGGGAGCAATCGGATGTTTTCGTTGATATTTCCCAAGCTTTGAATTTTGACGTTTGTCAATTCTGACGGTCCTACCAGTGAATGTATTCGTGTTGTTTTGCGAAAATGTACCCAAAAAATAACGGTCGTAGAAAAAGTATAGTATGCAACACGTTCAGTAAACTTTTTAACTCATTCGTTCATTAAACACTCGCTCCGCTCGTGTCAAATAAACTCATGAGTCAAATTCCGTTTACCGCACTTGTTGCATAAAATACTATTAAATCGTACGTGACATGCCGTTGTAGCTGGATGAAAGTGTTTATTTCACAAACACCTTCGTTTGGTAAGTAGAAATGTAGCTATGACAAGGACGTACTACTGATATTAGTTATTTTGTTATTAGATTATTATTAGTATCTACGTATTATGTATTACCAGTTAAAGTTAAATAGTAAAATAAATACATATATACATTGTTTATTCCAAAATTATCAAAGTAGCTCAACACATTTAAGAGGTTGGCGACCACTGATCTAGACAATAGCAAATAAAAATAACCAACAGAGAGATTGAAGATTTAAAATATTGTTTCTTGTTGATAAATTGGACATTGATTTTATTACATCAAGAAATATCAAGGTTCATGTGCCCAGTCGAAGAAAATAAAATTTTCAGGGGCAAATTACGTACATTTAGGCCATTTTCAAAAATTAAAAAATTCAGTCGATGGACTGACTTTTACATAAAGTAAATATTTTTGCCCGAAATGTAAATAATACTTACGAAATAAGAAAGTTTTATATTACGAAGAAAACAAGGAAAAAAATTAAACAATTTCTCTATTTATTTTTGCAAGAAACATACAATTTGGTTTATCAAACATATTAAATAAAAACGTTTAAATTACGCAACAATTCACTTACAGGATTAACGAAAAAGTAAACGTATATATATTTATATATAATCAAAAAACAAGCAATTCACCGGTATGTCCACGATTTCCGCTACATAACCTAATTTTACGCACAAATACAATGACTTAAAAAACTTCCTCTTGGCAAATCTTTAATAGTTATGTATTTACCATTTAATTAGGTACAATGTTTATATAAGGTCCCTTATCCCTATACATGCCTCGCGATAGAACTTAAAGTATCAACGAAAAAGCACTTTGTTATTCGTATTGTAGGACTAGTTCAAACTGGTAAAAATAAAGTTTATGTATATATAGGACCTCATATACGTGGCGATTGGGATTTGCGGGCGTTTGGCGTATATAGTGGATACGCTTAAAAATCTATTAAATAATGTTGACAATTTGCCATACAATGTTTCGGCGTCAAAACGCCCGGAAATCCCCAGGGCCGTAGTTGAAAATTTTTAAGTAGCCATATTTTAAATGCACATATTACACTTTTCGTGCGCACGCTGTGCGCATGCTCACGCGCTAATATAAAATTACTCAACAGACACGCCAGCACTGCATTGCGGAGACAACATTTGAAGATCCCGTTGGCTATGAGGATTTGCGCGAAAGACAGCTGATTTGACATTTGACACTTGAAAAAAATATTGAAGATTATGTTTATAGGCGGTCAATATATAAAATACTTAGTTAAAACCTTAATGTTCTAATTTGTAACTTTAATTTATTTAATTATATATATATATATATATATATATATATATATATATATATATATATATATATATATATATATATATATATATATATATATATATATATATATATATATATATATATATATATATATATATATATATATATATATATATATATATATATATATATATATCGACTATCCAAAAAAATGCCACAGAAAGTGTGCTTTAGTTTTTTCTCTGTTCCGTGGCTATATTGGCGCCACATTCTAATTACAAAAAAACTTTTCACAATTAAAACACTAATTAAGGGGGGCTATAAAAAGCGGCGTTTGAAAACTACATTTGTTGTCGCCTCTAGCGGCGATTTTAAACAGTTCAGTGGAAAGACTAATGCGAGACTAATTTCTGGCCCATTTTTTCAACAATGTGAATTGTTTCCTTCTTAAGCCCCCTAAATCTTTGAGATACGATTTTCCGGAGATTGTTTTCGGTTTATGCTATTCGAAAAAATCCAAACTTTTTTCTAAATTAATAATTTAATGTTATCAAAGTACAATACCGTCAAAAGAGGTATTTAATACATTTTACTATTTGCATTATTTTAGTTTTTATAGTATGGTGAAACTTCAAACATTGCCTCCGACTACTGATACCACCAGTTATGGAGAAACGGATAAATTTAACGCACTCAATCCGAATTTATTGAATTTAAATGAAAAACTATTTATTTTTGTGGTCCGTGATATGACCATAGAATCAAAATATTCTGACATATGTCAATTAGAACCCATAGAACATTCGGGTGGAGGACGGCAATTTAGGTAGGAACTTCATTTCTCCTACGGGTGGCATCCTTTGTTTGTTGCAAATAAGGCAGAAAGAAATGCTTCGACGGAAAATGTCATCCCCAAGAAAATCCCTTCAGACTACTAAATTTTTTGCCACTCTACCAAAAATCAGGTCTGCTATTGTTGTTCCTTTTTACTACGTACAGGAGACAGAGGAAAATACAATATTGGAAATGTCAGGTAAATAAACTAACATAGATAAAACGATTTCATATATGGTGTTGATTGCTTGACGCGTGACGTTAACAGTGTTGATAAGTTTACTATGCTTTTACAATTAATCAATTGTTTTTTCATCGATTTTTGCAGTTTTGTTTGTTAATGGACATTTTTCCATCTATTTGAGTCCTTCAACATTTGCATAAGTAGCGATTTAAACTATGTTTTTGCTACTGAGGCAGGGATATCTGCAAATGTTCTGAAGAGTGTGAACCTACCAAGGTGGACAACAATGTTGAATTTCAAAATCACTTATTGCCATTGCCGATCTTACAAGTTCAATGCTTTACTGTTACGAAGTTTTTGGCGAAACCGACTTTACACTGGCAAACAGCTCCACCAATTTATTTGACGTCTTAAAATGTCATTTCACACTTCTACCAACTTATAGCATTTAGAGGTTATGTTCGACTGTATTTGTTGCTTTCGAAAGGTGTTAACCGAAATATTTAAGCAACAACTACAATACAAGAACTAGAAAAAGAAATACTGCCCTTGCCTATATAATTGCTGCCATCTAGCGTCGAAAGTCGGTGATGCGTCAGACCTTGGTTAGAAAATGACATTCAGGAGAGTTAAAATTGCTTAAAAGAGAGTATAAAACGACCCTGACTACTTTCGTACAATTTCACTGATGTCGAAAGAAAGTTTTGATAAAATTGAGAAAATGGAAACAAACATAGAGATGCCATAAGTGAACAAGATAAACTTATAAAATTGGTGAAATTAATCGAATATTTCGAATATCCAGTATTTAATTATGTGTTAAAAGTGTGGAGAGTAATATATGACATTTAAGGACCAATTCCTTAGAATAAGTTAACAAATTTTCTTTTTATTTAAATTGGTTAGATGCGCGCCTTTATCGTTTTCCAACCTTGCTTCTTGATTTATTTCAACTATACTGCTCGAAGGCTGATTTATAAGATGAAAGAGAGATACAACACTGGTTAGAAAGAAACGATGGGCTTAAGAGATCAATGCGCAAGTGCTGCGAAACAAATTTAAATGTGCATCATGTAGAATTTATAGTTTTAGAAGAAACAGCGTCTACAAGAACACAAATTTCAATCAAGACTCATAACTTCTAAACTAACCGAAAGTAACTTATTACAGGCTTATTATATTTCTTTTTCTTTGTTTGTGAGGGGATTCTCGCCCTATACAGTTGGTATTACTGAATCGACGAAAATTGGAACAAAAACTTGTCAGTGTAAAACTAGTACAAGGGCGGAGAAGGGAAAATATTTCTTTCCGCGTTATCTTCAACCAGAACAATCTACAACCTATTCCTAAACGAACAACTTTGGAATGAGCGACGCCTACGTTTTAAAAACTAACCGATCGATTCAAAAACAAAAAAAATCTACAACGACACGTACTTTATTAATCAATAAATAATCACTTTATACAAAAACGAGACAAAAAAGGACGACCAGTAAAAACGGGAACTGTCCATCCCCTTTCGCCACACACAATTACTACTCACGACATAGCCACGGCGCTTGCTTACTATTCCGCTCGAATTAAGTGCGCCCGTCCGCCGTAAGATGGCCCCTCCGTCGCCGGTTGGCTTCGGATTGGTCGGGCCACCTTCGCTTGAGCAAAATCCCCCTCCCCCGTCCCGTGGTTAGTTGTGCGTCTCTCGGTAGATGGAAGCACGGATCGTCGACGCTCGAGGCGCCACCTACGCCGAGCGGATTCGACAAAAAACCAACTAACTGTCTCCGTTGTACGCTTCGGTCGCGTCCACAGTTTTACCAAAGCCCCTATTTATGAATTTCTTCTGTTTATATTATAAATCCGTCTAATCTTAATTTGTTATTATTAGAACTGTATAAATGGCAGCGTTCTGGCTAAGTGCAACAGGACCTTGAGAGCGTTCGACCACAGCCGCTGTAGCGGCGCGTACCGCAGGAATACAAAGTGCCACGTGACCAGCACCCCGATCAGCTGGACGAGGCGGTACGTCCAGTACAGGAGCGACATGTGTTTGCGAGCCTTCGGTATCGTGGACGAATCCTCCTTGAAGATGAATCTATAAACGGGGAGTTGCCGTGTAAGGTAAAGACCTGACTCACGGTTAAGATTGTTTGGTGGCTTATATCGAATAAAATTTAATTCCGGTTTCGTAATTGTGTTCGACAATTGTTGATGAGTTTATGTGTCTTAGTCTTAAGGCTCTTTCATGTCCTTTGAGCCTAGTTGATATTTTTCGTCCGGTATCCCTAATTTAAAATATATGCATGGAATGCTGTATACTTCTGCCATCTCAAATGGAATTTTGTGTTTGACGGATCGAAGATGTACAGAGGTTTTTGTACAAGTGGTAAATCTGGTTTTGACGTTATATTTCTCGAGAACTTTTGATATGTGATCCGTGATGTTTTGAATGTAAGGAAGGACAACAGTGGCAAATATGGGGTGCTTTCGGATTCACTGTCTGTCAATATGCAACACCATAATAGATTACCATTTTTTGGTTCCTATTTACCTGGTAGTTACGGTCAAACAGGTAATATGATGTTAATAATTGCACTCGTTTGTCATCCAATCCGGACTAGTCTTAAAATAAAAGTACAAATTTGGTATAGATGCTAGTTGTAAGACATTTAAATTAAAAAATTCGGAGCGAGCTTAAAAAAAAGTATTTTTCAAAATTATAATTAAAAATTAATTTGAACATTTCCGTTAATGTTGTCATATGAAATCAAGTTCAGGAACTTATTTTATTTGATAAAATGTCATTGTCATTGACACTATGGTAACTATAAAAAAGAGAATCGATAACGGATGATTTTTAGGCAGCATTAAGGTATCGGTCTGCCTGAGTAGGTTTTCTGTAAACATAATGACTCAATGTTCGGTCTGATTTTCTATTGATAAGAATATCCAAGAATGGGAGGTTGTTATTAGTTTCTATTTCAATGGTAAAAGGTATGATATGGTGTATAGAGTTTAAATGTCTAAGAAAATCCTGACCGTGAGGCCAAATAACAAAAGTATCATCGACGCAGCATTTCCATGAATAGATGGAAGATGTCGAGAGCTTTCTTCTCAAAGGCTTCCATAAATATATTCGCGATGACTGGTGATAATGGGGAACCCATAGTCAAAAATTTGACAATTATAAGAAAAATATGTGCCTGACAAGCATTTTTCAATTAATATGAGAAGGTTTGGTTCCAGATTTTGGACTTTTCATATATTTGAAATCACGTTGAGAGTTTCAGTAAATAGTTTTCCTTTTAAAGGTTTTTGATAAAGAAGCTAAATATTTCGCTAGAGAATACGTTGGAGAACCAAAAGTACTAACCATAGAACTTTTGCGTATCACAGTCTCATATCCAAATATTGAACCAATTCCATATAGAAAAAGTTGAATATTCACCTATTTTATTACAAAGTACAAGTCCTTCTGTCATAGCACATTTGTTCTTTAATGATAATAAAAATAATAAAAAACAGCATGAAAATGACAAAAGATATACAAGTGTAAGTAAATCAAGAAAACATGCAGCCGAAGGCAAAACCAGATACGGTTAAAGCCTCATTTAAAAAGAAAAATCATTGTTCCAGATAGCAAAGCCTTATATAGTAAGTAAATAAACAATAAATATCCAACAGGGAAATGTTAAGAATAAAAGGAGAAAAATAGGAAATGTTGAACAAAAATGAACAATCATTGCTGTTCACGTTTGAGAAGACTAAATTTAAACTAAACTAAAATAACTAAACTAAAATTTAAAATAAATGCATGGTAGGCACCACCACAGCAGTTCAGAGAGTAGTAAATAAATTGAAATAAAAAGATGCCGTATGCAACTTGAATCTACGTCAAAAAGCAATACCAGTTTACCAATTTGCCACTGTGATATGAAGATCCCCCAATACCATAAGTATGTAAACAGAATTGAAAACATTAAAAAAAAGTTTATTTTTCTCATGAACTTTAGGTATAAAAATAATCTAATAGGTATATCGTATGACTTCTATCATATGTTGAAATTATCTGTTAGGCGAATAATATGTAGTGGCATTTTTTGCACAATATTGTTAATAACAGAGTAGACTGTCCAAAAAGTGAAGGAAAAATTACCCTTTGCCTAAATATGGTACAAATTAAGAAGCAATGCATCAATATCTCGTTTGCAAAGAATTTATAATAGTTACTTTTTGCACATTGATATTTTGGCAATTTATTTAGGAATCAAGCGATGAGAGTGTTGCTCGGACTAAATAAAATTTATTGCTACATTTTTTCTTGTTTTTCTTTTTTTTATGTTTGCTTTTGAATTAAGATAAATGTACACCAATAAATAAAACCACCCACTATACGATTTGGAAAACCCATAGGAGATACGAAAAAAGTTTCATACAAAAGTTTCTTGGACTCTCCTGAATTTTGTTGATCAATTTTGTTATTTTAAATGGAACATCCTGTATATATCGATATTTTTGCAATCCTTGATTAAAATAAAGGTCACTTGCTGAAGAAATTCCTATTCGAATTTTGCATAGTTTAGGCAGAAATTGACTTTATGTTTTTTTTTTCATATTTTGATTGTGTTGTGACGCTTCTGATACTGGTTTTGCAACGAAAATATAACCACACTACTCAATCAGTTTGACAGATGCGCCTCAGCTTATACCTAATATTGCCAACAAGGGGGATTTCCAGATCGTATGGTGGGTTATTTTATTTCGCACACGGTGTACTTAGTTTTAGTGTACTTTTGTAAATTGTGACGTCATGTAGAATTATAGAATGTATCCGGAGTGAATATTAACATTTAATATTCGTCAATACGAGATACAAAGGTAAAAATTTCGAAACAACATGGGGGAAAAGCGTCTAGAAGCTGTTTCTCACCTTCTAATTCCCAAAACGTACGCCTCTATGTAGGTCTCCCAGTTGATTTTCTCCACGTCGAAACAAAACTCTTTCCGATCGACCTCGCTCAGAGTCAAACTCAACTTTCGCACATTTTCGTCGTCGAAACGCCACTCGTGTGTCGTAAAGTACTCCAGACACGTGGCCGCTTTCGTCAGTTTGTCCTGGATCTTCACCATCCTGCGAAGGTCCGAATTAGTGCATTGTTCGGAAAAAAAAAAAGTCAAGGGAGCAGATTTATTCCAAATTGAGTGAGGATTTTAAAAATACAGTCAATTTTACGGAAAAAGCAGTAGCGCAATAGTTTTTTTCTGAAAAATATTTCATATACTCTGGTACGGAAATCAAAAAATTTTTTCGCATCAAGTGTAGACACTGTCAACGAAATATCTACAGTGCTTTCAAAAATTATGATAAAAAATTGTTTTTTCTTAAAATTTCAACACCCTGTATATCGTTTAATAAAGGAAACTGGGGCTTCATTTCGATATAGAGTATGCTACAAAAATTTGCTATTTTATTTTAGTAGTTTTTCGGTTCAGAATATCCGGGAGATAGTAGCGAAAACACTGGCAATGAGTTTAACGGCAGTGCACAAAAAAAATATAATAGCGAAGAAGACCAAAAGAAGTAAACGAAGAAAGCCGCCGTCGCTTTGAAGATTTATATTAACCAAAAACCACTTTAACCTTTCAGTTTTAAAAGAAATTCTAAAAAAGTATAATTTTTGCTATTGAACTTGAATGATTATCAAATTTAATAAGAAAGTTTGGGTTTCCCTATAAAAAAGATTGACGCAGAAGATATTGAATCAGCGTGTTTTGCTTTTTCAATAGGAGCTTTGTTTTTCTGTATTAATTTTAAGTATTTGTATTAATTTAAGTATAATTTTTTGTTTTTGAGTTCTTCGTAATAGTTCTTAATAATAATAATAATAATAATAATAATAATGTGTTGTAAAAGATATGACAAAATAAATAAAGTTACTAAAATCGATTTGTCAATTCAAATACAAATATTGGTAGTTAATTTTAAAAAAAATGGGGTCAGTCAGTCAGATATTTAAAGAAAGTTTCCAATGAAATTAACAGTTAAGAATAATGAAATGAATTCATAATGAAATAAAACGTACTATTTTTGTTATGTAGAGAATTGGTCTTCGAAAAAAATTGAAAAGATACTTATATCCCGCTTAAATAAATAAATTCCTTGGACGGTCCTGGAATGGTTACGGGTAAAAGGGGCTACAGTTTTGGAGTAAAAAACAGTAGGCAAAGTTAATGACGGGGTTGGTTGTAAAAGCACTATATTTCTGGTCGAAGTATATATAATAATTAGAGTTAGGATTCTTATGCACAGAATATGTCTAGTTTTTTTCTACCATCTATGTGCTTTTATGGCCTTTATTTTTTACATATATTGTTTACTAAAAATCGAGGAAAGAATAGTCAAACAACGAAAAAAGTTACACATTATATTGACAGTTTTTAGACATAAAAATAATAATACTTAATTAGGAGTATTTTAATATTAGCTAATAATAAATTAGTAATATCTATATACCTATACCTAAACTATATTAATATTAAAGCATTATGGCAAAAACTATTTAGTTTTACAATCAGACCTATTGCTAATTTTTCAAAGAAACTTCCGCAGGCTACTGTAATGCTTTTTACAAAACTTCTGGATTCCTCCTTTCACCAATCATCCTGTTGGCTTCTTCAGAGCTTGACTGAAACTGGTTTCAGTCAGTTTCAGTCAGACTCTGAAGAAGCCAACAGGATGATTGGCGAAACGTCAGCAATTTCGACTAAGCTAAAACCGACGCAGGAGGAATCCAGAAGTTTTGTAAAAAGCAGACCTATTGTTATTGTACCAGTTGACAATTAAATGCAGTTCTAAATTTTCTATGGTTAATTTTCGTCTTTTATAGCTTAACATGATTTTGTACTTGGAGAACGTCCTTTCGCCGTCGACCGAAGTAATTGGCGCGAATTTAAATGATGCAATGATGGTTCCAAATAATCGCATCTAATTATAATTTTTTTTTTCACATTTTTCAGATAAATTTTTAGTATTTTTAATTGAATCAACTGAATGTCAAACGTCTAATACAATGTTTTTGAAATAAGGCAGCGTCTAACCACGTTCACCATCGAGTAATTACGGGTCCAGGAGGTAAAGGAACATTTGGCAATGTTTCTCTATAAACTTGAACTCGAAGAGATGCTTTAACAATTTTTTTTTTTACGTTCGAAATTAAAAAAATAACTAATCGAAAATTTAACCCTGATTTGGTTATATACGCTGCTGCGTCGGTGACTAAGAGATATATTAAGCTTTCATTTACAAATCCAACAATCTCTATACTGTTAGTTTTTTCCAACTGGTTTGTACTTATTAAAAAAGATTTTGGTAAATCATTTCCATTTAAAACAGCAACTAATAAATTCGCAACATAGCGACCACAGGCATCTGTTGTCTCGTCTACAATAATGTAAAGATACTGATTTTTAATATGATTTCTTATGCCTTGAATTACTTTTTTGTAAATGGAACTTACATAATTTTTTCAAAATGTACTTTCGTGAGGTGCATTTTTGTTGCAAACGGTTCTGAACCTCATTAAGGGGAAATATTTGCACTTAACAGCGCTTCACATAAGTGTAAATTGAAATTGTCTTGATCAGTTGTTCTTGAAGATGCCGCTGAAACGCACTGTTTGCAAAGAACTCTGCGAAATTTAATTCTTCTTTATTCTCTCCCATACACTTTTATGTTTTCCAGTGGTGACGTGCTAGTCTATTTGTCATTTTTTCTCACATGTAACCTTAAAGATAAATATTCATTTTCATATAATGTATACTATTAATTATCTAATAATAAATCAGCTTGATAATAAGTTTTTTTATCGTAATGTCTAAAATATGTTCAATTACATATTTCAATGTATATGGAAATCTAAACTTACCACTTTTCCACAAGTCTTGCAGAATACTTCTTTTTCCAAAGATAGCTCTGGATGATTTTTAATCCATACAGACACAAAATGGTAATTCACTTTCGGCATTTTGAATTCGATGATAGATCACTCTCAGACGCTCGGACAGCAAATAAAACGCTTTGAAAAATTGAAAATTACATATGAAGAGCGTGGGGCGTATTTCATTCAATCCGCAGCACCATCAGTGATAATTTTCAGAAGAGGTTGTTAAAATCACATTAGATAAAAGAGTCAAACAAGAAAATTTAAACGCTATCAATAGAAAGTCCACAATATTGGAGATACATTTAATTTTTAATTTTAAAAATAGGAAATATTCACTGTATGTACAACAACTAAAAATATGTACTAAAGCTTCATTTTATGCGAAACATGTATTTTTTTTATATCGTTAATCTAATTATTTCATTCTAAAACGGGTTGAGATATTCAAAATAATAAAACAGGTGTCTTTTACATAAAATCCTAACTCTAATAATAATTTACCTCGGCTTGCCACCCGTCAGCCACGTGACAGCGTCCAACACGTAGGCGGGAATCAGCTGCAGAACGCACCTATTGATAACGTTCACGGATTTCCATGACGTCACAGTGCCGTTCGGGTACCAAGCGACCCCGGACAACGGATGGACGCGGAAATAGTTGAAACCGAGCTGGATGAAATTGTTCCACGTCACCGGTTTCCTCATACCTGCAATTTTTTTTATTACTAAAAAAAGGTGACTGGTACAATAAAAATTTCAAAAGTCATAAACAATTAAAAATCGTAAAAAGTAGTGTTTAGTTTTTCGGTTATAGTTAGTAAACTAGTTTTTTTTTGATTAGTTGAAAATTTTCTAATAAAAATTTGTTTTTAGGCTACATAAAGTAGATTTAAATGTTATGGAATAATCTATTTTTTTTATCATGGCAACTTAAAAAAATGTGTGAAATAGTTTAAATTTCAATTGCAATATGAAAAAAATACAACATGAAGAACTGTCGTGTATGATATTAAGATAACATTTTTTCATTGTTTATAAACGTTTTCCTCATGTAGCTATTGTTGAAAAAATGTGTTTTTAATCATAATTGAGAATTCTCTACAAATTAACAAACAAATTTTTTTTTACACAAATTGTTAACTTTTTTTTATATTTTTTTTCTGAAACTTTTAAAATTTACAAAAACATCCCTGTGCATCAAAATATCGGAAAAAATATTTCGTACCATCAAAATAGACACCACTTGGCGATACACTAAATAAACCTCTTGATATCTTTTTATTTAGACTTTGCTTTTTATGGCCCAAAAATCGACCCCTTGATTCAATTCGATTAGAAAAAACACCCTATATATTAATATTCTTTTGCGACGACGAAACTCTATTCCCTATTCATAAGGATTATTTACCCGTTACGCAATTGTAGATAGGCAAATCGCTGGGTTTGCTGGTCGCCACCCACCACGCCGACGTCACCATCAAATTGATCACCATGTCGACGGGCACCAAGTCAGCGACCTTGTCCTTTTGGCACAGCATCGTCCTAAACAGGCCCTTGCCCGCGGCGGCCAAGATGCCCGTGGGTCCGTTCCAGTTGTCCACCCATCCCTTCAAAGGTCCGTCCATGCTCGACAGCACTATGCTGGGTCGCACAATCACCAACGGTAGATCGCCCCGGTTGTCTTTCAACCAGCATTCGGCCAACGCTTTCGTGAACGTGTACGTATTGGGCCGGTTGCCTACCAACTTGGGGGTTAGCTGATCGACCAGGTCCTCGTCCAGCGCGTCGACCAACGACACGATCTGGTCCGGACTGATGGTGGGCGGGTACACCATCTCTTTGACCTCCGATCGGTCGCAGTTGCAGTACGCCGTCGACACGTGTATCTGCAACGAAAGCCGAAACGACAATGGCGTGACGTACGCTAGGGGTAGAGCTCTCCGAACCATATACCGTTTTTACAACATTGTTATGGTTTTGACTTCGGAATAAGGTTAAGAAGACGTGCCTGTCGTTGAAAAGGGAAATGGACCATTCTTTTCAGCAGGTGTACCACGAGTCAGAGCCGTATTTAAGCTGTCAGCCGACAAGAACTGTGCCGTGCGGATATTTTAAGGGTAGAGAAATTTTCTTTCATTAAATTTGATATTAATATATATATATATATATATATATATATATATATATATATATATATATATATATATATATATATATATATATATATATATATATATTCTCACGTATTGATTCACGGATGGAAAAATGTGATGACACTATATTCCGGGATATCATCCGTTCGCTCGTTGAACTCCGACTGGAATCCTGCATCCGACTGGAATCCTGCAAATCTTGCATCCGACTGGAATCCTGCAGACGTTTCGCCAAAATCTCACTTGGCATCTTCAATGCTCGCGCTCCGAAAACAGTGTTCGAAGTGTTTTCGGAGCGCGAGCATTGAAGATGCCAAGTGAGATTTTGGCGAAACGTCTGCAGGATTCCAGTCGGATGCAAGATTTGCAGGATTCCAGTCGGATGCAGGATTCCAGTCGGAGTTCAACGAGCGAACGGATGATATCCCGGAATATAGTGTCATCATATATATATATATATATATATATATATATATATATATATATATATATATATATATATATATATATATATATATATATATATATATATATATATATATATATATATATATATATATATATATATATTGTACGCAGATGTTTAAAAATTTCAAAATCGTATCGTTGCAGAGAGATTTGTCAAATTTTGAAAAATATTGTTCTCTGAACAGATTTTTGTTAACCATGAGAAATGTCACTGTATTTTGTTTACAAAAAAATTACCACAACTACAAATTAAAAGTGAACTCTACCTAGGTAACTACAAACTGAACTTTTCGGACCTGGGTATTACATTGGATTTGGGGGCTTCTTTCTGAGATGGACGTAGAAAACATTGTTCCAAAGACTTTAAAGAGTCGTGGATATATTCTACGGGTGACTAATGGGTTTAATAATACAAAATCTTTAATAATACGTTTTTACAATCTTGTCTGGCTCGTGTTGGGATATGCTACGCCAGTCTAGAATCCAATGTATTTTAAATATATCGAACGGCTAGAGAGTGTACAACGAAAATTTTTTAATATACAGAGACATTTTTGTAGTTATAGTGAAAATCTTAATTTCTATTGTATGCAGTCGCAGTCTATCTTTTTGTGACATTTTGTGCTTTCCTTTAATTGCACAGCTGCGTCTGTCTGTAGGTAAGACTTGTTTATAAAAAAATAAATAAATACATCTTCCTAAAAGATGTTTTTCCAGTTTGCTATTGGTTGATTCGTGGGGGTTCTAATTAGTAATCACTAACTTACTGTCATTCAATTGATTTTCAAGACTTAGTGTGCAATTTGCACTAACTAACTAACTAACATTATTCAGTTTTGTTAGTCACTTGCGATGTCCAGCGACAAAGAAGTTGAACTTGCGGTCGATGACGTAATAATCGTTGATGATGAAAGACTAGGTATACACATTTGCTGGTTGCTGCCAAAATTATAATTTTTAACGTGTTTCTGTTTCTAAAATCGACATCTGGAGAAAGTGGAGCCATAAAATTAACGTCCGAGATGACTAAAACATCGTATGCCACGTAGTCGTGAATGGCAGCCAAGAAAGAAAAACGTGGAGTCCCAAACAGTGTATTTGACATTCATCGGAAAAATATAGTCTATTTTTTAGATGAAACATTTTATTACATTTTTAAAAACACTAATTTTTCAAAGAAATTTCCACGGGCTACTGTAATACTATTTACAAAAATTCTGGATTGCCCCTGCGTCGGTCTTTGTTGATTCGAACTTCTTTCTTGAGGCCTGAACTGAAACTGAGTTTCAGGATGATTGGCGAAACGTTAGCAAGTTATATATAGTACGATAGTAATTTAGATTTTACCTAATGTGTTAAAAAGATGTCTTCTTAAGATTAGAAATTGCATATACGAGGTATGTTCAAAAAATGAGGTGAATTTTAAGTTTAACATTGGGTTTTTCCGGCGATTTTTTCTTTATCTCTTCAATTGTTCTAAACCTCCATGGGTTTCCTGAGTTTTGGAAACAGTGGCTGAAGCTGAGGCAACAATGAGTGAGCAATGTGATGCAAAATCAATTAATTGTTTTAGCACGTTTTCTTCGTATTGATTCTCGCAAACGGCGCATAAGTTCAAGGTAATAACGCTTTATTGACCGTGCGACCTTCTAGTAAAAACTCTTGATGTATTAAACCACGATAGTCAAAGAAAACAGTAAGCATGACGTGCAGTTTCGGTCTGACGATTCTGGATTTTTCCATTGAGACGAGCACACAACACACGTCTAACGCTTCTTTCTCACAGAAAAAAGTAAACGTGCGGACATCAGTACCAACACAAAAAAAATATATCGAAGATCAAATGTACGTAGCCTTACTTTTTGAACACACCACGTATATGAATATTGGAATGCGATGCACCGTTTCGAATTTATTGACGACTCGAGCGTCTCTAAAATGTTTTTACGAAATTACTGTATCGATGATCATTTATTTAAAATACTGTAAGAATTTTAGATTATTTTATTTTTAAAACAATAACAATTGACAAACCTTTTCAATAATGAAATTAATAATTTTATCAATTGGTTAACTACATCCCGATATTTTGTTGTAATGCGTTTATTTTTGTACAAAAAAATACCGGGTGTTTGTCGATATAAAATAACTATTCTTTTATTTTTTTTATTATGCAAACATGACAATTGCATTATGCAGTTTAGGGCTTATGCAGAGTTTTTCGCATATTCATAGATTGCATAAAAAAACAAAATAAAAAGTTAATTAATTAATTATTAATAATTTAACAAAAACATTTAGATGACAGCTAAACACACTAATATCATTATCATAAAAAATTTATAAAATCAGCATTCTGTTGCCTTTTTTTTAGTCTATTTCTTTATATTGGTATTCTTTAATAAATTCGTTTGGTAAAAAATGGATTTTTCTTTCATGTTTTAAAATTGCACAAAATATTAACAATATGCCGTTGGTTCTTCTAAATCCACACAATCGCAGAAATGTTTTTCAAAATCATATTTTTTCCCGTTATCTTGTGACAAGCATCCGCGGAGACATCAACAATCGATTAGAAGGGGAACGTAATCTTTACGTGGTTTATTCATTTGTCACTCACCAGGGCCTGCAAATTGGTCATCCGTTTGCATAGTTCGACGAGACGCTGCGTGCCTAGCACGTTGATGGTGACGGACAGTTTTAGTTTTTCGTCGAATTTCACGGTGGCGGCGCTGTGAAACACGACGTTCACCGTTCGCGAGAGCGTCGCCCTGTCGGCGACGCTTATCGCCAATTCGGGTTGCGTGATGTCACCTTCGATGGGCAGCACTTTGCTCAAATCCGCGGGCCGTTCCTTTCTGATTACATCGAAAAGCTACAATTCGAAGAAACCACCGTTACAAATTAGTTAAAACAATTTGGGACGATACGTTTTCTCGGAAAGTGTAAAAATATCGAGAAAACCTAAAGACAAAAGTTGTCAAAAAATCGTATCTATCTTCTTTCTATGGCTGCGAGTGATTGAATAGTTAATCTCAGCTAGCTTTACCTAATTAAACTCCATCGTAGACATTTTCGTTATTTTACGACATTCTATTTTTCCACCTTTTTGTAAAATCATATCAAATTGTTAAGTTGTTAAATATCAGTCTATTGTTGGCTTCTTCAGAGCTTACTGTTTTCAGAAAGCTTTAACACATTTAATTAAATTCCGCGTGCAAAATTCTATTTTTCCGGCTTCTTGAAACAAAGCAACTCCATGAACTAGCGAAAGTATAAAATCATGTCAAAATGTCAAAGTCAAATGTCAAGATTGTCTTACAAAAAATTGTTAAATATCAGTCTATTGCTGACTTCTTCAGAGCTTAATGTTTTCAGTTAATATCTGAAGAGCCCTTAAACACATTTAATTAACTTCCGCGTGCGAAATTCTACGTTTCCGGCTTCTTGGAACAAAGCAAGAGTCAATCCACTGGTAAAAACACAAAATCATGTCAAAACGTCATAGAAAAAGTTGTCCATTATTGTCTTCTTCAGAACTTAATGTTTCCAGTTAAGCTCTGAAGAAACCTCTAAAACATTTAATTAACTTTTGCTTACGAAATTCTATTTTTTTTGACTTCTTAGAACAAGGCAAACATCGCTACAGTTTCATGTCAAAATGACAAACACGTAGAATAAGTTGTTAAATCTCAGTCCATTGTTGGCTTCTTCGGAGCTTAATGTTTTCAGTTGAAGAACCCACTAACATATTTAATTAACTTCTGCCGACGAAACTCCATTTTTCCGCCTTTTTAGAACAAAAGCAAGAATAACTCCAGTTCCAAAAGTAAAAAATCAAGTCAAAATATCAAAAACTTCATCTTCAAAGCTTTTCAATGCACCTCTGAAGAAAGAGCTTACGTAAATCCAGAAGATGTTGAAGACAGTTTCTTTTAAACAAAATTATACTCAAGCATATTGAGGAACATACTGGGAAATTCAGTTAATTTGTTTGCCTAATATTAATTTTGTTTTGATATTCTATATATTCTGAAGGGTATAAAAAACGCGAACCATCTTCAAATTCTTCTTCTAACAATATAATAACTATGGTTATCTTATATCAATATTTGGTATGCGGATGTGGGACTAGGGAAAGTCCAAGTCCGAAGCAACCCGAAAACACGGAAAAACACTAGAAACAAAAAAAAACGAAAGTGTTAAGAGTAGGATGCCGAGAGAAAGTGTACGAATCTTTCTGGAACGATAACAAACGAATATGCGTAAAATGCAACGTCACGCGTCGGCCTCCTTCGATTCGGCATTACGGATGAACCATATCCGTTCGCCGAACTAAATAACGCCATTGAAAGCATCAATATTTAACAATAGCGTTCTCGAAGATGTTTTTTATCGAATGCAAATTTTAATGGGACTTAAAAAGTATTCACCTAAATATTTTTACCATAAGTGAAATATTAACTTCGTAATAAATAATCAAAATTTGAACTGGACAATTTCCCGCTAAAAAAAATAATGCGGTGACGTCACGAAGTACATTTTCATTGAGTTGTCACATTGTTTAAGTAAAATATTTTCAAAGATATTTCTTCGCACTTAATGCAGATCAGTTAGTTTATTAATAAATAATTAAAAAATATATATTTACACACTTTGCTAAAATATATAACCCTCTCACAGCACCCAACCTAATAATTTTTCTATGCTTTTATTTGAAAACTGTAACAACTGAAACCACCGTTTATTTTGAACAAGAAATCACCGTCTCAAGTTTTTCGCATTTATAGTAAACTTTGTCCCTACGAAAGATGACGCCAACAAAATTTTAAAAAATACAAGTTTCGGGGCTTCCCTAATATCTCGGGTATCGTATGAAACGAATTTTTGAAAAACAAAAGTTTGTTTTTTTTTTAATGAAACTTCTCGTAACAGTATGCGGTTATTTGTGTAAATGACCCCGCAAAAATGATTTTTTTTCAAATTTTCACGAAGGTATTTCAAAAAGGATTTATTAAATATCTAAAATAGTTATTAACTTGGTTTAATATTATTAACATTTTATCCAATTATCTCTCCTTTAATTATTAAATCAATTAAATTTATTAAAATAATTTAATTAATTATGGTGAGTATATAATTTATTTAATTAAATTAATTATTGATTGAATTAAATTAATTATTTTATTAAATAAGTAATTAAATGGGATGGAATCCCAGACAGCTTTTGTCTTTATTACCTTTTATATTCTTCGCAACTATAAAGTATTACGCGAAAGCACTTGAAATTAAATCCAATGTTTTCAAAATGCGTTGCGAACCGAATTTAAGCAGCCATCGGTGCTATGGTCACTCACCGGAGAGGATAAGAGCTGCTGCAACCGTTCCTGCGCTTCCTGACCCCTCTTTGGCCTGATGAGGAGGTATATCTTCGAAACTCCGGGACAACTTCTCAGCAACTTCTCCAACAGGACCTGGACGAAAAGAGAAAGTTTACTTTTCGTGTTACCCCGGTAAAAAAACGTACTTTTCCCATGAACCCCGTACCGCCCGTAATGAACACGGTTTTGCTGTCGTAAAACTCGGCGATGGCCGAGGCGGACGCCGCTGTACCATTGGCGTGCGGTATCGCAGACATCGCGACTATGCCGCTGTTAACTTGACTGGACGTCGCGCGCCGCTGTATAACCATAGGCGTGCGGAACAAACCCTTTCGACGAGTCAACCCTGGTACTCGGACATTTATAACGGAAAACCGGGGGGGAGTGTAATCCTTAACTAAATGTCGTTTAACCTAATGGAACACTACGTCGATTTTTTCGGTAATTTTGTGCCGTTTCTCCTCGGAAGAATTTATGTGTGTCAGTGTGCGAAGTACGTTTTGCCGTCAACAGAGTTTCGTCGGGGTTTTCGATCTCATCTTCGGAGCGGGTTCAGTTCGGTGCCGCGCGTGCCTGGAAAAGGAAACGGTTACTCGGTGACGTTGACATTGCGATGTGACGTTTAACGGGACACCATTGAATAGGGTCGATGGAGTTAGGGAAGAGAGTATAGCCTAGCACATGATAAACGGTCACGAGAAACAAAATATTTAGGCCAGGCCTAGTTCGATACCCGTGACAAAAAAGGATCATCGAACTGCATTTAGAAAGTACAATAAAACGATCCACTATACGATCCGGGGACCCATAGGAGATACGAAAAAAAGATTCGTACATCTTGCATATTTCGACATTTTGTTGAATCCTTGATTAAAATAAAGGTCACTTTCTTAGGAAATTCCTATTCGAATTTTGCATAGCTGGAAAAAAAAGATTGTGATGTCATAGCCTACAACATTTTTAAATATTTCGTTATTTTTTTGTTGTTTTATGTCAGATGGAAAGGGCATTTTAAGAACTTTATGGACCGAATTAATGAACCCTTTTCAGTTAACTTTTTTTTTTATAGATTTATTTATTGAAATTTGTTACCTTGGTTAATTAGCCTATAAACTTTAACTATTCATTTTTGTGACTAAGTGTTTTCAATCAAGTTAGAAATTAACTTATTTAAATATGAATTCAGACGTTTTATTAAATCTGCATTGTTAGCAATAGGTTTTATTCGTATATCTGAAGTGTTATATCTTTACAAGAAGTAAGATGTCTTTGCTATTTAAAAAATACCTAATATTGCCAATAAAAATATCCTGAGATTTTGTTAATTGAATTCGCCAAAACGGCACCACCAATTTGGAACACCCTGTATAAGCTGAGGCGCATCTGTCAAACTGATTGAGTAGTGCATCATCCCGTTAGTCTGTGGTTAAATTTTCATTGCAATACCTGGATCGGTAGCACAATTTTATATATGAATATGAAAAAAAAAACATATAACCTCAACATCCGTATCAAAAAGATTTATTTATTTTAAATCTTCAGGAGAGTCCAAGAAACTTTTGTACGAAACTTTTTTCCGTATCTCCCACGGCACACGGTGTACCTGCATCTAGAGGGAATATTGAGTACCAAACGCTTTGCTACTTTCAGCAAAAAACATTAGAGACTGCTGACGACACTACCATCGGGAAGTGACAAATGAACTTTTTGCAAAGTGGTTAAAATAATCTCTTCTTCCAAATACTCCATCCAAAGAGCTATTAAAAGAGTTCTTTAGGCCCGGTTATACCGTGCGTTCAATTTATCTCGATAAGATTTTAGTTGGCTGTAACTTTTTTGTTTTTAGAGATATCAATGCAAACAAAAAAACAAAATATAGGGTTAGTAGTCAAATTTTTATTCCAAGTGACGTGTAAAACAAAACACTATCGAACACCCTATATATTATGTATCTGTTTAATAGAATATAGAATCATGTAACACAGTTTCTATTTTAGCCCACTCGTAATAAGATATTTTTATATAATTTCATAGAATGCACATTAAAACATTGAAAATGACAAGACAAATTAACAAAGGAAACTTTATTACTAGAAAAGCATGTGGTATTTAGGTTTGATATAAAAGTCTGAATTAGTTTAGTATCACGACCCTTAATAGTGTTGTGAAACAGATCCTGCGAAACTTTTTTCAGGGACAGTTTTTTAAGTAAAAAACATCTTTAATTAACATTCGATGTGGCGATGTTAAATTGGCACGTTCCGCTCGTGCCAAAGCAAAAATTCCACGACACGCGGGTAAACAGAGAAAAAAGGAACAATTAGCTTAATTGCAGCGACTCGATGTAATAAGATTGAAAGTGCCAACGAAGTGCAATCGGATTATTAAATAACGAATGGTGAAGGTCCGGTATCGGTCGTTATGGTAATCTAAACGTTACAGTAGAGCGGAAAAATAACACAGTACGTTTTTTAAACCAAGCCAAACATAAGCAAACCAGAAACTAAATCGCAAACCTAATATTAAAAAAATATATGTCCGCGGTATTGGGATAAGGTAATAATAATAATAATATACTTTATTTCCATACAACTTATATTGTATAGTTATAAGTATGTTATATGCCAAAATACACAACCAATAAAGATACACGGCATTTTTAAAATAACACATAGAGTTATAAACAACAAACACAAATTGAAATGGTCAAACGTTGGTTAAAACATGTATTAAAAAGTGCACTGCAGGTACTCTTGTACAGAACAAAATGCCTTCTGGATAAGCAATGGTTTCTCCTCAGCCTTAAACTGACCACAGCCCGAAATCTGTGTCGTCCCCGGTGGTAATTTATTAAAAAGTTTTATAGGAAGGACGATTGAGCTATTTGCTACCGAACCTAATTTGCGTTTTGGAATATCTAGGTTATAATTCTGTCTGAAACTATAATGTTCATTGGTTGCACGAGTACATATATACTCATTATAATTAGATGTAACCATCGTTGCCGACTTCAATATGTATAGACTAGGAAATGTCAAAATTTGCGTTTCAATGAATAATGTTTTGGTTTAAAGTTTTTTTGGAACAAAATTATTTCCCCAAGCAGTAATAGTAATAGTAGTAAATTAATTAAGTAATACACGAATAATAATATAGCAATAAAAGACTACAATCGACCATTCTTCTAAGTTGCCAAATGACAAAATAGTGTGTGGATAATTTTTTAGAATATAGTCCGCCTGATGAGACCAAGAAAGACCAGAATCGAAATAAACTCCCAGAAATTTCGCAACCCGCCTCTCGATCGTTTTATTATTACACTTAACTATACCTCTTAGTGAGAAATAAATCAATTCAGTTTTATCATGATTTAATACAGGACAATTTCTATTACAATAATGAACAATATCTGCCACCGCCTCATTAGAGTTCTTAGAGATCCTCCATGTCGGCACCGCAGGAAACCACAGCTGTATCAATAGTGATAGATAATTATTATCTGATCCGCAGGCAACTATGTCATTAATAAAGATAATAAATAATAGAGGCCCCAATATACTGGACGTCACCTCATCACTAGAATTTTTTTTTATATCGTTTTGTTTTAAGACAACTTTTTGCACGCGATCTTTCAGGAAACTCTCTAACCATCCTAGAGCGTTGCCACGAATACCATAATGATTTAACTTAAGAAGCAACAAATCAATGTTAATTACGTCAAAAGCTCTTTTTTGATCGAAAAGAAGACAAGTTGTTGGTTTATTATTATCTAAATCTAGAGCAACAATTGCATCATGTATTGATACTTCCCTACGAAACCCATACTGGTTATTACTGAAAAAGCTTACTTTCCCTAAAAATTCCAACAGCCAAATTTTTGAGAATATTTCGTGTAAATTTCGTGTTTATTTTAATATAGCTGGAAATGTACCATCTGAGAAGGATTCATTAATAAGATTGGTTAATGGGTCGACAAGTAAATCAATAACGGACAACATAAGGGAGCACGATATTTCATCAAAACCTGCTGAATGCTTTTTAGAAAGAGATGAAATTATTTCCCTGTTCCGTGTCCTACTAATCCCGTTTCCTAAATTTACATTAAAATTTAAATCAAATCCCGAAGTTAGTCGCTTAGTAGACTGTAGAAAGAAATCATTAAAATCAGATGCAGCCAAATTGATATTCGATATAGTTTTATTGTTATCAGTAAAAAATGTAGGAAGGTTACCTTTATGAATATTTGCCTCATTTTTTATAATTTGGCAAGATGCCTGCGATATACTGCTCGAACTTAACATAAAATGATTATTGTATAATTTCTTTGCATCGGCATTTTTTTCTGATGTAACTTTTTTAAAATATTATATTTATTTACAATGTCAATATATTTTTTAACCTTACAGCCAAATCTCTCACCAAACAATCCTCTTTGATACTATCCCTGAGAAGCCATGACTTTTTATTAATTTTACCACCAGACTTGCACCTTCCTAGGGGAAAACAAAATATAAAGTTCACCGTAAATGCTTCGAACAACCAACCAAATTTATTCTCTAGGTCTTCCCGCTCTATCAAAGGCAGTCCAATCTACGTTAATAGTTCTTTCCCGAAGTTATTTATATTATTATCTTTAGTAAAGCGTCTTCTATAAATTGGGACAGATTTTACTTTTTCGTGGAGTGCAGAAAAAGATACTTTTTGCATGAAATGATCAGATATATTCGTATAAATCACTTGAGCACTTAAAGCATTTAATGAAAGCGTACTAAAAATGTTGTCAATTACAGACTTGTGATTATGAGAAATTCGAGTATATTCAGATTGTTTTATTCAAACCACCCGTCGACAACGGCATATGATGAATCTACTATGAGTAAAAAAAAATGTTTATAAGTGGTACAAGCTGTTCCAAGATGGCCAAGGACACGCCGATGACGAACCTCGTTCTGAAAGCTCCAGCAACGTCAAGTTCGATCAAATGATCGGTTTTGCTTACTATTTTCTTTGATTAATCGTGTAGTGGTACATCAAGAGTTCTTACCACAACGTAAATAAAGAGTTATGCGCCGTTTGCGAAAAGCAATACGAGGAAAAAAACTACAAAACTCAAAGTTATATGAAAATTCCTAAACAACATTTATGGGAAAGTAAACAGAGAAAATGTCAAGCATTGATCCTGATTACTCAATTACTCAATATCCGCAACAAATAAATAATGTTTGGGCCCGCTTACTTGGTAATTTATAGATGTCGAATTCTTCGACCTCTATAATTGTAACCTAAATTGAAATTTTTAAAAGCAACGGAATAGAAGATGATTTTTAGTTTTAATTACCTTTTTCAATCGTGACCTTCTAGTGGTCAAGGGTTGGTATACTTTTTTTTTTGCTCGCCCACTATCTTTGTCTTCATTTCTTGTTCACCCTTTCTGTTTTTATTTCTCGCTCACTCTCCGCTATCATTCTTTCTTGTTCACTCTGACACAACAAGCTCGAAAGGTTCGCCCTCACTGCACCAAGGCGAGGGGTACGTAAAAATTAACACCCCGTACAGTTTTTTATCAACTTTGC